CCCCCCCCAGCTTGAGCTAACAGGCCCAGCTTCGACAACTACTCCGCAAATGTCATGGTAGACGGAAAGCCAATAAGCTTGGGACTGTGGGATACTGCCGGACAAGAGGACTACGACCGACTGCGGCCGCTCTCATACCCCCAGACGGACGTGTTCCTCATCTGCTTCTCCATTGTCAGCCCCCCGTCGTTTGACAACGTCAAAGCAAAGGTAAGACAAGCCACGGAAGCGTGTTTGGCACGCGCTGACCCGAGACCAGTGGTACCCCGAGATAGATCACCACGCGCCCGGCGTGCCCATCATCCTCGTCGGCACAAAACTCGATCTGAGGGACGACGAGGCGACCAAGGAGTCGTTGAGGCAGAAGAAGATGGCGCCCATCCAATACGAGCAGGCCGTCATGGTCGCAAAGGAGATCAAGGCACAAAAGTACCTAGAGTGCTCTGCGCTCACACAGCGCAACCTGAAGAGTGTCTTTGATGAAGCAATTCGGTACGTGGCGAGAGAAGCCCCATTGTATGTCTGCGTTAACACTACCCAGCGCTGTCCTGAGCCCCCGTCCTCAGCAGTCGGCGACGAAGAACAAGAAGAAGTGCACTATCCTATAAGCAGAGAGGACTGAATATGAGACAAAGTTTTGGTGTAATCGAGGAAGGACCAAAAGCTTGAATATGCGAGTTACTCCGGGACATGGTATGAGGACGGCATCAATGGGAAGCCAGCACGAATGGCGGAATGAATGTGGCTTCTTCCCAGGTCACAGGCGAGCAGAAGATGCATACAGCATACGCACCATTTACATGAAATAGCATATGCTCTGCAGTATCTTCTGGCTTGGTGCGGTTGGATATGGGGCGAGTCTAGCATTGGTTTATTGCGACATTACTCTTCTTCGGCGTGGAGGAATCACAGGATTAGCATTACCGATAGAACTGTTTATTGCATCTTTTCCCTTTCCCAGGCTCACACCCAGCGCGCATCCAACGTGAACGGGAGCTGACCATGATGCTCGTGCCCCATGTGGCCTCGGGTGCTACCCGCAGAAGTAGATTAATTCCCCGCGGTAGTGCGGAGATGGAGCTTCAGGCACCATCCTAGCTCCAACGCGTCCCCAAGCTTCACCCCGCGAACAATCACCACTCGGCCCACCCACCCTGCACAACCACCCACAGCCATGTTCCACCAAGGCACCTTGCAGAGCGGAATTACGCTTGCAATCCAGGAACAGAAGCTTGTTGCCTGCTTTGTACGAGGTACGTCGAGGTGTTCCGTCGGAATGTGGAGAGAGACACGACTGACAAACTGTATAGATGATGGTGCAACGAGCAACGAATGGGAAGAAGAGTGGCTGAAGAGTGGATGGGTACGCAGCTCTTTGGAATCCCGCCCGAGGCATGCGCTAAGATTCAACATGTAGCTATCGAATCTGCTCGCCCAAAAAGCCGTCGTCCTGCGACTTGAGGCAGGCTCCACCGAAGCAGGCTTTCTGGCTGCCTTCTCCGACATTTCCAGTGTGCCAACTTTCGTCGTCATCCAGAATGGACAGCTACAAGTTCAACTCAAGAGCGATGCGACAAAGGAAGACTTTATCAATTCGATAAGACGGGTACTGGGAGCGAATCCGATACCAGGCTCCAGCGCGGCACCGTCCCCACTACCACACGCAAGCACACCAGAACCGAGCGATAACCCAATAAATGCAGAAGCGGAGGACGATCTTTACGGCCCATCCGAACCCTCGATACCCACACGCTCTGCACCAGTACCAGCCCCCACACCGTCGTCGACCAAAGCAAAAGGCAAGCAGAGAGCTCCAGAACCGAATCCCACAGCTCCATCTGCATCCGCGAGCAAAGCTCAACAGGAAGCCCGCGACGCGCTACGAAAGAAGAAGAGAGAAGACGCCGAAGAACTCGCCCGAATCAAAGCACGAATCGAAGCCGACAAAGCAGCGCGCAAAGTAGAAGCCTCGTTACGCAAAGCAGAGCGCGAGAAGGAAAAGAACAGAAACGCGACACAAACCTCCCATGCAACGTCAACGCCGTCGTCGCCGCCGCAAACCACAGCAATAAAATCCTCGTCATCTCGAGGCTCGAATTCGGCAACCGTCGCCCTCAACGTCCGCCTCTTCGATGGCCGTACCATCCGCTCCACATTCCCCCGCACCGCTACGCTACAATCCACCGTCCGCTCTTGGATCGACGCCGAATTCGGCAAAATGGCTCAAGACGATGAGAATATCAGCGGTGGCGGTGGTCATAATAATAAACTGCCCCCGTACTTTTTCCGCCATATCCTCGCTCCAGCGCCGAGTCGCGAGCTCTCTGCTGGCGACGAGAGTGTCGAGCTGGGTGAGATTGATTTGGCGCCTAGTGCGACGTTGGTGCTGGTTCCTGTCAAGGGGTATACCGATGCGTATTCTGGCGGTGGCGGTGGTGGGATAACGGGGGCTGCGACGGGGATTGTGGGTGGGGCGTTTGGTCTCTTGTCGAGTACGGTGGGGTTGGTGGGGAGTACGATTGGTTCCGTCATGGGCTTTGGGGCGCAACAAGAGGGTGGTGCTGGTAGTAGTAATGGTGCTGGTGGGAGAACAGTGGGTAGTAGACCTACTACTCAGGAACCTACGCATGATACTGTCCTCGATCAACTGCACCCGCAACCGCAACCGCCTTCTGCCGGCAACGGCAACGGCACTGGAACCACCATGAGAGTGAGGACGCTGGCTGATCAGCGTGCGAGAGAGCCGCAGCAGTTTTATAATGGGAATCAGTTGAGTACGGAGCCTAGGCCAGAGGATAACGATAAGAGGGATTGATATGGCTGTTGTTGTTGTGGGTTTCGCATTTGGGAAAGGCCTGGAGATTGGTGGGCAACGTGTTGTAGATTGAGGGGAAGGCGGGAGGGGGAATAGGGGGGTTCTGTAAGAGTATGCTTGTTATGGTCTTTTTTTCTATTTCCTATCAGGAACTTTGATTGAGGAAGGTGAGTGGATTGCTTTGATCGATCTTAAAGGGTGATTTAGAGGGAATGACGGAAGTATCTGTGAAGATGTTTCATTCCATGATTGAGACGCGAGTTCCTTTTATTCGCAAACGTGTGTGTGGGAAGGAAGAAGGATTGAAACTGAAAAGAAGCGCTTTTTAGTCTTCTATTAAGACTGTTGACCGTTTTTCTTTCATCTCCGCCAATATACCATCACCCATACCACCGTTCAGACATAGGCCTTTTCGTCATCTTCATGTCCACCCCTAGCATACTGATCTTGAACAGCACCAGCACCAGCACTCAAGCCCAACCCCTCCTCCGCACTCTCGACTAATCCCGCCGCCTTCAACAACTCGCTATCCACCATTGTCCCCGCGAATGGCACCTTTGGCCCTTCAACCTGCATCTTCCAATTTCCACCCTTCTTCTTGTCCTTCTCTTCCCTTTCCTCTCCAGGGACAATCAAGCCACCATGGTCACCACCACCGCCACTACCACCACCACCGAGCAGCAGCAGCGCCTTGTTAGTCTTGTTTTCTAGGTCCTCAACCCTAGTCTCCATGACCTTGATTTTCTTCCCTAGCTTCGCGCGACCTTGAACTAATTCTGAGATTCCGTCTGGACACGCAGTGAATGCTACGCGTAGTTCAGCGAGTCGTTCACGCGCTTCCTCTAGCTCAGCTTGTTCAGGAGTCATCTGTAGAGTTGGGGTGCGGAAGTTTATTCCTGTGTCGTCGTCATCACCGTTGTTGTCGTCGTTGTTAATAGGGGAAAGCGCAAGGGGGTGATCAGGACTGGGTTGTGGAGCTGCAGTGTAGGTTTTCAGGCCGGGTGGGTTGCGGTAATGGAGTGGGTCTTGGGCGACGTCTTGGAAGAAGGAGAGGATGGCGTGTTGGACGGGGGGATATGTGAAGATGCATTCTCCGACCGAGTTGTTGCCGCCGGCGAAGGTGGGGCAGATGACTGCTTGACCGGAGGACCATTCTGCAATCTTCTCTTCATCTTCTTCTTTTCTGGTGGTGCTGTGGGCGAAGGGGGTGATGCTAACGGCGAGATGATGGAGGGCTTTGGTTAGGGTTGGAACGGCACCAGTGGAGATGGATTCGTGCCAGGATATGTGCTTGGTTGACTGCATGATGGATGGAGTGTCTTTTGGTGAGGCACATTGGTCAGCTTGTTGGTCGTAGGAGTTGGGTAGATCTGTACAGTGCTGGGGGTCTGATGTGAGGTCGCTGAATTTCCACTGGCGGGCGCGTTGATGGAGGAAGGCGCGGACTCGTCGGTCCTTGACTTGCGAATCGTCAACTAGGGAATGGATCAATGCCATGGCGGTGATACGGGTGCCGTACTTGTCGACTACAATAGCTTGTTAGCTTCTGTCTTTCAGATGTCCCCAGTATTGTTGTGTTCAGAATGTCCGAGTTTTGGCGCGCCATGTCCAGTCAACGTAACAGTACCATGAAGGTCTACATTGCGGCTGACGTTGCGACTCTGAAGGGACAGCAACGATATATACCTTGAGGGCAGGCTGTGAGGCTTGGGGTACCGAATCATAGAAAACGAACTTGTTGTACTTACAGTTGTCGGTGAGCAGCTTTAAAACACTCTCAGTTCCATCCTCAATGGCGATGACATAGACTTCTGCATCGGCCGATACACGATCAGGATTGCAGATGACTTGGTCGAAGACTGTCTTGACATGATCCTTTGCATCTCTATGGCCTGGAACACGGTTTTCCTCGTCGTGAATGCGAATCATGTCGTGAGCGACTGACTTGCGTGGCATGGCAGACCAACTACGCAAAGTCATGGCCTGATCGTACTTGTGTGAGTAAAGCAACTGGCCCGTATTCAAAACGATCAAGGCGGGGGTAGTAGCCTTGTCTTCGAGCACATAACCGTCTCTGAAGATGCTTGCGTCCTTTTCGGTATCGTTGTCAGTAGACGAGCGTTTAATCATCTCCTTGACAAAGTTCACAACCGAACCACCGTTAATACCAAGTTCTCGCTGCAGCTGCCGATATGCGAAGATGCCCAGATCCTGCATGGTGTCATTGACCAGCACGATGATGCGCTTACGCGTCTTGAGAACCTCGGGTAGCGGCGCAAGGATAGGTACATGCAGGCCGTTGGGCTTGGTCATGGCGAAGTCGGGAAGGTGGATACAATTGAGGCCAAGGTAAGACAGACGCTGCTCCACTTCCTTGCGTTGACAGGCTTTGAAAAATTAGCTGGAGTCGCCTCAGTAAGAGTTAGAACTTGCTCTGCATGGCTTCACGGCGCACCTCATTGACGCGGTCATTATTTGTGGCGTGGTAGACGTAGGGCTTTTCAGGCGCGTTGATCATGCGGATATCACCTGAGCTGTTGATGAAGAAGCCGAGTTCCTTGAGATTTGCTGGGAAAGACGGGTCTGGCTCCAGGGTATTCTCTATGCGGCGAAACATATTGGTATAGGCGCTGGGGTTATTGTAGGACGTTGGTAATCTTGGCAGCAGGCACTTCAGTAATGCAGCCTGGGAACGTCGTTGCAATGGAAGTTATACTTGCGGTGGTTAGCTAGGTCGGACTTTTGTTGGTGGCGTAGGTTGCCGCTGCCGTCGTTTGTACGTGCAGCGCGTGGTGAGAGCAAACAATGCTAGAAGCGGAAAGCACGGTGATGGACAGTAAATGTGTCATGATCCATATATATTCCTCGCAAGTACGCCGCCCGATGCCAAATGTCTGCCTCATCGTATTGTACATGTAACCCATCGATTGTTCAGCAGGGTAAGTCTACCAGCTTGCTTTCTTCACACCCGGTAGGTTTCCAGCGAGGGCGTTTACTCGGAATTGGTACTGTGAGATGGTCAGCTCCGTATTTCTCAAAGAACATGTCATCCCATACTCTTCCCATCCTGAAGTCGCTAAAGACACCACGGCCCTTGCCTCCCATTATACATCTGTTCTTGATCTGTGTGTAGCGTGTATAGCAGTGCATCTGTGAGAGCTGAAGCTGAGCTTGCGCGCGGACTCGTTGCGGGAGAGTGGTGTTGCGAATGATGTATCGGAGGGCTTGCCTGTGTCGTCGTCAGTTCTTGCGCGACATGAGGACGCAGAGGCGCGTACCGTTCAGGCTCATTCTCAGAGTACACCTTCCGCTTTGTGTGGTCGCGGATGTTGCGAATCTTCGCAAAGCATCCAATGTCGAGCTTGGCCGCGCGGAATTGAGACATGATGGCGGATGGCGGAATGAGCTGCCGGGTTTTGGAGCACTACATGATTGTCGATGAGGTTGTTCAAATTCCGATGTTCTGCCGCGCCCTCCCCGCTCGCCACCAATCAGCGCCATCCTGCCTCCGACTCTCCCCCATTCATCTCGTGAAAGCCAAACGTGGATTGAGGACTTTACTTTGCCCCGCCAAGAGCACGCAAGGAAGAGGAGAGTAACATGTTCGCGGAAAATGATGTGAAGGATATCTTTGCTCTCTTCCCCCCACAGCAAACTTCCGATTTTGTTCCACGGCTTGCGCTATCTTCTAGCCGACATGGATTTGTTACTCTTCAGTTCGTTCAAGCTCAGTTCAGAAGTCGCGTAACAAAGGGTAAGTTCTTCCAGTCACTTTCCGTTGCGTTCGCTAAGCTACGTCCTAGAGACGCAACGTATCTCGCTCTCTGCACTGGCCAGTGATCTTGACATAGATCAGTTGCTTGTCCATCAACTTGTCAGGAATCATCCTAAACTATGCATATTTAGCGCGGATCAAGAAAACATTGTTCCCATAGATGAGCGGGACGCGATAGGGAAAGAAGCTGTTGATTCGCTGTCAGAAGGGCTTGTGTCCAAGGCCGACTTCGTTGCGCGACACGATGTCTCCCCCAAGAGTCTTCACTACCTCTTGTCCGACCAAAACGATCAAGTTCTGGAAACTGATGGCTATTTCTACACTAAAGGCTATGCTGATCAGATCATGGACACCGTCAAGGGCATGATCAGAAAGGCGCTGAACGATGTTCAGTAAGTACAAGCATCACTTCCAGTGCATCAGACACTAACACACCGCAGGGCTGTTGTCATCAAACCAGAAGACCTGCATAAAAACCCTCCAAAATGGTTCATTCTTCATACTGTTGAGAAAGCTATGCAGTTCGAAGACCTTGCCTCCAAGATCAATGTCCAAGAAAACGCCGATAGCGTAACATGCACACCCAAGCAATATCTAGAAACCAAACGTGACACTACGGTACAAGACTTGCAGTCCGGTACACTTGCCTATCTCGACTTGCATAAGTTTGCATCCGAGTTCTCTGAGCTATTCCGAACCTACCAAGACGTATCGTCTCATTTCCAGCAGCTCTCGGGCATCGACGTGGTAGGGTCATTCGCCATATCACAAAGCTGGGTCTCAAAGGTAGAGCAAGATTGTATCCGCATTCTCGAGCAGGAAGGTTGTACCCTTGACGTCACCGAGGTGATAGGCTCACGTCTTCCACCAAGCACAATAGACACCATAGCAGCCAAAGCCAAAGACGCCATCATCGCCAACTTCTCACAACACAGCGAAGGGCCAAAGATAGTGCGAGTCGGACCCCTTATCCTCACGGAGACACGACGAGACGCAGCACTAGACGAACTTTCTGGCTATGCAAAGGAGGACGCAGAAGCACAGTGGCGAGGACTACAAGACGACCCCACCCGAGCGGAAGACATCAAATTCGCCCGGGACAGAGTCAAAGCCATGATTCCTCCAACAGGCCTCGTCCAACGCCTTCTCCTCGACCAAAGACCCGTGGAGAAGACGTTGGAAGAACACTTCTGGTCCACCATATCCGCCTTCGAAACACCAAACGAAGAGGACTTTGCCATGTACTGGACAGACCGTCTTCTCACCCGCTGGGCCGTCTATAACACCGGCTTAGCCTCAATCACCGACCAAAAACTTTACGACCAGCTCGGAGACCTCCTCGCTACCTACGCACACAAAGACCTGATTCCAGACACCACGGCCAAAGCACGAGCACAGGGCCTCGTTCTCAGCCGCAAGACTCGGAAAAATCTCGCTCGACTATCAAGCATAGTAGACGCTACAAAGAGTGCAGACACCACGTACCTATCCTCCGCACTAGACAAGTTCAACAAGAAACAAAGCATCGCCTCGCCCTCCCCAGATTCTCTCTCTGCTGCCAAACAAAGCATGTTGGCCGACATGTTGCGCCGGCTGCAGAAGCAGAAAGCTTCAGACGGGCCTGTGCTTTTCTTGACATTGGTCAGCGTGCTCTATGCGAAGCAGAACGACGGCGTGGTGTATGCGACGGGCAAATTTGCGCCCAAGTTGTTGAAGTTGCTCAAGGGAACGTTGGGCGACGAGCAGTTTGGCAAGGTGGAGGCGTGGAAGGAAGCTGCTAAGAGTAATTCGTTGAGTGCGGAGGATAGAAAGGGGATGGCGGAGATGGCGAACAGCGAGGATTCGTGATGGTGTGCGTGAGACAGAGAGGGAAATGCAAATTAGCTTCTGGGTCGAAACTTGCTACTTGGTTGGTTGGTTTTTGGTGCCGTACACAATATCGTCGTGGTAATAATGTGATTATTTGTAATGTGATGACTAGCCTCGAAAATGGAATCAAACAGTAAATGTCACATTGGATAGCATCAGGAACAAAAGTTTAATCAGGGGATTACTATTCATACAGCTATTAAGCTACTTGGGGTATCTGTGAAGATCATGCCGTGAAAATCATTATATCACAAGCCAACTCGCAACATCTCGAGGGAGAAGGCCGGCAAGAAGGGCAGAAGGAATCTAGTCCATGATGCCAGCCTTGCCGTCGTGATCAGCGTCCTTCTTGGGGTCTGCAGCCATCGTTAGTATCTCTGCTCCAACTGAATCAAATCGCATGGGTGAACTTACTCAGCTTGTCCATCATAGATGGCTTGCCGTGGACGTCAGTGGTACCGTGGGTACCGTGGGTGCCATGACCTGAGTGGTGTTGGTCATTCTGCAGAGAAGAGTGGGGCTCGGCGACGGAAACAGGCTCGACGAGGGCCTTGGGCAGGTCACCCGTCTCGTTGTTACGGTGTGCCAAGTTATCCCGGCCTGATCCGCCAACCTCACCAGGAACGGTCTTGGTGTGCTCACCTGTGGTGTGGGTGTTGCCACCGTGGCCGAGGCCGCCTGAACCAATGCCACCAGCGTTGCTGCCGTAGGCTCCCGTGTTGGAGTGGCTGCCGGTCAAGTCGCCGGCTCCAACGCGGCCGTCGTTGTTACGGTCAAGGGGGTTCGAGGTACCAGTGTGGGTGGTGTTGGAGTGGCCGAGACCGCCTGTGCTGCCAATGCCGCCAGTGGTGTGGGTGTTGGAGTGGCTACCAGTCAGGTCGCCGGCACCGACCCTGCCGTCGTTGTTGCGGTCGAGGGGGTTGTGCGTACCGGTGGTGCCGTGACCAGTGAGTCCAGATCCGGCAGTGTTGTGGCCAGTCAGACCTGAGCCAGTAGTGTTGTATGCGCCAGTTCCAGTGCTGCCGACACCACCAACGTGGGGGTCAACCTGGTTGGCAATGCGTGTGTTGTGAAGGCCAGAGTTGTTGTGGTCGTTGAAGTCGGCGGTACCGTGGCCACCAGTGTGGCCGAGACCAGTGCCGGTGGTAGAGTGGCCAGTAAGACCGCTGCCAGTGGTGCCGTGAGTACCATGAGTACCCTCAGTGTACTGTCCAGCACCGTAGCCACCTGCACCAGCAGTGTTGCCAGCGGTTCCAAGGCGGTCAGAGTCGACCCTTGGGTCGGCCTTGTTCATCATGTGAGAACCGTGAGGTCCAGTGGGGTCGTTGTGGGAGGTAGAGCCGTAAGCTCCAGTGTTGGAGGAACCAAGTCCGGTAGTGCCATGGGTTGTTGACGAACCGAGACCAGTGGTGCCGTGTGTGGTTGATGAACCAAGGCCAGTAGAGCCGTGGGTGGTGGAGTGGCTGCCAGTCAGATCGCCAGCTCCTACCCTGCCGTCGTTGTTACGGTCAAGGGGGTTCGAGGTACCGTGAGTGGTTGATGAACCAAGGCCAGTGGTGCCGTGAGTGGTTGATGAACCAAGACCAGTGGTGCCGTGGGTGGTGTTGGAGTGGCTGCCAGTAAGATCGCTGGCTCCGACCTTGCCGTCGTTGTTGCGGTCAAGGGGGTTTGAGGTACCGGTGTGGGTGGTGGAAGTGTGCTGGCCGTGGGTACCTGAAGTACCAAGACCGCTGCTTACACCTGAGCTGTGATGGTCGCCAGCAAATCCACCAGTGCCAGTAGTAGCGCTGGAGGTGTTGTGTACTGTGGGGTCGGCAGTGTTGGCAGTGTGCGAGCTGTGAGGGCCAGTAGGATCATCTAGTGTTGTGTAAGCAATTGTTCATATCGAAGGTATTTTACTGAAGAGCTTACCATGGGTCTTGTCCTTGTGCATCACCTGGTCGACCTTGGCCTTGACTTTGTCCATTACTCCTGACATGTTTGCTTGTGGTGTAGAGGTTGTATTGGTATAAGTGTGGTTGGTTGGTTGAATTGGAGTTGATTGAAGTGTTGTGTTGGGTTGTTGGAGTGGTTGTTGTTGTTTAGATGCTGAACAAAAGCAAGTGCTGATGGTCTCTTATATACAGTACAGGTCGTGGAAAGAGTGTACAATGTCCGCTGATGATGCTAGACATGACGTAGCGCCATGGGTCTCTCAAAGTTCAATCATGCTCCACCATCCCTACCTCCGCCTTCTTGGATTCCGTTTTCCAGCACCGCCACAGGTGTGGATACCCGCTTCGACTTGTCTGGCACGTCATAAGAAACTTGGATGTTGCCGTCAAACGTGACCGATTCAGTCCCCAAACGGCAATGGTTCGGTTCTCTTTCCCTGTATACCTCAGCTTATTCCTGCTGTGGCGTGCCTTGTTGTCTGCGGCTGCTACAGGATTTGGCTAATTACATCAGCCACTGGAGAGCTGGACCCTCAATGAGGGGCATTGCAACGGATGCAGCTAGCAAATATCCCGTTCGGTTGTGGTGGGGACTAGCACGCGGCCGGCGCTGCGTCATTTCGCGATCCGGTGCATGAAAAGGTGGGGAAGTTGGAAAGCTTAGCCACGTCTTCAATTCCTGATTTACCCTGCCTTGGATCAAATTTCTGGTACTTGACGCGTGTTGGTAGCAGATCTCCTGTGGTAAAACCTTGGTGACACCGCCACAGTTACCTGTTAAGCAGGGCACAGCAGCCATAGTGGATACCTCGTCTAGGGCCTAGAAGCGTTGGAATCCGACTTGCACTCCTTGCTAGCCTGATGCCTTGGAAACGCGCTCTTAATTTGTCGCCCATAGGTGGACTATTGCAGCATCAACGGGACAGCAGATTGCTCTGACATTGCGACTTCCTAGGATTCCCTGCACTTCAAAGCGAACGCGTAAAAACAGCTCAATGTGACGTACCGTGTACTGATCAGCTACATCCACAGCATCTCCCATTGACGATCTCAATCTAACCAAAGCCTACCAACATTATAGTTTGCAGTCTTCGACAATACCAAGTTATGTGCTGCAAACACGTTGCAGGTACGCAGGATTGAGGTCCGCGTTGGTCGATTGGAGCTTGGACCAAGTACGCGATTATGACGTAGTTTCCCAGATTTCCAGAGCTTCACCCCACCGACAAGTGGGTGAGGGATGGGATCACCACTTCTCTTCCATCACGACACAACACGCGTTTCTCAATTCCTAATCTCCTCAAACGTTCCGATCTATCCGCTGCAACCATGTCCGAGTCCAGGATGAGAGTGCCTGACAAGGTCAAGGAAGTCGCCAAGGAGGACTTCAACCAGGCCAGGCAGCTCGCTTCAGAAGCTGTCCGTTCGGCCGCATATCTCTACCCTTTCAAGGTACGCGTCTAAAATCTTGTCATCTACAACGTCTTGCTGGCTCCGCTCGTATGATGACGCGACAGTGGCCTTCCTTTGCGAAAGTCACTGAGCAATGTGCTACAATCCCAAGAGACCATGAAGTGCTCTTGAGCCATCTCGAGCAGAGCACGCACTAATATCTGACGACAACAACAACACTAACATGACCAAAGGGCATTGTTTACTTCTTCACGCATCGTGCGCTATGGAAGCCTCTCGCTGCAAAACTCGTCCCCACGGTCTCACTCGGTCTCGGTGTCACTGTGCTGATGTTCGCCGTCACCTACATTCCCCAAGTTGCACTTCTCACCCTCTTCAACGGACCACTCGCAGTCTTCACCACCGTTCTGCTCGTACTCAGCGAATCCTCTACTATATTCTCCGTCTTGAGCAAGAACTTCCTCATTGATGAAGCGCTGATTGACACGTTTGACTCGACCTTGCTCAGCCGCAACCAGACTACGTTGGTTTCGAAAGAACGCCAGGTAAAGTCAGGAAGCGACCCTGTTGCCAAGTTGGGAAAGCTGGTCACCAAGCCGTTTGCAAAGTTTGCACCCAGCGCCATCATCCGATACTTCATGTACCTTCCGCTCAACTTCATCCCGATTGTCGGTACCGTACTATTTGTCATTCTCCAGGGACGCAAGTTTGGCCCAACGGCGCATGCTCGTTACTTTCAGCTCAAGCAGATGAAGAAGCAAGAAAAGGAGCGCTTCATCGAGCAGCGCAAGGCTGCGTATGCCAGGTTAGCTCACTCAAGTCTACTTGAAAGCCGACTCGCTGACCCTTCATAGTTTTGGTATCCCCGCCGTCCTCCTCGAGCTTGTCCCCATTGCCGGTATCTTCTTCTCCTTCACCAACACTGTGGGCGCTGCCTTGTGGGCTGCCGATATGGAGCAGGGCGTCCAGAGCGGCGAAGGCACTACGACGGCGCCGAATCTGCGCCAGCAGGCTGAGCTGGCTAAAGATAGGCGGGAGTTGTGAGAGCACACCGCCATCGACGCAGTGACATAGATTCCACCGTGTGGCGCTAATAATCGTATTTAAGTGAAACCGAGCCTTATCTTCGTTACGGGCCAAACGGACGTTACAGATACCCGTGGAAACCTTAGTATGCACGGGGCAATCTTCTAGGTTGGCCATGATAAAGCATGGCGCGAAAGGTCCCAATGGCATGCGATCCAAGCATATATTACGCCTCTGCGCGGTATGATGAAAACGAAAGTGATACATATGAAAGCTACGACTTGTTTAATATATCCATAATGATGTTATGATCACGATCCACCCATGCTTCATGTGTCTGTGTTTCCCTATGAATGTGTACATCTGGCGGAGTAGTCGTGTTCTGGTACCCTCAGGAATCCCATGGAGTTTAGAGTTGTAGCCATGCATCTTGTGATGCTACGAAGTGTATCACTCTCAATATCAAATCCCCAAACCCTGATAAAAACCGTTAACAAGATTTCATGTCCGGACTACCCTCCATGGCAAAAAGGTCTAACAAGCACGGAGAGGATAAGTAGCCCACTTCGTTGTAGCCGACAGGCTGCCGAAGGAAGAGAAGTATGCAAATCTGACAACCATAAAAATTAAAAGCCATTCGCTTTTCATTGTAGCGCATCTACTTAGTTTACTGCAATAGTTTAGGACAAGTCCAGCCTGATCAGAAGTGCATAATACTCTTCTCAGATACTCGGTTCATGATTAAACATTCATTATAGCTACACTAGGTGTAGTCATACGTTCTACTACTACTACAACATCATTCATCCCGTCGTCAATGCACCTCAAACATCTCCCTACTTCTCAGCACTCGGCTCGCCCCTTCCCAATCCAAAGCATTCAGCCATATTGTAAAAGATGTCAATACTGTTATACGTCCCTTGGAACAACTCCTTGCAAGGGCCCATGGCATATACAGGCTAGATACGGGTATATAAAGTCAGTGTATGTCTCACGTGCAGTCAGTACAGGAGTACTTACCACATCAGTCAAAGAATGCACACCCTGGTCATTCTCAATGGGCAGAGTACCGTTGAGCAAGATACCGCCCTCGCCATCTTCGGGGTTGACGTAGTTGTCGCCGCTGTCTTCTTCAAGCTCCACGGCGGGAGTGCGGGGCCCGTCTTTGTGGACGGACCAGTTTTCGCGGCGATCGGGGTCGGCCATTAGGCCTTGGAAGAGCGTGTAGCGCGGGTCCCAGTTGGATGGGAAGTTGGCTAGCAGAGTCAGTACGTGTCTCGCATGCAGTTCGAAGGGGCGATGCTTACAGTCCGTGTAGGTCAGGTTGCCGGTGTTGATGTATTGGGATTCACCGGATTGCTCGTAGGTGCCGATTGCGTCGCGCTTCTTGCGGTCGACGTTTTGCGCTGCTAGGTAGTGGGTGTCGACTGAGCCCATGACGTCGAAACCGTGGCCGTGGTCGGCTGTGACGAGGATCAGGGTTTCCTTGAGGCAGTCTGTAGAGTTGAGGTGGGCAATAGTGGCCTTTACCGTGTCGTCGAGTTCGAGAAGTTCACCAAGCGCGCGGTCGTAGTCGAGGGCGTGCATCATCTTGTCGATGCTGGCGGCTTCGGACATGAGGAACCATCCTTTGTCTCCGGAGCGAGCCTCGAGGATATCAATAGCCTTGAGGGTCATCTCCTTGAGACCAGGCTGGTCAAGAGCGGGTGTCTCGTCTCCGGTTGGGGAGAGCGACTGGTTGAGGTTATCACGGTAGACGTTGCGGTCGAGCCACTTGGCCATGTTGGAGGTGGTGAAGATACCAAGAGCCTTGTCCTCATTGCTGGCAGATAGGAGAGCAGTGCGGTTTTGGATAATCTGGTAATCCTGCGCGGCAAACTCATCGTAGTAGTTCTTGTCCTGGTAGGTAACGCCTCCAAGCTCAGATGGGTAAAACTGCTCGGCGCCGCCACCGAAGATGACATCAAGAGGAACCTTGGTCCAGGTGTAATTCTGGACGCCATTCAGGTAAGTATCAACAATAGCACCGTACTGGCTACGAAGACGGGTGTGCGACACCAAAGCAGCAGGAGTAGCATCGGCAATGTAGGCAGTCGATACGATACCCACGTGACCTCCTGTAAGACGGTGGAAGATCTCAGCGATGCTCTCAACCTTTGGGTCGTCAAATGGATCCTTGCTGCTGTCCTATATCATCCGTCAGTAAAATGCTGGCGCATTGTAAGATTGGAAGGATTCCGCAGCACGCACCGCGTAGACGTTCAAACAGTTGACCGTTGACTTGTGACCGGTGTTGAGCGCAGCAGCAGAGTTGGCGGAATCAGTAATGAAGCTGTCGATCGAGTGGGTCATCTGGTGACCAACGACAGGGAACTTGTCCATGGCCATGGTGGATTGGTATTTGCCATTGATCTGCTTGTGGCCAATCAAACGAGCAGCTGTGAACATGTAGGTTAGAACCGTTGTTATATTCAAACGTAAAAGCATACACGGGCGACGAACCAGTAATCATGTTCGTAGTCATTCCGTCACCAATGAAGAGAACAATGTTCTTCGCCTTGCGTTCCTCAGCCAGATCGCGAACGAGCCAGGTGGCTTCCGTCTTGCTGCCGTTGTTGTAGCTGAGAGTAGCAGTGTACTCGCCAGGCTCGTAAAGAGCAATGCGGCGGTACGCCTTGGCTGCGACATTGACAAGGGACGGCTTCTTCGCGTCGCGGGCGAACAGGTCTTCGTACCATGTGAAGTTCCACTTCTCCAGTTTTGGTTCTTCGAGGTTGAAGAACTCTGTCACTGGTTTGGCCTCTTCGCCCTTCTTTCCAAGAGTGAAGGTAAATTGCTCATCCAGAGGTAGACCGATGAACTCGGATCCATTTCTGGGCTGGTGAACCTCCAGACGGATATCAAAGTACTGGCCAGCGAGAAAGTCGGCCCTGGATTATTGTTTAGCAATTGTGTATCCTAACCTCATACGATCTGCATGCTTACTGGTCAGGAGGGAAAACGCAACCAAGCGTTGGGCAAGCTCCCAGACGGCGGAATGTCTGCGCGGAGACAGATCCCACCAAAAGGGCCGCAGCCACGACAGCTGAGCAAGTACACTTCATAACGAACGCGATTGAGAGTTCGGTAATTGGGCAAGGCTCTCAAAAGTGCGATGAACCAGCATCTTGGGAAGCTGTTCTCCCAACCTTTATAAGCATGCAGAGCTCCCCGGACCTGCATACATGCAACCAGGTAAATAAGACTATATCCCGCATATCAGGCTACTAGGATCCACATGTAATGCCAGCGGCATGTCTTCCTATGCAGTACAAAGCGCGTTCAGGTGCGTTTACCCGTCCCTCGTGCGATAACGCAGCGCTCTTACTGCTCGAGGAGACGACTCCAGCTACCTGGACCCAGTCCGCATTCCGCTGGCTTGGTCCGCGCCATGAGCCACTGTCATCATTAAGAATCTTAACGAGCTGCCGGATTGAGGTAGACATGCACGCTTCTGCCAATTGTTGGAGGGCTGGAGGATGAGGGCTTGGCGTGGCTTGGTCTCACTTGGCATCACGTTCCGGACAGCTGTAGTCTGATTCGCTGTGTAATGGTTCCTTCGTGGGATCCAAAGTCGGTTTCTCTGTAAATTTCTCCTTGGCAATGGGGTATTGGGAGCGGCTGGGAATTTCGATGCACGCTGTGTGCTCCGCACGGCGTAATCTTATTCGCCATAAGAGTGACGGCCGGCGACACGACTCGAAAAAGCTTTGCTAGCCCTGGCTTGTCAACGGATATGGTGCCGGCGAAGTTGAGGAAGACAGCCCTGGGATGGTTCGACCGCAATTCCAAGATCCAGGCAGGTCTGGCGTCACGTGCCAGCAATCGGGCACCGTGCCCAGCTGGTATGGTTCGACCGCCGTCATCCTGTCAAACCAGCAAAACTCCAAATTGACCGCTTCGTCCATTCCTTATCTATTGAGCGCGTCCGAGCGGAACCACCTCGGTCGCATCAACATTGCGCAACAGCAATGTAGCTTGTCGCGTGCTCACATCCATAGTCGCCGTTCGGAAACCCCTGCCCAGGCATGCTATGGACCAAATGCAGCCCTATGGAGAGCACAGAAACCCCAGAAAGCGGCTATAGATCGCGACACGCAGCGGGAACCAAGGATCTTTCCCAGATCTCGCGTCCGAAACGACGATAGACATGCCTTCGATTGGTGTTCGACGCCAGGTGTCCATCAGGGTAACGCCTTGATCGGCTCTAGTTGGGTGGTCCGCCGACGTCACCACTTACCCTTTGATCTAAGGTTTATTGATGATCAGGTACATAGACACCGCTAGGCGCATAGCGCATCTTTAATGTTTTACTCCAAACGCGTCTTCTTATCGCAAACTCTCCGTGGGCCGTCAGGTACTCGACTTGGACGTGGTAGTGCCGAAGTACAGCTACCGATCCGCACGTTTCGACACGCGACACCTTTCCTAGGTAGAGCATCGCCGAAGAATCCCGCGAAGCCGAACAAATCGCAGTCGCCTACGAAAATGTCCAAGAGAACATCATACGAACGCTCCGAACTCGGACACACAACTCTTAAGCGCGCAAAACAGGTAGACGGTAAGTTATGATTGAACAAAATGCAGGTGAGACATACGTTGATTCCGTACCCCAGAGGATCTGCCATTCGATCAAGTTCAGGAAGCTCTCGGCGCGCAAGATGAGATCAAGGACGTGACTAAAGTAGCGCATTGGTTCCGCCCTAAAGACCTTCGCATTCAAGACAATACCGCGCTGCATCATGCTTCCGAGCTTGCCCAAAGCGCAAAGAAACCTTTAGTATGTTTCTACATCAACTGCGCTGCGGACGAATCATGGCATGGGACCAGCCCTGCAAGAGTGGACTTTATGTGTGAGGGGTTGCGCATCATGCAGAAAGAGCTGAAGGAATTGAATATACCGCTAGTCTTCCTGGAATGCAGGGACAGAAAGAAGATTGTGGAAACAGCAGTGGAGTGGTTGAAGAAGCAGGAGATTTCACATGTGTTTGGCAACTTCGAATATGAGATTGACGAGATGCGGAGAGATCTAAAGCTCTGTAAAACAGCTGGCGACGATATCCAAGTCTCGTTGTACCATGACCAGACAGTTGTCGAACCGGGCACAATGCTCACAGGCACCGGGACACCGATGAAGGTCTTTACGCCATTTTTCAAAGCCTGGCTTGAAAGGCTAAAGGACGAGCCAGAGCTGCTTGACACCAACCCTGCGCCTGCCGCGAATCCATCGTCTGCAAAGAAGGAACTCAAGGATTTGTTCGATACGCCTGCACCAGAACCAGCAAAAGACAAGCTATTCGAGTCGGAAGAAGACAAGAAGAGGATACGAAAATTGTGGCCTGCCGGCCATGCTGCGGGAGCAAAACGCATGGACGCCTTCCTCAAGCAGATTGATCACTACGCCGCCACACGCTCCAATCCTGCCGCCAACAGCACATCCCGCATGTCCGCCTACTTCAGCGCGGGTATGTTTTCCGTGCGCGAAGCATTGCAGAAGGTCGTGGATTACAACCGCGGCAGTACTGATTTCACCGAAGCCAAAGCATCCAACGGCGTGTACGGTTGGGTCCGAGAAATCGTCTTTAGAGAATTGTACAGACAGACTACAATGACGACACCCCACACCTCGATGAACTTGCCGCAAAATCTCAAGTTCGACGCAGTAGAATGGGAAGACGACGAAGAAGGCTGGGAAAAGTGGTACAAAGGCGAAACAGGCGAACCTTTCATCGACGCCGGAATGCGCCAACTTAACGCCGAAGCATACATGCACAACCGGCTACGTATGAACGTCTCTTCTTACCTTTACTGCAATCTCCTCCTCGACTACCGCCGCGGCGAACGATACTTTGCCGAAACCCTCATCGATTGGGACCTTTCCAACAACACTCAAGGCTGGGAGCCTTCATACACCGTCTTCAACCCTGTTTCTCAGGCCGAGAGGAACGATCCTGATGGTGATTACATTCGGAAATGGGTGCCGGAACTCAAAGATGTCCAGGGCAAAGCGGTTTTCGCTCCCTATGCGAGGTTATCGAAGAGCGAATTCGAGAAGTTGGGATACCCGAAACCGCACGTGGATTGGAAGGAGACGAAGGCTAGAGCGCTGGATAGGTTTAAGAGGGGTTTGAGGAACGCGGATGTTTAGCCGGGCTAGACGAGGGGGGTTATGGCTGGATGATACCATACTGATTGTTTAGAATAATGCAGAATCATTGATATAGCATACGTTTCCAACTTTCATCCTTTTTCTTCTTGTTTACACCAACTTGCCGCTGCCTAGGCTTCTATCGAAACAAACCGAATCGTAATCGCTGCGTTCGTCTATTGGTGAATTGCAGTCCTACATTCTACCACTGAGCTACCGGCCCATTTAATGGACGTTGAAGATTGGGCGTAGTACAATAAATCTTGAGACAAAAAGATGGCTCCACGGCCTGTCCACGCTAAGTGCGTTGGGTGCATGTGGGGCCGACTGAACACCCCTCACCAGTGCCACAGCGGAGGCCAGTGCCCCATCCTTGTCCGTATAAGAGTATCCTGTTCTCATGAGTTACAATACCCTATTTGCGAGATGAAAGTAGCTGGACAAGGTAATGCAGTAGGCAGCATCATGTGTAGTGTCCATGCCAAGTGCTGCGGGGGAAGGCTGAGCTGCATAGCCTGCTTTCATCCTCAGCCTGCTGGACTCTTGAGTTGTCCTTCTCCTTCTTCTCTCTCTTTTGGAGGCTTTCAGCTGTCTATTGTTCATTCAAGATCCTTTAGCCTTGTTCGCACCTTCCAGGCTCCAGCTTCCAACCTTGGATTCATCCCTTCTCATCGCAAGCGGTACCTACTGTAACTGCCTCGATAGATGCTTGTAGATGCTTGTTTTGCACTCTGGAGCCTGATTTCTTGGCTGCGGCCATACACGATAACCTTCGAACGAACGTGCAAAGCCTTTAGAGTGTCGCCTATGTATACAGATTCGTGGTGAGCTAGCTGTAGCGCGAGACTATCTTCTAGAATTATTGCTAAGATATGATAGTTCTATCGCTACAATCCTGGACAAGTCTCGCACGTAACCTCTCGAATCGATTCTACCTTTCGTAGTGTGTGTACTCTCAATCTGTTTCATGCCACCAATGGAGCAACTCCGATATAAGCCGCTAGATCGCGATAGTGGTGCAATTCGCTTGGTTCGCCTTCTTCCAGGCACGAATGAGCCTATTCGGCTTGAACTCATTCACTCGAATTTTGATGAGGAGCCACATATTCCTTATGAGGCTTTGTCGTACGTATGGGGGTCTCCAAATGAGGGCCGGGCAGTAGAGGTCGACGTTCAGCAATTGACGATCACTCCGAATCTGAATCTGGCGCTACTGAGATTGCGTCGCGCAAATGAAGACCGGATCTTATGGATCGATGCGATTTGCGTCAACCAGTCTGATGACAAGGAGAAAAGTGAACAGGTGGCAAAAATGGCCAATACATTCGCAAGAGCCGAGAAAGTAATTATCTGGATAGGTGAATCCACACCTGAAACGGACGTGGTCTTCCATTTAATGCAATTTCTGGAAATGGAAGCACAGAAATATCCGTATGAGAACTGGGAGCCTTCAGACAAACGGTGGTTGAGGCTATGGTCTACCGTTGGAAATTCAAATGAAGATCTTGTCTTGCAACGGGGCAAGGGTTTAGAGAGCATTCTGTCTCGACCTTGGTTCCAAAAAGTATGGAACATTCAAGAATTCTCCAAAGCACCGGCTGCTGAAGTGGTGTGCGGCCTGGAAACAGTATCAGCTCCTATATTTGTGGTCGCGCTATTTCTGGTAGCCGGTTCGCAGTTTCAAGCAGTCTTTGGTCTTATTTATGGACTTGAGCAGAAGTACTCCTGGTCGACAGAGCTCCCAGATCTCTGCAAAAGTCTACTGAAGCACAAGGAGTGGCTGGCGGTCGACTTCGCGGATAAAATATATGGATTGCTTGGCCTTTGGTCACACGAACATACTAAAGAGCTCGTGCCAGACTATCCCAAGATTTCAGCAGAGTCGATTCAAGACGCTATTGCGGCTGTACTAGGGTTTGACGTCGGCTGGAAATCTACATGTCGCTTACCAGAGTGGGAGCTATCAGAGTTGCACGAGAATCTTTTTTCACTGGTCGACAAAGTTAGTAGATGGGCCGTCAGAGAAAGGCAACTTATAACACTGGAGGCTATCATGGACCGAAATAAGGTCCGAGTTGTCGGGAGCAGTTTTCATCCGGGGAGTCTCTTGTGGGAACCAATCCTGCTTCACGACACGGAGATGGCGAAGTTGCTCTTCGAAAAGGGCACAGACGTAGACCTTCGCAACGAAGGTTCGTGCAATGCGCTCGTTGCTGCTTTGAAGAATGGTCACAAGCAAACAGTAGAGCTATTACTCGAGAGATTCACCGAAGTTGTCAGAAGCTACGGTGATTACCTCAACATCCTTCACCATGAGGAGCTTCGAGAGCTGATACCTGGAGCAGTCGATAACTCTGACTTACCTAGTGGAAAGGGTCGTGATGGTTCCCAAGTGGTGTTGACTGATGACACTAACAGCTCTACAAAGAACAGCCATACATTTGTCAATTCGACCAGTGATCGAGAAGAATACGATGGCATGACAAAAGTAGATCTAGGAGGGTCCCACCGAGTCCTCGATACTTGGTTTCAGCAACAGAAGTTCGAAAACGTCGATGTTCAGTCGCTCGTTTCCGAAGAGGGCGACACGGCCTCTGACACCTCAATGCCTTTGTCGTCATGGGCTAGCGAGACGGAACTTACCATCGTTGGTGTCCTTGCCAACAGTTCTATTCTTTCTCCGCTGTACTCAAAGGCGCTGCAACTCATGCCCGAAGAACGATTTATCAACAATTTCAGACGTTTACTGCGGGCTTTCCATGGAAGTCTCGTAGCATCCGACAATTCGAATATCACACGCCAGCTTGCAAAACTTTTGAGGTCTAAGCAACGCCAAAGTAGGATTGCCAGGATGTTCGTAGCCCGACACGTAGCTTTGCAAAGCTCTTGGAATGAGGAGGATCTCGCCAGTTTACGTGACAAGGAGAAGCAAGCTTATACAAACGTGGACGGTTGGCTTGATAAAACTATTGTCTCCTCTACTATCATCGATAATCAAGCAGACAGCTCAGGAGATATGAATACAGAGTCCGAAAGTGGTAACGACAGCGACTCTGAGTTTGATGGCGAAGAGAACATGTCTCATTTTGCCCAGTATCCGAGATTAGACCTTGTTGTTCAGAAGCTCGTAGAAGGAAGACCTTTCCAAGATATGCTGACCAGCTTCAAAGAGCTTCTTCTACCACCTGGGCTTCTGAAAGAGCTGTTACCGATACCAAGAGACAGCATCACCTATGGAACAACGGAAGAAAATGGTCTTCTGTCAACTGTTCAGGGGTTTTTAGAGAAGATCACCGCGTTGGAATGGGATTGGTGGCCGCTATCGCCTAGGATGAGATCACTGAAACCCAGTGAAACACGTGTTTATTGGAAATGTGTAAGTCTATCGCTTCTACCTAAAGTTCGATACTGATTCGAAAGTTTTGTGGAACAAATCGATGGAGAGAACTGAAAATGGAGCAACAAGAGATTTTAGACGAGGTTCTCAAGGAGTCTTCCGCCGATGATCATCCTCGACCGCTTTGTGCTTTACTCCGAGACACAAAAAGCGCTAGCTGTATGAAGACATCTAGTCTTTCTCAACACGCAGCCAGTCAACCACATCAAGATGCTGGTCCCAATTCTCACATTTCCGCTTCTTCTAACGTATCACCTTCATCACTTGGAACTCAGGCGATGCGATCACAGCCCGGGAGTGATGCTGTTTCACAAGCAGCAGGGAATGGACCTGTACAACCTACCTCCGCGAGTACATCATCCTCGCAAGACTCATCAGGAAACAACTCAGCATACAACAAGCAGCTCTGGGTGAATTTTGGAGTGGATGGCTCATGGACTCCAACGGAACTAGACCAGCTTGGTGGCCTCAACTTGGTGAGCGACTCCGCCTTCCTACGGAACCTTGGAAGAAGACACCGTGAGATAAGGGGTTGGTTTCGCCACTACTTTTCATTCCGCATCATAAGCTACTGGGAATTTCTCCGGTTCAAAAGACTGCCACTACTTCCTCCTCAGACTATCGATGTTGAGGCAGATTTGCCCACATCTAGCGACTACGAATATGATCCGAGGCCACCGCGCGCGACAAGAGATAAGCCTGGCATCACCAAGCACGAATTCGAAGTCTATGTACGACTCTGTCTGGATCCCTGCTGGCTGTCATCTCTGCTCATGCCACACAAGTGCCGCACAGTAGGAGATTCCGCTGTTGATATCGTCGATAAGATTCCAAAGTACAAGAAGCTTTTGGAACAGCGCGCCCAAGGAGACGAGCACGTTTGGGGTATAAGAGCAAGATACGTTGTGTCTGGTATTCGTGTGGTTGCGCTTCACATTGCAATTCTTTGCATCTCTTTTGGCGTGTGGATCTGGTGGCAATGGAAGCATCCGGATGACCTCCAAGGAGCCGCGGTTGCGCTCACAGCTGCGTTCCTGCTCATATCTACATTTTGGAGTGCGACTGGTGTTCTTAGGGATTTACGCTAGCTTCGCAGGAGTTTGTTTGGTGGTAAAACGTATGCCATCTTCCAAGATATGCTATTCATTGATCAGACAGGATATTCGTGGTGGCAAGAGCATTGAGCTTTGCCAGGGCGCAAGGCGCAACGCATGTTCGTTCATGAACATCAACGCTATGGATACAGACATACGCCTTAGACGTATATACTAGCATCAAGGATCATGCTCTTTGCTATTGCGCGCTGTTGTAGACGATAGCTTCGAGTTGTTATCCACACCTGTCAACTTCATGTTCGCAAGCGGCGTCTACATGTTCGTGACATGATTGTTCATACAGGTAGTCTACAGACCTTCACTCGTGGTATAGTACAAGTCCACTCCTATCATATTCATACACTGTAGTTCTGCACCTCCGCTTGCAACCGATGCACCCCGCGCTCGCTTCTCAGGAGCATTTGTATGCAAGCCACACACCCCCGTTGTGTTTGTCCCTTCAGTTTTCCGCTCATGTCGTCCAGTGGTCTACTCCCATCTCATTTCCTTCTTCAAAGGCTTCTCCCAGTCCTTGATATGATCCGAAATGACCTTGGCAGCCTGGTCAGCGGTGAAATTGCGTCCGATCGCCTCGACGAAATCGCCCTCTGGATCTGTTTCATATCTGTTAGTCCAAAGTTCCTGCGCTCTATGTACAACGCAACATACCCATCAGATAGAAGTAAATGCTGTGATCAACCAGGTAGTCCTGACCGGGCTTGGTATCCTTGGGCGTGCTAAAGTACACCCTATACGCCTTGCAAGTATCCTTGATCTGCTCGTGGTTGCCCGTCAACCCAATGAAATCAGGGTGGAACTCGGCCAGGTATTCCTTGAGTACGCTCGGGTTGTCGCGCGCGGGGTCGCATGTGATCATGATGGGGAGGAGGACGTTTCCGCATTCGGCAACGACTTTATCGTACATGAGGGCCATTTTGTCGAGTTCGTCGGGGCAGATGTCGGGGCAGTGGGTGAAGCCGAAGTAGACCTGTAATACTACTGTCAATATGGGAGCTTAGAGGGGAGTAGAGGTGTTGTCGTACCAAAGAGTATTTGCCTAGCATGTCCTCGTTGCTAAAGGGCTTGCCGTTGTGGTCTACGAGGTGGAATGGCCCGCCTACTTTGGGCTTGCCAATGCCTTTTGTCTGCTCTGCTATCCGCTTTCGTGCCATGCGCTCTTTCTCGTATGTGAAGTAGGCCCATAGTCCTCCACCGGCTGCAACGAAGAGGATTGCGGCTGTGAGGTTGAATGGCTGGAGATATCGTCAGCCTCTAATCATATGCCCAAATTTCGACTATCTCATGTATGGCCCTTCAGACAGCTAAACATACCCCGCCCTTGTTCCTTGCCCGGATTTGATCTATCGTCTTGAGCTTGCTCCGCGACGCCGATTGCGAGAAATTCCTTGTCTGACTCTGGCAGCTAGTCGCTGCCTTCCCAGATGCGTTCCGTGCTGTCTGTAATTGCCTCAGACATGTTGTGTTTGCCGCCGCTACTTTCCGCGATGATGCGGCCGGACTCGATGTGCTAGAGGCGAATGTTCGATACGTGATGCGCGCCGCTTGTGGGTTTTGGATACTTCTCGTGGCCGTGGCCATACATCTGGTTGGCGCAGCCATTTAGGTGGTATCGTTGGAGAGTGTATGACGACGTGGTGTTGCGAATTGGTGTTCCGGGAGACTTTTCTCATGATTCGAGATGCGAACTCGCCGCGCTCGGGCCAACCTCGACTGACATCTTGCTCACTTGCTTACATGTACATCTCCGCCTCAACGCGTCACCGAGAAAGCCTATCTATCGACTTTATACACGGCAATACATGGTTTAGTTGGAATCACAATCTATTCCCATGTCTTATTAGGCCAATGCCTTATAGAATAGCCATCACGTTCGTTGTCGGCCTATCTGTTCAACAGCTTCATCACTCAGCCCGAAACAGGGCGGACTTATCCAACCTTCTGAGCAGTTTTCTCGGATTATGCTCCAGAATGAATGAGTACTGCAATCCGTCGAGACGATAACAAGTCAGGCTGTTAAGCCGAGGTTCGACGACAACATGTTTATCTTAAGAGAAATTATTCCTTGTAATGGAGCAGATGAATCAATCATTGTTACACCCACCTTTGTTTGCATTCCAAACTAGACCGAGAGAATTGCTAGATCACCGAGATTTCGATATAGCGAGATGCATGAAAAGTACATTGAGTGTTACGAGAAGTAGGAAAGCATCTACGATAGGCTAGGATTATTCGACTATACTAAACAAGCGTGATCTCACAGGCACCGTAGTCTTCTCTCATGCGTTCAAACTCATCTTTACGAAGATACTTAAACACTCCAACGCGCTCATACGCCCCTATGCAAGTGGCGGACCGTCCAAGTATCAGTCCGTCCACTCGTCTCTTCAACAACATGAGAATTGGAAGAAGTGTTACCAAATATGGTCCGTCTGAGCTTCCTTCTTCTCTCATCGCTCGCCGTGTAGTTCTCTCTTCGGTTCCATCCATGAGTCGAACATCAACCTGAACCAAAGTTGTGTCAATGTGGATACTCGCACTGGAGATGTTGTGCCGCGACGTAGATAGTTTGTGTTCCAGCGTATGTGTTGTGGCGCTCGACCTTCTGGGCAACGGTAAAATATAAACTTCGAGCGATGCTGGAATCAGTGTGCCAGTCAAGCGTATCGTGCCAGATGAGACGGGACCGTAAGGGTTGGTGGTTGAAGGCATTACTTCAGTCTGCACGTTGTTGACTAGTGTTTTCTCCCCGACAGCTGAAGAATAGAATACTATTCTCTTTGGCAGTTGAAGCGACATCCAACTCCAAGAAGGGGCAAAGAATGACGACGGACGTGCTGTTTCGTCACAATGCCATAGAAGTTCTTTACAGATATCTTCCCTCCACAAGCCTGCGAGATATTTACCATTAAACCGTGATGCGAATCGAGAAGCAAGAGCTGATATTGCGACTGGCGTATCTGTAGGCTTCGTGAGTAATCTCTCACTGTACGGTTCGGCAACATCGCTCCTCCAAAACTGCGCAAAATCTTCGAGACTTGTATACTCCATCCGGGCCCCAAACATGTCATTACGTTGTAGAATTGAGGAACCGACAGTGTTGCTTCCGTGGTACTCGCAAGAAGAAGACTTTTTGCATTCCCAGCTCATTTCCCAGTTGCCATACGCAAGGAAACGGCGAGCGCATAACCTCTCCTGTAGAGTCCAACCCCTCTTGTACAGGGGCTCATCTATGTCGTGATGCAATTCGGGTACTGCCCTGTAGACAAATGAAGTTGCGCTTCCTCTTATATCCAGGCTGACTGTTCCTTCACAAGATGGCCTCTCTTTTCGCAGAAACCCTTCATTCGCGGATTTCGCTGCAGCAACAGCCAGAACCAAGTCAGCATTGCTGTATATACTTGCCATTATACTTGATTGGTGCTCCCAATCTAGCTCGTCGTCCTGGACGATGCACAGGCTATCGATCCAGATATGCGTAAATCCAAGCGCTCGCGTAACATAAATGGCATCCGAGAATGTCGACGGTAGTTCGTGGGCAGGAATCTTGTCTTGAAAGCTAGCCAGAGTTTCTAAGGTGGTTCGGAGTGGTTGCGCATCGCCCCAGCAATGGCTGAGCGCAACATAGGAGCCCTGGGTCGAGTCTTCTGACGCCAGCGCAAGCTTAATAACATCACCCCGAAGGTCGATCAGCCGAGAGGGACCAGTCGTATCAAATTTCCCATCACACAGCTGATGGCCATTCTGGCAGGTTGACAACCATCGTTGTGCCAAACTCAAGCACGCAGGATCAACAGCTCGTTGAGGGACTGGCTTATACTTTTCCAGGCGGATGGGGAGATCGGAATCTGTGATGTTGGTATCTGGAGACATATCTATTAACAGAACTAGCTTTACCTTTCAGAAAGACGGTGTTCGTTGCCCACAATGCGGGATTGAGAGTATGCGGCAACCCCGTCATAAAGGAATTGGTCAAACGTAAGAGGTACTGGCCATCTAGGTTCAGTTTAAGTTTCACAGTCAACCACACGAATCCGTATTGTTGCATCGCATCTTCCTTGACGGCCGTTATGAGGCGGCAAAACATGCAGCCGCCTTCGGCGCTTTCTTCCCAGGGCCGGTCGACTTCTTTCTGGCCGAAGTATTCGGCTACCGACTCTAAATCCAGGTCTTCTACAGAGATGTCGCTATTGCAATTCGGACATCGTTTGGCCACGTCTGCAGGTGGCGTCGGAGCCTCAAGGTGTCCTGGAGCGATGACTTGGCCGCCTTCGGACTGCATAGCGATCGATCGTGGTGCGATGATGAAAGGACGGTGTTGAGAGTGTTCTGTTTCGCATGCGTATCGTTAGCTCTGGGTCGTAAGATAGAGTTGAAGTCGTCAGGCTGAGGCAGAAGTTGGATCCTGATGCTGCATGGTGGCTTGGCTTAGCGAACACAGCCCATGGAATCTAGATCACGCGGCCCTCTATCTGATGATGACAACAGCGGGGACTGGCTGCGACATGACTGGGACCCGATATCGAGTGCAGTGTGATTAGGTGATTACTAAGGAAACGCTGTTTAAGAACGTCCACTCGGTCGTGTAGCGAGGTGTAAAGGGATGTCCACTCGAAATGCTTTCCGCCACCACTGACTGCACTTTTCACTTTATGCCAATAGCCTTGAGAAGCTCTTCTTTCTGCGTCTTGCCAATCGAGCCTTCTAGTTCGACACCCTTGACGACCTCACTCATGCTCTCCATCTCTTTGACGCCTGTGCCATGTGCAAAGTGCCAGAGCTCTTCTTCCTCATAGCGCACCTGAAACGCTTGCCAATTTTGCGCTTTCAGCGTGTTGACATGCTCTGTGACAGCTGCCGATGGACCGGAGTAGACGAGAACGCCGGGATAACCAGGCTTGGTGATTCCAGACACGGGCGGCGTCGACGGTGGTGGCAAGAGTGCAAGTTTGCGTTTGTTGGTGTTTAGAAGGTGATGCAGCCATACAATGACGGTTTTGGGGGTGATGTCGGCTCCTGCCATTGTGTCGCTACTTGCATCAGATGTGGCAGGAGCGAATTCAACGACCTGCTGGAAGGCAGCGACGATGGCATCAAGTACTTCCTCTCCTTCGGCTAACCCAACATCCTTGACCGCTACTTTTACACGTGTCCGCAAGTCGTTCTTTGCTGCGTCAGTCGCAGAGATGATGTCCGGCAATCCTAATTCCGGATACGACTCCGGTAACCGAAGAAGGAGCGATGCATGGTTGTCGTGTGAGAACTTTAACTCCCGTGACTTGGGACCATAGTGCGTCTGATTGGGATACATGGCCTCTAACAGCTCGAGCTCGGTTTCAAGGCGGGTGGGTCCATGGTCTGACATGGTAAATGCAGATGCAGCTGGAAGTTGGCGAAACGGAAAATTCTACTGTATGCTTTTGTTCGGCAACGGTGGCCAGGGCATTGGGGGTATCTGGCATATAACCTGCTTTTGTTGCAAATCAAGACGCAGTGAGTGGACCGGTGTATCAAGTGATGCTTCGTATTAGGATAGTGTGGATGGATGTATTGGCCTCTTCTTCTCAGGATCGCGATCTTCAAGTCTAGGCCCGTGCATAGTGTCCTGGATGACATGGGGACGAAAACAATGGGTCAGTAGTTCGTGCCGCATAAATGATAAGAAACGTAGCTCGTTGTTGGATGCATAAGTGGCGCTGGAAGAGGCCCATATCTCGCTTGTGTCTCATCTTTTAGCCCGCTGCTGTCACCGGGGTGATGAAGGGGAGGGATGTCAACAATCTTGCTTCGCGGCGGCTACATGAACAGGTAGAGTGCTCGTCCAACAGCAACAAAGCTGCGCACAGGAATTAACGCCTCAAGACGCGTCCCTGCTGCAAGATACACCCGCTTTATAAAGAGGGCGTCGTGCCCGGTGCATCCGACCGTGAAACTAAAACCAATAAGCTTTCCTGATCGAGCTAGCAGGCGACGCGGAGTTCGCGCGCTACTGGGCTCGTGTGCAGGCCGCCCAGAGAGGTGCTAACCACCCCCAAGACGCATCAATTACCTCAAAGACTATCTCGAGAGATCTGCACGCTCCCAAAGAAAACATTGCACCCCAGACCCGAAACCATATCCGCTGCCATCCTCTCGTGAACACTCACAAACCATCTTCTGCAATCAGCACCCACGGCACCCTCTCTGCAGCGACGCAATCATAGTCTTACACCAACAAACCAGCACTTTACGCATACCTCCACGCACACGCTTCCATACGACTGCCGACTCAGAACCTCGATTCTTGAAAGGGCCCATGAGCCGTAGCCTCGCCGAAAATGAAGGCTGCTCCGCTTTTGGTGTCCTGGCACAACGAGAACGCTCCCATATACTCAGCTCACTTTGAGCCGCACGGCAAGGGACGTCTGGCAACAGCTGGCGGAGACAACAATGTCCGGGTGCGTCGGCATGCACATATCAACGACTTGGACTTGCGCTAATATATATAACAGCTTTGGAATGTCGAGACACATGGTGAAGAGCGCAGGGTCACCTATCTGTCAACCCTCGTAAAGCACACACAGGCCGTGAATGTGGTACGATGGTGTCCACGAGGTACTTCGCTTCTGCATATGCAAACAAGAACAGCAACTAATCTCTTATAGGCGAAATGCTCGCGAGCGCCGGCGACGATGGCAACGTCCTGTTGTGGGTTCCAGCTGAGAACCAGACCACGCACAACTTCGAAGAGGGTCTCGAAGACAAGGAGACATGGCGGGTCAAGGCCATGTGCAGGTCTATAGGGTCTGAGATTTACGACCTTGCCTGGTCTCCAGACGGCGTCTTCTTCATCACAGGAAGTATGGACAACATTGCCCGCATATACAACGCTCAAACTGGTACGACATCTGCTCTGGTACCACCTGTCCGATAGTTGCTCAATAATCTCTAGGAAGCATTGTACGCCAGATCGCCGAGCACAACCACTACGTTCAAGGCGTGGCATGGGATCCCATGAACGAATACATCGCAACCCAGTCGTCCGATCGATCCGTGCACATCTACACACTGAAGAACAAGGACGGTCAATTCTCGTTGGCCCAGCATAGCAAGGTCACCAAGATGGACCTACCCGCGCGACGTGTGTCCTCGAATAGTCCTGCACCTCCAGACTTCGGCGGCCGAGCGTCCTTCGTTGCCGACTCAATGGCCATCGGCTCGCCGGTGCCATCAATGCCTGGCACACCGCAATCACTGGCTCTCCCAACCATGCATCCGCCGCCAACTTCACACAGTCGTCGTTCATCGTTCGGCTCCTCTCCATCGATGCGCCGCTCCGCCTCGCCCGCTCCCTCGATGCCACTACCAGCGGTCATGCCGAACTCTCCCAGTATCAGCAGTATCGGCACGATTGGGGTTCGCAATGCACCCATCTACTTCAACGAAACTTTGACCTCGTTCTTCCGACGCCTTACATTCGCCCCCGATGGCAGCTTGCTGTTCACGCCCGCAGGCCAATACAAAGCGATACACCCGTCAATTGGCGAAGCGAAACCAGCCGAAGACATCACAAATACAGTGTACATATATACGCGTGCAGGGCTGAACAAGCCTCCGGTTGCATATCTTCCGGGTCACAGGAAGCCATCGGTTGCTGTTCGTTGCTCACCGGTGTACTATACCCTACGCCAGACTGTTCCACCTACGAGGCAGATCACCATCGATACTTCAAACATGGACGACGAGATTCCTTCCTTACCCGAGCCAGTCATGCCTTCAAAGCCTCCTACGTCTCATTCATCCATGGATCCTCCGCCCATTACAAGTGCACCTTCCCCTTCCCCAAGCCTCTCAGCGCCGTCACCAAAGCCCACCGATGGCGAAGCTTCTTCCCAATCTGGGGTGCCAGCCGGGCCCCCGTCAGCTTTCACTCTCCCATATCGAATGATTTATGCCGTTGCGACACAAGATGCTATTCACATTTATGATACGCAACAACAAAAGCCACTGTGCATTGTCAGTAATCTGCACTTTGCTACTTTTACTGATATTACTTGGTAAGTGATTGAGAAGAACATTAGCCTGTGACGCGACTGACATGTTCACAGGTCCAATGATGGCTCAATGCTGCTGATGACCTCTTCCGATGGCTTTTGTTCATCGGTCACATTTGCTCCTGGCGAACTTGGAGAGAAGTACACTGGACCGCTAGCTGTCCATAGTCGACCACAGCAGACACCTGCTGCGATCAATACCACAGGGGGCCACGCATCGAACAACTCTACTCCAACCCCCACACCAACGACTGGAAGCATGTCAGCTACTGCAACGGCAACTGCGCCACCTATGCAGAGGCAACCATCTGCAGGCTTCCCAGCCTCTCCGAGCTCCTTCGTTCCCGCAAGACCCGGCAGCCCCACAAGGAGCAACTCTGTTTCCAGCATTGCTACTGCTTCGTCCTTTGCTCCAGGTGCAGGTGACCAGAGCAACATGAACGCCCCAACCCCAGCTATGTCGTCTGTCCCTAGTATAGCTGCCGCCAATTCTGGGCCTGTACCAATGTGGACGCCACCCCTTACACCAGCTCACGGACAAGGCGCGACTCACAGTGCAAGCAGCTCAGTCGGTGGCATACCCAACATCGGCCAGGTCGGACGAAGAGAAAGCGAAATGAGCGAGTCTGATCGTGACGATGTATCTTCAACCTCGAAGAAGCGAGAGTTGCACGCGGTACCAGAACCGGACGTAGATGCGCGAGAGAGCAAGAGACGACGGATTGCGCCAACACCAATTACAATGATGGCGGAGGGCGACAGTGCAATTGCCAGCACCGAAGAAGATACCCCCACGCAGACGCCAGGCCAGCAGTAGGCTTTTCATATTGTTCAACTGTTCCTCCGATTTGATGGTTGCGTATACCTTCTTTTAAGCATGGCGTTTAGGATATTAGGGTTTCATCCACGGCGATATCATGTACAGGGCTTTTCTTCTGCCTGATCATATACTAGCATGGTGCGTTTATCATCCACTTACCAGAGCTTTCACTGCACGATGATACGTGCGATTCATGGTTCAAAAGATAGGTCACAACCAATGCAGGTAAATTCAAGTAGAGTCACCCTCCCTTGGCGGCGTTTGCATTCTTCGTCTACATTTTTATTCTCCCAATCAACCTCTCTGACGTCGGCACCTCTGTCGCATGTAGCCGATCTCCGTATTCAATCACCTCGCGCGCGCATCTCCACATACACCCACACACACCCGACATCCGATTATACAAGCCGTGTACGTTGCAAACACCTTCCCACAGTGGTATCGGTATCGCTAGCAACGCAACCCCCCAAGAGATTCCAAGAGATTATCCCCTGTCACGACCAGCCCGCTTACCATGTCAGCCAATCACAGTCCAGCCATGAGCTTAGCAACCGGCTTCCTTGATTTGTCGCGTTGATCGCTGCGTTCGGCCCAAGCGAAGAAAACGTGGTGGGATCGGACGTTGCATTGGGTAAGAAGAGCGGAGGGAGAGGAAATGTTCTTGTCCTTACGCTATATTGCTGCATGTGCCGGCCGGTGAGATGGCTAGATATCGGCGCCATGTCGACGCTGTAGATGTTTAAGTCTACCTAACCCCTCTGCGTTCCCTGGGCCCTGTGCTCCTCCTCCTCCTCCTCCTCCTCCTCCTCCTCCTCCTGCCCCACCCTTCTGTTTAGTACGCCGCATCATTCCAATTTGCTTTTTTCCTTGGCTGTTTTTGCGGTGGCTTGCTGAATGTCGCGTGCGAACTTTTTTGACGTTTGGATAAGAGTATTTTGAACACAAGGTACTCTTGGTGGTGTGTCGCGTTCGCGTCGCCCGTGAGCCCGTTGCGAAAGATGGACGATACGGCTAAGATTGGAGATGATAAGAAGGTGGTGCAGGAGCAGGGACGGGAGCAGGATCACGATGTCGAACAGCAAGATGCATACGGCGAGACGAGGAGTTTGGGTAAAGACGATATTTTACAGCTCGAGCATACGGATCCGGTGCTAAATGCAAAGATGCATTTGGTTAATAATGCTATCGACGAGGTGAGCTTTGATTTTAGGAAGAGAGTCTAGTTGTGTGTACTGATTGGTTGGGTGTTTGCAGATTGGGTTTACGACGTATCAATGGAAGGTATTACTTGCGTTTCCACGAGCACTTGGACGTTATCTAATCTCATTTAGCTCTTCGTCTTGAATGGTTTCGGCTACGCTGTCGATTCGCTCATCCTACTTATACAATCCGTCATCGCGGCCCAGGCGACCCTCGAGTTCAATCCTTCCTACCAAAACGGGTTGACCATCGCTGCGTACGTTGGTATGCTCACGGGCGCTCTATTCTGGGGCCTATCTGCCGATATTATCGGGCGGAAGACGGCCTTTAACGTCAGTCTGCTGATCTGCTCCATCTTTGCGATTGGTACGTTCCGATTGTACAACATGTTTGTGAGATATGAACTAATTTCGTACGTGCATCTTTGCAGTGGCTGGTGCAAGTCCGAATTGGGAGGTTTTGGGCCTGTTTGTATGCTTGAGTTCTTTTGGGGCTGGGGGTAACCTGGTTCTTGACACTGCCGTCTTTCTAGAGTATCTGCCTAGTTATAGGCAGTGGATGCTCACACTCATGGCGGCTTGGTGGGGTATGTAACACCTTACTTTCGGTCGATCAGAGTGCAGCAACAAGGTCATCAAGCATACTGGATACTAACAAGCCCACACAGGCATCGGCCAACTCATCGCCGGTTTCTTCGCTTGGGCTTTCCTCCCAAACTTCAGCTGCGCAGATCCATCCATTGACCCAACGGCCGAACCTTGTACAAAGTCCAACAACCAAGGCTGGCGCTACGTCTGGTACGCTTCTGGCTCTTTAGTCTTCGTCATGTCCATCCTCCGCATAACCGTCATCCGACTGAAAGAGACGCCCAAGTTCCTCGTCAGCGAAGGAAAAGACGCAGAATGCGTCGAGACTCTCCACTTCATCGCAACAAAGTACAACCGCCCCTGCAGTCTCACACTCGCCCAGATGCAAGACTGCGGCACGGTAGATCGCATCGCAACACGGGGGAACAAGAGTAAATGGGGTTTTGGAGAAATCGCCATGCACCTACGCGGTCTTTACTCGACGCGAAGAATCGGTATCTCAACGTCTCTAATCTGGCTTTCCTGGACACTGATTGGTCTCGCTTACCCGCTGTACAACGTCTTTCTCCCCGCTTACCTTCGCTCCCGCGGCGCCGCTTTTGGTGAGCCCTCGCCCTCTATTACCTGGCGCAACTACACGCTCGTCAATTTCAGCGGTATCTGGGGTCCCGTGCTAGCTGGTTACATGTGCCATACGCGTCTTGGTCGGAAATATACAATGGTCATTGGCGCGTTGGTTACTATGGCTTTCTTCTTTGCGTATACGCAGGTCCGCACTGCGGTGCAGAATGTGGCGTTTACTTGTATCATTAACTTTTGTTTGAACATTTATTACGGAACGCTGTATGCGTATACGCCGGAGGTGCTACCGAGCGCGCACAGGGGTACTGGCAATGGGATTGCGATTGGGTGGAATCGTGTCATGGGGATCTTGAGTGCGGTTATTGCAACGGTTGCTGATGTAAGTCTTCTCTCACTTTTTTTCCTTGTTAACCTTTCTCTTTCTTCTATTAGATGCTTGGTACGAGGGTCTTGTGGGTTTTGTCGCTAACGTGGGAGGTCAGACTGGAACTGCCGTTCCGATATACATTTGTGCGGCGTTGTATATCTTTATGGCGCTGATTGCGGCGATTTTTCCATTCGAACCGTATGGCAGGAGAAGTTCGTAGGAGGTACGGATAGGTGCTCATCAACCCGCTTTGGGTTGGGCTTTCTCAACCCGAGGCACTGGGAGCAATCACGTAGAAAAGATATATTGTATGTAAGCCTACCTCAATCGTCTCTAGCGATGTACACATTGGTACAGCCACAAAGCGGAAGCTGAGTGCGAATCTGTCTCATCGAAACACTCCGAAATGACTCGTTTGACTTTCCCTCTCAACGTGGACACTCCAGCTGCTCCATAAATCATAGTCAATTGGTGAGCAATGAATATAGACTCGATGGTACGAGAAGCACGAGTAGACCAAGCCATCCACTATGTCATTACGCTAGCTAGTTTTACCAGTATCCCTGTCCATACGCGCTGATAGATGCGCTATGGTATCGGCAATAGAAGGGCAGCCCAGTATCTCCTCATTACTCATGTGGATTCCGTTCTTTGAGTATTCGGAAGCGAATGCGGCAGTGGCTACACTGTTACCCCAGATTTCATAGAAGGGGGTCTTGTCTGTGAATCCAGGATGTAACCTGAAGTCGGATCCCAATACTGACTCCCAAGCAGATAGCACTAGCTCCTCCAAAGCTTTGGGATATTCTGTTGCAGGTATCGAGCAGTCTTTTACCAATTCTTCACGGCTGGTAGAACCCTCACCTGGCGCAACCATATTCACCTGAGGAAGAGCTTCGGACAGTGGCCGCTCCAAAGCATCAGGTAGCTGTTGGTATACCTTGATGAAACTATCCAACACCGTCTTCACCCAATCTTCTGAGAAAGCCTTTGTGGAATATCTTAACTCAACTTCTAGCTTGTCATCGCGAGCGAACGTTTGCAGCCAAAGCTCGGCTTTGTCATGCTCGGGTTCATACACGCTAAACTCGCAGTCAGCAATCCTGGAGAACGGCGGCTTGACGAGCTCGAAGCTAAGATGGTTGACCACTGTAGAGAAGCGCGTCCACCGAGGCCAGTTGGTACAATTCTCGATGATTCGGTAATGCCCAAGATGGCCATGCTGAAGTGACTTGAGGTAATCGGCCTGAACCGAGCTGAGGAGCGAAGAGGTCGACGCAGTTGACACAATATCGGTACGTAAAGGCAGAATGTTCATACATGGCCCGAGAATATCGGAGACACCAGGCATGGGCAGATGTCTTCCAGAGGTTATGTATCCAAATACAACAGAGTCTTTATTTGCGAGTTTCGACAATACGATCGACCAGGAGGCAAGAACGGCGGTTGCGCTCGTGTGACCGGACGTCTTCAGGTCCACCAGTGGAATTATTGCTTTGACGGCGCTGTTGATGGGATAATCGATGCTGGGACAGGCTTGAGGACGAATTTCGCTCATCGTGCTATTGGCCAGAGCCGCTTTCCAGAAGGATTCGGAATCCTTACTTGTTGCTAGAGAAGCTTCCGCGCAGAAACGGGTGAAGGGAATGACATCCAGTGTCTTGTCAAGATACAACGCTTCTAATGATCGCCATAACTTGTCAAGACTTAGTGCATCGTACTGAGCATGAGAGATTCGGAGGACGAGTTGATTTGTGTTTTCCGCGGGATTTTGTACCAAAGTAAAAGCTACCAAAGGATCACCGAGTTGAGTATGTCGCTTTATGTCATTCTCAATAGTGTTCTTGACAATCTCATCCATGTTCTGACCGTCGCTAGCCTTGATAATGGCGAAGTGGAATGGGTAAGCTTTTGGCTTCAGGATAACCTGAAAGGTCTTCCTTGACTGTGCGACAAAGACTGTTCGTAAGAGCGCGTGCCGCTCTATGAGCTGTCGGCAAGCGTACCGCAGCTTCTCAACATCAAGTGCTGTAGGAAACTTGAAGATCATGTAGTCATGCCAGCCATGAGACTTGAGCAGACCTTGTCCGATGCACCAAGCTTGCCAATCTGTTGCTAGAGCAATGTTCTCGACATCTTCTTGTGAAATACTCGGGGCAATATCACTTATTGTGTATGTCAATTCTTCGCTTTCTCGCTTGGTCGACTGGTCGAGTACCCCGAAGCTGGCCGCTTTGCTCATAGTCTGGAGAGTCCGGTGCTCGAGAATGTCTTCGATGGAAACACAAATATGCTGCGTTCGTGCTTCCGCGATCAACTTGATACAGTGCAAAGAATCCCCACCGAGATGAAAGAAGTCATCTTGCAATCCGATGTACTCCGTGGGAAGACCTAACACGGTACTCCACAAACCTTGCATCGCCTTCTCTTGCAAAGTTACCGGGGAGGCCTTATCTACAGAACCAGTGTGCTTTACCAGTTCAATCAGCTGCATGTCAGCAGCTTGTTTGCGCAAAAGCTTCCGATCCAGTTTTCCGGATGGGTTCAGTGGTCGTTCTTTGAGCTCCACGAATCCGCGAGGTACCATGTGATCCGGAAGTATAGTCGCCAGCCTCTCTCTCAGCTGCTTAACCTTGTGGGAAAAGTCCGTGGACAAGCCGTGGACGAATGCAACAAGCATAGGCCCGGTACCGTTCTTGGGTTCCACAACCTCCGCTGCAACTGTTACCCCCGGCGGCAGACAATCGAGCATGGACTTTTCCACCTCTCCTAGCTCGAAACGCTGCCCGTGTAGCTTGACACGCGTATCTTTCCTCCCCACGATCTGGACAACACCATCCTCCACATACTTTGCCAAATCTCCAGTTCGGAATAAGGTACGTGGTCGCTCTTCTCCCCTCTTTTGTGCCCAAGTTGGTGGCCCTACGATAAATGCCTTTGCATTAGCTTCCGGATCGTTTCGATACCCCTGACACAACGCTGGTCCTTCGAAAAGTAGCTCTCCGGTTTCTCCAATTGGCGCCAAGATGTTCGCATCGTCTTGATCCACGATCCAGGCACAGCCCGTCATGAACTGCCGCGCTCTACATTTCTTTCCGCTGATGTCGATGGCATTGGCGATACCCACACCTTCTGTCATGCCAATGGCCTCCACAAGCGATAGCCGCGGTGCCCAGATATCGATGAGACGCTGAGTAACAGGCTCACCACCCACAGTCAGAAACTGTAGACAAGACACCTCATCCGGATTTAATAGGTTCAGCAGCGTGGGCGTAAGAAATGTCCGCGTGATTTCTTTTCTGGTGATAAAGTTTGCTATACCGCCCATGCGCTCTCGCTCTGGCGGAAGGACCAGTAAACCACCATTACACAGCGTCTTCAATGTAGTGACAACGCTGGCAGCGAAAGCTTGGGAGGCAAAGTTAAGAACGCGGCTGTTGGCAGCATAACCATGACCATGGACCACATTTGAAACCGCACTGCTTTGCGTGTGTTGGACTACCTTGGGCAAGCCCGTGGACCCAGATGTGAAGCATACGTAGGCAAGATCGTCGGGTTGGCCAATAGGCAGATCAGATTTGTCGTTCGTTCCGACGTCAGAGCTACTACTGCATATCTCCGACACAGTCGCCACCAGCTTCATCTCACCCTCTCCAGGAAATCTGTCTTTGAACTTTCCCTCCACCAACATCACTCGAGGACTGATCGTAGCTAGACACGCATGTAGTCGCTCCGTTGGATTGCCAGGATCAAGGGTCGTATACGCCATGCCCGCTTTCGACACAGCCATCATGCAGACGACCAGCCAGATGGACTTGTCGAAACAAATTGGAACGATTTTATCGGCCGTGATATCATCGAGCGTGATGCGTAGATGTCGGGCTAGACGCGTTGAGTAGTCGTCAAGTTGCGTATATGTTAGCGTACCGTCTGGGGCGTCGACGGCGGGTGCATCAGGAGAGCGATTCACTTGTGCGGAGAACACTTGGGTGATCGGAAGGTGAGGTTTTGGTGGTAGTGAAGCATTCCAAGACCATATTTGGTCTTCTTCCTCCTGAGTGATTATTCTCTTTTCGTCTTGGGATATGTCACCCATCGTCGCAGTGATGACTTGTATTCGTGCTTGGTGATGACGATATTGGTGGTGGGAATTGAATGCGATCGGGAAGATAATACGTCTACTGTTACCAACTACCTTGAACATCTATTATATCATACTAGCTACATACACTTGGCCTATTCTGCCCCGCACCGTGTGTCACCGGACACCAGTAGTAGCTTGAATCATTATTTGGCCGCTCGCCGGAGTTCTCGGCCCAATTCGATTTTCGGTCCGTAATAGATACGGTACTTCATCTAGTTGACGAGCATGCTTTTCAGAAGCGGTGTACGACGATAAGAGATGAATTTGTGATAATGCCGGCCTTTAACGGTGCTTTCTATTTCGGTGTACTGTCGACGATACACTGTGACTCCCACTGAGCTGTTCACCTCATTGATGGGAAGGATGGCATGCAGAAAAGTGTTCGTTATAAAATTTACACTAAGAGTCATGTGATTCACACCATTACTGCTCTTGAGAGATGAGAACACCCTGTGCAACTAAGATGACAAGCTGCATCGACTAAGATGAGTATCGATCGATTTTGACTACTACCATGGCTATGCCCAAAAGTGTGTTTTGCTCACACAGACACCTCGAGAATCTCAAAGAGAAACCGGTAACCCGGCTCCACTTGATCTCTCCACTCCTTGCTCCCTGGTTTCAAATGCAAATCATGGATGTGTTTCACCCCTGAGATTGGCAGAAAGCCGCATTCTACCCCAGACTTCTCCAGCTCCTTAATGAACAATTCAGATGTCTTGAACGGAACAATCTCGTCTTCTGTACCATGAATCACGAATGTAGGGACATCGTAAGAGCCTTTCCTCACATGAGCCATGGGACTAATTGTTTCGACAAGCGCTGGATCGGTTTTCGAGGCCAAAGCTTCGTGAGATAGCCCATGAAGCAGGACGTTTAATCCGATACCTTCTTTAAGAACGGCAAAGATCAACTCCGAGCGTGGATCGCCTGGCTTGATCCAGCCTAATTGACTACTATCCATCATCGTTCCGTAATTTGTGATGGGCGTCTGTGGCAGAGACTGCATGATCTTTTCCAATCGCATTCGACGGGCGGGGAACTGCCCGTAATGCTTTTCACTATGATGTTTCTCTAGAGAACCAGACTCAAAATCGGTCGGTCCATAGAAACCCAATATCGCAGAAGGGGGTGGTAGATTTAGCTCTTTGGTAGTCCAGGCAAGGCTCATAGCGAGGTGGGCTCCAGTGGACCATCCAATCGAGACGACGCGAGTTGTATCAATAGATATGCCGTATTTGGCCGTGACCGCAGAGAGCTTCGTCTGGATCCAAGCATACGCATCTCGAACGTCGGAAAATGGTCCTTCAATGACGTTGACCTCTGGTACCAAACGATAGTCCACACTGATAGGAAGAATGTTGTGCGAAAGCAAGAACTTCGTCTGTGCTGGTCTGACCGCTTTCCGCGACAGTGTCATGTGGCCACCTCCGTGAATCATTAATGCTGGACGATGTTTAGTGAAGATCAGGAGCACATATGAAGGCTCATTTACCTACAGGCATTGAGCTGGTAGACGGAATGTTCGGCAAGTAGACGTCCGCTTCGATCTCAACCCCATCGATGGATTTATAAACAACGGTCTCGACACCAGTCACTGGCGACTCTATTGAACGAGGCGGCTCTGGATATTGCTGGGAAGAAGCTACCAGTAGTCGTTGAAGATTGCAATCAGGTAGAGTGCTCTGGGAAAAAGTGGCACTAGGAAATCCAGCTTGATGCATAAACTCCATCCAGACTGCTGGAGGCTGAATAGCATGTGTGGCGTCGTTCGCCAACCACCAGCCATCTAGCAAACCAAAGACGGCCTCATGCCAGTCGAATATCGTCGTAATTTCGCTGAGCACCAATAAACCGTTCGAGTTCAGCATCTCCTTGATGCGTTGGCATGTATCAGTCCTATTGGCTGTCGCGTGAACGCAATTGGTGCTGATAACAACGTCGAATTTCCCGAGCATATCAGTGGGAGGGTCTAGTTCCAAATTGAGTGTTTTGAACTTCATCCATGGGTACTTGAACTTCTTAGATGCGTTCCGAACAAGTGTTGAGGATATGTCCGTGAAGAAGTACTCGATGGGATGATCGATTGCGGTAAGTGCTTCACCAAGACGCGTCGTGGTGCCACCCATGCCGGCACCCACTTCGAGAATGCGAACTGGGCCGTTGGCTTTCTGGACCATGCGAACCATAAAGTCGACAAGCACTTCGGTCAGTGTGGCGAACATAGGAGCTTTGGTGTAGAAGTTGCCAACGATCTCTTGGGACTTGCTGGTGCCGAAGAGAAGTTTGACAGGGTCTTCCGTTCCTGTCAAACACTCTGCAATCTTTGGGCCAGTGAGAGCCATGAGCTCAGCCTCGCAGCTGTATTGCGGGAAATCGACGATGAGCTGTTGCAGAAGCTGGGCGGAAGGCGCAAACGTGCATGGGCCAGTTGATCGGACGTAAACGGAATTCTTCTTCTTGATAATGCTGTGCTTCTCGAGAATCTCGTAGTACCTTTGGACCACCTTGTTGTGCTTAGATTGATAAGTGAAAGGAGGTAACTTCTCTCCTATTTCGATAGTCTTGAGATCGATGCCTAGTTTCCGGAACCCTTCAACGAGATAGGCAAGCAGTAGCTCATCTTGACGAGCAGCGACCTTGGCAAGATACTCTGTGAACCGGCAAGACGTCGCATATTTCTGGAGTGAGGACTCTGCTTCCAAGAGAGATTGAAATGGCTCCGTGATGCCCGCGGACTGGTCAAGACCGCTTGTAGAGATAGCGGGTGTTCGTGAGGTTGGCGGTGCCAAGAATGAGGAGCCCGGCTTTGATGAAGATATCCCAACTAGCTGCATGAGCTCTTTCACAGAAACATCAAGGAGAGTATCAACGCCGTTGAGTTCGACATCGAACTCATCGGATATACTAGATCCGAGTTCCGTTGTAGAGAGGGAGTCAAAACCGAGATCCTGGAGAAGTTGGTGTTCGTAGATCTGGCTGACATCTGCACCACATAGCTCTGAAATGAGTTCGAACAACTTTGTACGTCGTAGATCACCAGAAGATTCCACAAGACTCTGGTCAAAACTTGGATCGGTCTTCGATTTTAGTTCGAGCACCTCAGATACTGGTAACGGAGCGGTCGCGGCCTGCTTCGCGGATGGCGTAGCGCGCTTTTGATTGGTCTTAGTGGCGCCAGGGAATATTATCTGGCTTAATGCCCCAAAGCTCATCGTCAAAAGCTCACCAGGTGAGACAAGTTTTCCGAAGCGTTCACTGATCTCATCGGAGAGCTCTACCGCTGCTAGTGAGTCGATACCGAGATCACCAATGCATGTATTCGAGGCAATAAAGTCTGCCGGTGCACCAGTATACGTTGAGATCATTGTCTTCAATGGAGCCTCCCTGTCATCCGAATCTTCTTCAGCGACCGACGATGCACTGGAGAATCCAGAATCGCTGTCAGGTGCTAGCGATGTAGGCTTCTGGACTACGGTAGGCCTAGAGTTCTGGAAGGAAGGTATGGGGATGGAGAGAGACGGACGTGGAGCCTCTTTCGAACTAGCCCTCGATCCATTAGCTGAATCCAGAGTTCGCTCAAGCTTAGAGATCTCCAGACGATGGAATTTGGCGCCAATAGCTGTCATGGCTACCTCGCCAGCTTTTGTTAGAACAAAGACGTCACCGGTCGCGTGCACATCATCGATGAGGGTGAAAATGGCGTAGACGCTCCATTCCTTGTGGACGTCAAAGTCGCAATGTCTCGACATGGTAATGTTTTCGAGACCCGAAGCCACAAATACTTGGCCAGGAGGACAAGCCTTGCTGCTGTTGATGAGCAAACCAGATACCTGAATGAACGCGTCGATGGAAACTGTGTCACAGTGCTTCGTCACAGAACTTTCGTCGCCTCCAACATGGCTGCCAGGCATCCGGATCTCCGCCAGTGCCTCATTCTTGTCTATGACGATGCTTTCGATCCCATGAAAGAAGTCGGCGTAATCGACAACCTTTGAGAAAAGCTTGTATGCTCGTCCACCGTTGAGCTTCTCTGCACTTGGACTGGATCGAATAGAGTCAAGGCGGTCGGCTATGAGTCGCTTGTATGTGGAAAACCGAGGGTTCTCGATCAAAAGCATTTGACCTCTGCCATGGACAGTTGCCCGTGTCGAATGACTTGCAGAGCCGGGAGAACTCGAAAGCGTAAACTTCCAGCTGTGCCTAGTAGTTTCATCAAGGCTCAGGCTGACATCGCGGTCTAGGTTGACGCCCAAAGGCGATTCAAATGACAGATCCTCGAACGCCAGCGACTTGGAGTTGAGCTCGACTCCAAGCAGTCGTGCTGACATGGCTGCGCACTCCATATACATTGAAGCAGGACAAAGCGGCCGCCCTCGAACAGCATGTCCGCTGATGACTTCGCGGAAACGACTGGCCGAATTGTTGATGGCGAACTTTTCCGTACTGCCATTTGACCCAACATGACACACCAATCGAGTGGAGATAGGGATGGAAGCAGCCTCTGGCTTTTGCGAAACGAGAGTGGCTATACTTTGTTGGAGTTCAGTAGCTCTATCAATGTTCTCTGTAGCGGTGAAGGTACCAAGTCAGTAGACATTTCACAAAAATTTTGTACAGTTGCAACTCACCTAGCCATGCTTTAGATCTCTGGAACTGGTAAGGGGGCAACCAGATTGGCTCTACCCCAGCATCGGATGGAGAGAGGAAAGCCCACGGTGTGACGTCGATTCCTTCTTTCCACAGTTCAGCAGTGCTTTGAGAAAGAACCTCGGTAGGATGAACAGCACTAGCCGTCTTGATGCTGTAGAACGAATGGATTTCTGACTTGGCACTCGCACGCTTGACCATGGGAATGATAGACGAATCAAACCCTGCTTCGAGCCAGATGCAACCCCCTAGTCGCTTCTCTATCCGCTGAACAGCGTCTACAAAGTAGACGGGTTGTCGGACGTGCGATACAACATGCTCAGCAGTGATCGAACTAGTATGTGCTTGTGTACATGGCTCGATAGGAATGAAAGCTTCTTTGAAAGTTAGTGATTTCAAAGATTGAGCCAGGTCGCTGCGGATCGGCTCGGTGAAGGCAGAATGGAACCCATGGGTAACGTCAACCCTTTGACTCTTGACACCCTTGAAAGAAGGGTCGGTAGCCAGCAAGTTCTCCGTATCAGCCACTGCAGCCTGGGTGCCAACTACAACCTGACTGTTGGCAGCATTGAAACAAGCAATTTCTAGGTTGTTGCTGCCAACAGCTTTAACTATGCGCGTAACAACAGCGATTGGTGCAAAAATCGCAAGCATAGTGCCTCTTTCCGGTCCCCATTTAGTTGCCATGAGCTGCGCTCTCTTAGCAACAAGCTTAAGAGCATCCTCGATAGAGAGCACACCGGACACGGCCAATGCCGTGAGCTCCCCAAAACTGTGTCCAATTAAACAGGCAGGTCGAATGCCGGCATCCATCCAACATTTAGCGCTTGCGTATTGAACAGCCATGGTACCTGTCTGCAACAGAACTGGGTCGGTGATGATTGGAGTCTGGAAGATAGCTGGGATAATCGACGGACAACCGAACGTGACAAGGATGCGCTCACACTCCTCGATGTAGTGGCGTAGCCTAGGGATGGACTTGTACAGTGTCTTCGACAGACCGACGGTCTGCTTGCTTTGACCAGAGAAAGCAAGTACCACAGGTTTGGATGAGGGCGTGATGTTGCATGGTCGAATCGTGGCGGAGATTGCTGTTTGCAAGCCTGCAATCTCGGAAGCTGTTGTGATACAGGCCACCGAATGACGCTTGCGTCGCTCAGATAGCGTGTAAGCAAGACTAGCAAGGTCAGGATTCTCTCGACTGATATACGACCTAAGAGACTCCGCGTAGGCTTTGAGACTCTCGATTGTATGAGCCGACAATATGATAGGGTATCGAGTACCTGCAGGGAGGCGTATTTGTCTGTTCCAACGTATTAGTCTTAGTCTTGCGAAAATTGATGTGTAAACTCACGCTTCTTCATTGCTCTTCCGAGGCCCTTCACATACAACGAGCGACGCATTGCTTCCTGCCGCTCCGTAGTTGTTGACCCACGCTGCTTTGAAGGGCACCTCCCATTCTTCCAAAGTCTTTGCGATAGCAATCTTGTCTTGGCTCAGCGAAGGAATCTTCGGGTTCAGGGAGTTGAACAATGCGTGGGGTGGAATGGCCTTCTTCTGCAACATAGCAATAACCTTGAGTACTCCAGCAACCCCAGCGGCCGATTCTGCGTGACCGGTATTTGCTTTGATGGAACCAAGATACATCTTAGTAGGTCGATCTGATCCACCAAACACGTCCCTGATGCTGCTGACCTCAAGAGGGTCGCCGGCTTGCGTACCAGTCCCATGAGCTTCGACGTATGACACATGGTTTGGGCTCATGCCGGCACGCTTGAGAATTGACTGGTACAGGCTGACTTGGGCTGAGGGTTGAGTGACTGTCAAAGACGCAGACAACCCACCTTGGTTCGTAGATGATCCCGGAATGACACCGAATACCTGGTCGCCATCTGCCAAAGCCTGTTTCAAGGGCTTCAGCACGATCATCCCAGCACCATCTCCACGACAGTACCCATCTGCCGATTGATCGAATGGCTTACATTGACCAGTCGGACTGAGAAAGCCAGCCTTTCCCAGGTTCAGGTAATTATGCACACCGGAGATGATGTTGACTCCGCCAGCGACCGCCATAGGACACTCGCCTGACCAGATCGATTGGCACGCGCGGTTGATAGCGACAAGAGAAGAAGAGCAAGCGGTATCGATAACTTCCGCGGGCCCAGTCCAGCCATAGTGATAGCTGAGTCTTCCGCAGAGGAATGCGCGAATCGTACCAGTCGCTGTATATGCAGTCGGAGCATGAGCACCAGTGTTATCCGTGTACTCGATGAAACTCGCTCCGATGAAGCAGCCGACCCTGTCTCCGTTCTCACGAACATGTCTGCGGAGATAACCCGCCGAATCCAAAGCCTGGAACGTCAGTTCCAATAAGATCCGCTGCTGAGGGTCCATGCTGGCTGCCTCCTTGGCGTTGGAACGGAAGAAAGCCCAGTCGAACTCATCAGCCCCATCGATGAAGTTGCCGAACCACTTCGGCTTCCATTTTTCATTCTGGAGCGCCCGAAAGCTCTCGTGCATCGGAACTCTGTCATGGCGGATCTCTTCGCAAGTCGATGTGCCAGCGGCTAGAAGCTGCCATAGTTCTTCGAGGTCGTTTGCTCGTGGAAGTCGGCAGGAAACTCCTGTGACGGCGATGGCGTCTTCCGGACTGATGACATGCGTTAGCGTGACGCTAACTTAAGCGAGATAAGCCTCTCTCCAACATCCTTCCAGGCAACTTACTATTTGTATTCAGCCAACCTGGCTTCCTGAATAGCGGTATGAGCTTCCACTTTCGCCACCCGCAAACGGGCATTGTGGAATGGCATGAGAGGCACCGGGTCTCCAATCCCAAACAGCGCGAATGTATGGGAATCAGTACCGCTTCCCGCCAGGTCTTGCGCCACCTCTTTCAAGAGCCGATACCACTCGCATCGGGACGCAAGAATCGTATTGATTGCCTCATATGTCAACGAACAGTTATCCAGCAGCTTGCCATTCAAGTTCGATCGCACAGGAACTTGCAGCTGACTTGCATCAGGCAACGTCATCTCATCATGCTCTTGACATAGATCAAAGAGCACTTTAACTAGAGGCGCATTTTCTGGGTTGTGTACTTTGCCGCGGATGTGTATGTCTGTGACTAGTAACCCTTGGTCACGAGCTCTGTCGGCCACCTTCATAAGCTCAATTACCGGGCCAACGATACTTATCGTTCTTGGGTCGGTTATTGCGGAGATGTAGCACTAAAGTGTGTCAGTACATGGCTATAGCACGGAGAAGACAAAAGCTAGATGCGCTCGGCTTGTGTCCACCACTAAGCCGAGTCACGATCGTGTAAATGCAGCTAACGGAAAGGCGATAAGAAATTCTTGCTGGGAACAAAGATCGAAAGTGACTTACGCCAGGGATGCCCTCCACGAGCTCCTCTCCTTGCTGAGAGGCTCTCAATCGTACCGCAATGGTCGTCGCTCCTTCAATCGACTCGTCGTCGCCCAACTCACCAAACGCGCCCACAGCAAAAGCCAGCCGCAGAGCTTTGGTAGCAAGACGAACCACATCTTCTTCGTCTTTCGCGCAGGAGATGGCAAAAGCTGTAGGGAGGCCTCCGCAATATCCCTGGGCACCTCCGCCATTCCTCAGACTTGACAGCATTTGCTCATGCGTGAGCTTGTGCAACTCCAACAGCTGGAAGTATTGGCAAATCTGGATAACGACCAACAATGGCAACGCCAGAATCCCTGACATGGAGCTGGAAACTGGTCCAGCTATTCCATTGGTCATCCATCGCTCTAGACTGACGACGTGTCGTTCGCCTGACTTGAGGTTGGCAATGTCCGCGTGGCCCTTGCAGAGTGTGTTCCACGTGTCTCTCAATGATGTGATGGCCTCTGCGAAAGGTTGAAGGAGAGGCGTTTCAACAATGTACCTTTGTAACTGCTCGAGGTACGCCTCTGTGGGAGCCTTGCTCTGAGGGCAAAAGAACGCCACAGAGGGCGCAAAGTGGCTGGATTGGCTGCGCATACCGAGAAAAGAACCTGGATTCTTTGAGAGAATTCTAGAAAAAGGCGAGATGTTGAATCAGACGATGGATCGTTATTCTCACAAGCCATGATATTCCATGTTGGCTATATACAATGTACTTCTGATATGCGAATCGTCGTACAGAAGCCTGGATTACTCGTAACACTCTTCAAAACGGACCTACTTACACATCCTCTACGATACAGAGAGTAGAGACTGTCCTAGAATGTAACTCATGGTGGATACAGTTTTCCTCGCTTGTCTTGATCAAGTCTAGGGTTGCACACAGTGCTGGCGAAGAGACGCCGAGTAACGACCGCACATCTGGCCATGCATCCAGAAAAACACCGAGTGCGAGGGAGCTGTCGCGTGATGTCGAATGAAGGTAGTGATATCCCTTATCGCAACTGAGTAGCGGTCAGTCATGGGTTGAGATAACCCGATAGTTATGAAACCAGATGGGCGTTTTGATTATCATTTTGTTGATCCGGTCTCTTCTCTTTTCTCGTGGAGCTCTTTGTGATACCTCCGTACGGTGAATCTCAGTATGGCAATTATACTACTTCTTCTTCGTATCGTCTCTCTAGCAGTAAGTTGGATTATGGCCATTGCAATTGTACTGACGTTCTAAGCCTGGCTAGATCGCGTCCATCGTCGGATGGCTGGTGTACAATGTCCTCTTTCACCCACTTCGAAAGTATCCGGGTCCACTCTTGTGGCGAGCGTCCCCTATACCCCGCATTCTCTCCAGATGGAGGGGTACCACGGTGTTCGATGCGCACCGCCTTCACGAACAATATGGTCCAGTTGTGCGCTTGAGCCCCTGGGAATTAAGCTACACGTCCAGTGACGCATGGAAGGGTAATTGCGACCTTGTTCTCGTCTGAGTACAGTCTCATTAATTCCATCAAGATATCCACGGGACAGGCCACTCCGCACCCCGAAAGCCTCTACCGAAGAACCCACTCGCTAACCCTCCGCCCATGTCAGGCGAGCCGGGTATCATCGACGTTCTAGACGACGAGAAGCATCGCGAACAACGCCAACTTTTCAACCAAGGCTTTTCTACTCGAGCACTAAAGGAACAAGAGACTTTGCTACGTAAGCATGTCGACAGACTGGTTGCAGCAGTGCAGTCACGCGCCGATCAAGGTCTCGAGACAAACATGGTAGATATGTTCAACTTCCTGGCCTTTGATGTTATGGGCGACCTTGCCTTCGGTGCATCTCTGGGTCTACTAGAGCGGTCAGAATACAACAGCTGGGTACGCGTAATTGTCGCGACTATCAAAGTCGTCACCATTCGCATTGTAGTGTTCTACCATATCCCATTTGCATCCCAGATTCTGCCGCTGTTAGTGCCAAAGTCTATGAAGGCCAAGCGAGATGCCCACATGAAGTTTGCCGAGGACAGGGTGAGAGAGAGACTGGAAAGAAAGACCGATCGTCCGGATCTCTGGGGCTTGATCACCGGTGGACTTGACGGAAAGAAAGCACACCTCTCTTTGGACCAAATGGTCGGCAACGCTGCCCTCTTCATGGTGGTCGGCTCAGAAACCACGGCAACCGTGCTATCAGGAACGCTATATTTACTCCTGAAGAACCAACAATGCATGGAAAGATTGAAGAAAGAGATCTTCGACAACTTCAATTCAAAGGAAGACATGACCATAGAGGCCTTACCGAAGCTTACGTATATGACCGCAGTGCTAGACGAGGCCATGCGAGTCTACCCCGGTGCCCCAGAAACTTTGGCGAGATTAGTCCCAGCAGGAGGAATGCAGATCTGCGGCGACTATGTCCACCCTGGCGCTACGGTGTTCATTCTCCATTACCCAACATTTCACTCTTCACGGAATTTCGTGCGACCAGATGACTTTGCTCCGGAGAGATGGCTACCCGAAGGCGCCGTGGAATTCGAGAAAGATGATAAGAAGGCCTTCAATCCATTCTCAGTCGGCCCACGCGCTTGTCTTGGAAGAAAGTGAGTCCACCACCCCTGCTGCCTTTATGCACAGACCTAATCTACTATCACAGTTTGGCACACTACGAGTTGAGGCTGGCCTTGAGCCATTTGCTTTGGGACTTCGACTTTGAGCTTGACGAAAAATGCGACGACTGGTTGACGCAAGAGACATACTCTTTCTGGCTGAAGCCGCCACTCATGGTCAGAGCTCGAGCTGCCCATCAGAAGCCATAATGTTACACATGATTTCGAATGTAAATTGGGAATGAGATGCCATTGAAAGTAAACATGCCAATATATCTCGGCGCTCTCGATGGTGTCGAGTCACCCACGCATCGTCTACGTCCATACTTCCGTGGTGTCTCTTCCTATGCAATCTTCAAATAAGCCCGATATCACTCGCTGTCACATCCACAGGACGCGTAGAGCAAGCAGTATCTCTCGCCGAGTGATAGTTCGTGATTTGAGAAACACCATGATCTTCCGGACCCGCAATTTTCTACCTGTCCTTTGATACCTATCTTGACCAACAGATAGCAAGCTCTCAAGGTAGAAGGTGTGCCGCACGGCTTTGATCTATCAAGAGCGTCGCGAACTGCGAGGAGAGCACACGCCGTCAAAGGTCCGACACGCATGCATCGTTCTCGGATTCTGTCTCGTATCATTCGCGCCTATCGCGAGCCAATTTTTCGCCGTCGCAATCGCGATTACCGTACTTGTAAGATACACACTTATCGACCTTCCGTAACCGGTTTGCGGCAGTGCTGTCTAGAAGCCTCTCTTCGTATACGTGGCGGCGAAATCTGTTTTCGAGGTACAAAGAAGCTCGGTTTTTCTCTTTTGACCGAATGCCCGAACAACCTGGTACGTAGCGGAGTGCCATGATTCAGGAACACAGACCATGATGACAAGTCGTCCTCGCAAGGCGCGAGAGGAGGAGTTTGATTAGGGGAATTCTTTGTTACAAATGATCGTGACGTGCTGGTGCGATATAGTCGGATCATGCAAAGCGCGCTGCGAATGGATGCAGCTAAGATGCTGTTACGTGCTTTCGTGCCGGATCAAATCCCACGAGTGTTCGCGGTCAAGTCTCAGCCCTGATTTACGCATTATTGTTAGCTAGGGTTGCGAAAAGAGTAGAAGTCGCAAGACGCTACATGGTGCAGAGTGGAAAGAATGTGCTGGGAACAGCGCAACGCGGTCGTCGGCAGTTCGCGGTCAAACACCCCAGTAACCCCACAACCTTCGGCGATTTGGGGACGCGTCGTAGCTTGTCTGAGCTTGTGTTATCAACATGTCTTGGGTGCGTAGAATCTCCGATGTCGGAATGTGGAGGCTGTAGTGTCAAGCGTCGCGTTGTTGCGTCGTCGCGTCACTGCGTCACCACATCGTCGCATTGTCGCATTGTCTCTAAAGAATAAAGAAAAGCCGATCCTAGCGCATTCGAGAGCAAGGTCGGTATCCAGTCGCATCAATCATGGTACCACTACCTTAAAGAGATAAACTGAACACCGCTTTAGAGCAAGGTACTTATACCTACTACAATAAAGCGAGGCAAGACCCTCCTAGGTATAGATAGAGAATCTAGAAGTCTACAATGCTATTAATCTTTCTAGAGTTTCTTCTTAGAAGCTAACGTAGGCGGTAAACTAGGGTATGTTATTCCTATACCCGTTCGAGTTTTCTATTGTATACGGTGGTACCAGTCCATGTACTGACAAAGATACGGCGACATGATAGAGTGGTCGGCACGCCTGCCATTGGTGACATCAAATTCAGTCCATGCGTCTTTCGCTAAACGATATATTTGGTGATGCTATTCCATTCCAACGCACGCATACAGAAGAACAATCGAACTTCTGGGGTTGCAATTTGGCTTCATTATTGCAGCTAGAGCGGCGCTGCTGACAGTCTCCTCAAACCACCCCTTAACGGAATAGCGTTTCTCCAAGATTGGCGAGCATTCTAACCCCTTCAAATTGAGTTGAGTGTGTCACGTCATGTCATGCTCAATGGTATTCTTGACAAGCTCATCCACATTCTGACCGCGAGCGAAGCTTAATATAGAGAGTAGGATCTGTTTATTTCGGTAGCTCGTTGAGCGGCTTTGCGCCTTGGCCGGCCACCCTAGACAAGAGAAAAACCGAATGGGTAGAGATAGTAAGCTCTACTTTGCAGCTTACATTAGCTCCTAATAAGAGAGATTATAGGAATTAATAGTATTGTAGGCTTCTAAATTCTCTGTGTATGTCTATATAGCTCTAATGCGCTTCGTTGTAGTAGGAAGGAGTACTCTGCTCAAATGAGATGTTTACCTAGGTAGTTTCTCTCTTTGGCGTAGTGCGGCCCTCGTTCTCCTTGCCCTTTGGTGAAGTTGGCGGTGCGACAGAGACAACACCGGACATCTTATAGTTGTCATCGTCTTCTTTCTCGTCTTCAAAGATTTTTATCATTTTCTACGATGCGATTAGTGGTGTTCTTCAGCGTATAAGACACAAACAACCATATGTCATTGCTGTTCCAAATAGTTGTAGGTAAACCTTCTACTCCCTAAAGAAAACGTGAAGTCTAATCTACAGATCTAGCTCGCGTTCTTCTACATTGTAGTTGTAGTGCAGTCATGCTAACATGCAAGTGAATCTACTTTGGGCGGGGTGCAAGAGCTTGGGGTACTGTAGGAACGATGGAGTACGATATAACTCACGCGACGTTTTGGCTTAGGGCAGCCAGCCTGTCGAACACGTTTCCCTGGCGCTTCAGCATCGGCTTCGCTTTGACGCTGCTCATTTGATAGCCTCTGGTATAACTGCACCAGCATGTTCTCATAAACTGGCTTGTCATTGGCGTACACGTTGGGAAGAACGGTGTTGATGAGCTCGATTTGCTCTTGAATCGTCATGGCGACTACAGATAATCAGCAAAACGATATAACGATACGACGATCTTAGCAGCACAGAGACGGTCATCATGTGAGATGAAAGGCGAAATCTCTAAGGCAAGGTAGGCAAGCTATAAACAAAACTTTGAACAAAGAATAGAAATGTTGCATTGCTGAGGAATAGAGGCTCGATTTACATACCGGCCTGTTGCCTCTTAGGCTCTTCGTCGTCTGTTGGTCTCATTAGCAATATTTTCGCGGAATACCAACTATGGAACACACCTTCTTCATTCTTCTCCACTACATGATTTAACGTTAGCGATGGTTCCTTGCTAAGCAGTTTCGTGGCGAAGCTAAGATCGGTTTCGTTGCCAAACAATCGTCGTTGAAGAAGGTACGTGCAATGATCCAGAGAGTGTCGATGCATACATGCATGAATTCATAGGTTGGATTCTTGGCCAACTTGAACTTTGGCAGACAACCTAGCACTACTGGCGAGAGCAATGCTTGCCGCCCTGTTGACCATCGAGCATAAATGGGTGGCCGATTCTGAGTGTTGTAGAAATGGTTGTAGCCAGTGCGATCAGCGTTCATGAAAGGACAGAAGAGAATCAAGCTGTGCTTGTACGCTCGCGCGACTATCGCAATGTTGGCCCCATCCGGGAAGACAAGGCTGTTGCGGTCCGCAGGATGGTACAGTGTATAGTTGTCGGATACTTGTGTCTCTTTCGCGGAGATTGATGCAAATGTCGCTTTGACGTCCGCCTCTGTAACCACCTTTGTGATGTCACCGTATCTACACTTCACGCCACGAGCAGCAAGTGCCGCCGCAAGCGCCCCCGCCGGAGACCCGGAAAATTGCCACTTGATTCCAGGGCCAGCTTTGTATGTGATAGGGACGTGGAAGACGCCACGATAATCCGGTCGATTGAGATCGAACTCCTTAGTTATCTTTGGGGTCGGAGTTTTCTGCAGACCTTCGACGGAGAAGGGGTGGGGAGCGCGCTTCGAAGTCTGTGAAGATGTGGACAGTTCCGTGTAAGAGATCGAATAGTGCTTTGGGCCACCTCCTCCCCGCTCCAGGCGTTCAACGAGATAATTGGGAGGTGGAGGACCGTTCGTGCGCAGCTCGGTCTCATGTGCATCCAATGAAATACCACCGATTTTCCAGCCATGCTTTTGAGGGAATTCTTTCGGAGCGTAGGGCGCCATATGAAGACGTATGATCGTTCTTATCGCTGCGAAGTGCTGAGGTGTCAGTAAATGCAGCAGTTCTACGGAAGAATGTTCGTGGTACTTACTTCCGCCTTGTGACTTTAGGTGGCTTGTTATCTCCAAATGACAAACGAAGGTTCGTGAAGTTATGTGGGGAGGCCACGCAAACAAATACTGATGATGAGCTTACAGAAGCAGTGGAAAGTTTATGAAAAGCTGCGTTTGTTCTCCGAGTGACGGATCATACGCTTTGGGTACGAGACAATCTCACTCACCTGCAGACTGCGTAGCAGAGGTGAAAGAGACTTTGGACCCACTTTTCAGCCAACACTCGTGGACAGAATAGCAGGGTTCCAGCGCTGCGTCACAGGAGATACCTAAGTAGGCATCGTCAGCCCGGCAGAGTGACTGATTGCGGACGATTGCCAAGCAGGTTATGCAATGATAGTCATCTCGCCCGTGTCTCATGATTCGCGGTTTGCCATACGCTTCTTAGAACTCCAGTTGACAGCAATTTGCGACATGGACGAAGACCCGCAGACATGCTCAGATTAGCGTAACGGTGTGACTGTCGGTGATAGTGAGAAGTGGGCAACAGGCGGTGCGTGATCTTACCAAGCGCACCTGCCTGTAGCAGAACGCATTCTTCCCGTTTGCAATGACGCCACCACCTTCACATGCACCAATCTAGTTCTTGCAGGTAGAGACTCCAATGAAAATTACACATCTCTCGTTTCCCTCTCCTTCTCTTTCTCTTTGCCTTGTAAAAGACACCAGAACATCTTCTCAACAAGCACCAGCGACTCTGTCCAGAAGTTTGTGCAACTCAGCAAGAGCGTCTCTGCAGTTCGTCTGCTTCCTTTCTGCAGCTCAACAAATAGCTTCTTGTCGGTCTCCAACTATCGATCGGTGGAGGTAGCCCGACGACTCCCATTGTGTACGTTCTCTTCCAGATCGGAACGGATGCGTCCGTGTATCTATCAGCCACTAATTCCGTTAAGCATCTTTCAGCTGTCGCTTTGATGGCCTGGATTCCCCCGAACGCGCCGCCGAACCTGCTGGCCCGTGTTTCCGCTGAGCAGTGGAACGCATGGGCTGACGGAGCTCCCTTGGACATCGCTTCGCAGCGGCATTCCCAACAGCAGACCGCGTATGCATTCCGCCTCAACACCACCTTCAGTAGTCCGTCCGAATCGATCGAATACAAGAAGGGAATGCAAGGCCAATTCTTAGGTCTGACGGAGAAGGGAATGGCCAAGATTTTCATACGCGGCGTCACTGAGGGAGACGGCTTCAAGAACCGCCATGTTCCCCTCAAATACCTCGATAAGGGCCCTTTGTGGCAAGATGATGTCAACAAGTGGCGTTTAGACGTCAAACTGCCAGGTCATATAGTATTCGACAAGGGAGACTGGACTTCATCACCCTTGACCGACACAACTGTACTCGGCAAGACTGTCAATCTCCTCATATCAGCCTTTCTTCACTCCCCCGCGCCCGGAGATGCCGAAAAGATTACAGACTATATCCGCAGATGCAGCGTCCCGAGTCTCACCATGATTATAATCAAAGGTATCAAAGATGCTGGTCTCTACAACGTTCTATCAGACGCGGACAAGGAATTCACACTTGTGGATCTGATCACAGCCGCTCGGATTAGGGTTGTAGACCGGAGTCCTTCGGATCGGGCTGGGGTCTATGCGAGGTTTCACAAGTCCTCCCAAAATGTCGAACACTGGAAGCCACACTCACGCTATGCTTACGTTGGCAAGTCAACCGATTTTGGCTTGGGCTTCGAGTCACATCTCCACTCATCTTCAAAGTACGGTGATCTGAGCCGGAATTCCGAGTCGCTAGATATGATCGCACTCTGTGTCCTTTCTGCGACAGCCAATCCTGGAATGTTCTATCTTACTGAGCAGCTATTTGTCTGTCTTTGGCAGACCTACAAGCCAGACCTGACAAGCCCGACTACTACGGATTCAAGTTTGCTAGTATCTAGCAAACTTGCGAACTACTACACCAACATCTCAGACGAAGTATTTCGCATGACTGGATGGCATGGTTTCATCGGCCGTGGACTTGCTTCGAGTGGCATTGAGTACGGAGCGAACTGCAGCTCGCCATTACACGAGTATGGAGTGCTTGAACATAAACAACTCCTCATTCGGAGCGACGAGAACATCAGAGACAATAAGACTGGTTCGTTCATACCTATGGCCATATATCGATGTGCCGAACAGGTCTCAATCCCGGCCGGCTTGAAACGAGTTAACGTGTTCAAGTACTGTGTCTACAAGAATGGTGAGCGTGAAGAGGTTATCAGCATCAGCTTCCGCGCTAGGTATGGCAAGAAGGGGGATGTTCACCTCCCTCCTCCTGGGTCGGTTGTTAACTTCGTTATCGAGGTCCGAAAGGATGGAACGACACACCCACATGCCTGGGCACGACTTCCAGCCATTGGTCCATTCACAAACTGGGACCAGGCAAACTCATTCGCAGTCCGTATCGAATGGGATTTTCCAGTATCCTCTGGGAAGTGGCAATTTGCGTATGTTCAGTCCAACACCAACAAGGAGCGAACCGGCCCCCAATTACCAGGATCACTAAAAAACTATGCTAAAGCCATAGCATTCCTCCAGTGGCTAACCAATGATCGACCAAACCACAATTATGCTTGGATTCCCAAGACTCATGGAGCAGCACTTGTCGTACAGACCGAGTACGACTTCATGAACCAGACCATTCGGTTCCAGGATGCCAAGAATGACATTGTCATGCTGTCTTGTGGCAGAAGATCCAATGACGATATCATCGCTCAAATGCTTCGACCAGAATATGGGCTCACCCGAGTAGCCGGTAAAAATCGTGGCTCCTCTTGTGATACCTGTAGGCTTCTCCCGTTCTCGACCAAGGCCAAAACCTTTCCAGACAGGGAATGCGTTCCGGTAAAGCTCTTTGCCGACCTGTGTACGAACTGTGCATTGCTTGGTCTCCCATGCTGCACATTCACCGATGGCGTCTACGACAAGCATGTACCACACACGCCTGACACTAGACTTGCAACAGACAAGGCGGCAGCGGCTTTAGTGGGCATGCCTCTGGCCGTTATCCCCCAGGAGTCGCAATCCTTTACTCAGCAGTTGAGGACCATCGAGAGTGACAACCAAAATGATGATGACGGCAGCGACTGCGGAGACGACGACCTTGGCGAGAGCGACGATTCTGGCGAGAGTGACGACGACGACTTTGAGTAAAATCGAGTGGTAGAGTGTTTTTGAGGTGGATTGTAGGTGTGGAGGTCTTTCAGTTTTTGAACTTCATCTTGTATATTAGCAGCCGACAGAGGCACTACTACACTCCTTTAGCTTCTCCAATACAGCTGTACAACACCTGTACATCCTCATCCCCTTGGTCGTGCTGAGGAGATGCTTCGACATTCTCGTGATAGTGTCTTCCTACACTCCAACACTCGAACACTCGCCATTGACGTCTTCCATAGTTACGTGCACACATCTCCCTCCAATAGGAATTGCTTCGCCATGGTTTTCTGACGCAATTGAGCCCTTGGAATGTGGGCGTGACTATACCAACAGCTAATTGTCATGGTGTCAACAGCACTAGCCACAGGCACCACATAGCTACCACCCTCCCATTATCTGAAGTCACAGAAAACATCCATTAATACTGCTTACGGTAAACGCAGCGTTCTAGGTCCCAACGGCACTCAGTGCCTACTATCGAAGCCCCCCACATCAGCACTCTCCTCCGCATCCTCCAAACTCTGCTCTTTGCCCAACTTCGGGTCTCGAATGACGAGCGAGAAGGCAACAAGAAGCACTGCCAGACAGATGCCCGCAATGCAGAGTAGCCTCTGCACATGCCGATATGCCTCTATCACAGCAGTACGCTCCGCCGTACCCACGGGATACGAAACCGCAAAGGTGAACGGATCGCCGTAGACGGTGGCCGCGAGTGATGCATCGCCGGTTCGTCGGACCAGCTCATTCGGTATGATTTGCTGCCACATGGCGCCTGAGACGGTGTTGCCAAGCGCGCTTCCAATGTTGTAGGTAGCGAGGTAGATGCCCGTGACGATGGCGACATCTATCATCAATGGTCAGCATTGCGTATCATTGATTCAACGGTAAGCTACAACGGAAAAGAATCACTTACGCTCGTGCTTCGTTGCAGCCTGAATGCTCGCCTGCGCAGGATACGGAAACATACCGCCCGCGATACCCAAGCATATCTGCGCGCCAATGATGCCAGAGTGCGACGAATCGCCCGAACCACCACGGTAGTGGATCAGGAGACCAAAAGCCACCACGAAGAGACATGTTCCTGCAATGATGAACGGTTTCAGGCGGCGGACCTTGAAAACAATACCACCGAGTATCAGCCCAGTGATGACGGACGTGAAACTGTACAAAGAGCTGATGCGAGTCGCGCTCTTGACAGATTCGTCAAACGCAACGACGAGTACGGTGTACAGAAAGTCGCCTTGCATGGTCCATGCGAAGTTCAGGGTACAAGCAATTCCCAGAGCACCCCAGACTGCACGGTCCTTCAGCAGATAGAAGGGAAGCATTGGATGCGGTGCTCTCCTCTCCCAAATGACGAAGACGGGAAGGCACAGGAATCCGATGACAAGGGGGGCAATAACCTTGGCCGTACCCCATTGTGACTGTTCGCCACCCGCAATGGTAAAAGGCTTTTCAACAAGTCAGTAAAGAAAACATCCAACAAGTGCAAAGGTATGCCAACTCACCGTCAAAATGCAGCCAAACACAGCAATCAGCAGCACAATGCCAGGAACGTCCATCTGCCAAAAGAGCGCCATTAGCAGATTCTTGACGCTACCGCCATGGACCTGATACGGTGTCTGGTACTTGTCGAGTGCGCCCGCCTTCCGGGCTTGTCGACTCGACCACATGAGCGAAGCAACTAGCGGAATGCAGCACACAGTGTAGATGATACACCACATGCCCACACCCCATCTCCAAGTCGTCTTGATGAGCACAGCCTGGCTGACGTCTCCGCTAACCCACGTGTTGATTAAGAACGGGATGGCGGGGATATAGGAGAAGAAGAGACGAGAGCGAAGGGATGTGATATCCGCTATGATGACTTCGATAAGAACGATAATAGTTGTGTACCCAATCTGGTAGAAAACGGCACCTGTAGCAAAAGACTCGACATCTTTGCTAGCAGCCTCGATGACCGTTCCTACAAACTTCCGTGTTAGCAACAACGGTAGGAGGAGGCGGAAATCTCGTCACTTTGACCTACCGAGTATGTAGAAGAAAATAGAAAGAACGACGACTTCGACACGGCCGAAGACGTCGGCAATTTTAGCTGCAGTAGGTTGTGCAGCAGCAGCAATAACACTCCTCAGAACGTTGATGGTGGCCAAGGTCGAGTGCTCCTGGAATCCCGCAGTGGCATATGGCTGGTAAGTGTACCGCAGCGTGCCGTCCAAACCATATGCATACGCGACGAGGAAGATGCCGAAGAAGATGCAGCAGCGGTTGATGAAAGACGTGTGTGCATTGAGCGCTTCGATACGTAGGACACCGGGGGACTTTGCACCGGACAGTGCTGCTGGAGACTGAGGCTTCTGGTTGGTGGCGGTGAAGTCGCTTTCTTGCTTGGCACGTGAGTCGAGGCCCGTCACCGTGGTGCTGAGCTGCACGTTCTTGTCAACGTCAGCATCGCTATGGTGAGACATGGCGAGTAGCTGGTTGGAACGCGAGGTTGCAGTGTAAGAGTATACTGGTCTCAGCGTGTGCTGCGAGGTTTCTTATTTGTACCAATGCTGCGCGAGTCGACCATAGGTAGGTGAATGCCCAGGTGGCCTGACATGGTTTGAATTGGCAAACAACTCCGTACATTCACCATCACTTTTCCTCTCTGGGAACATGTCCCGAACCACCGGAAAGCTTCTCGTACATGGCGATCCAGTGAAATATCGTGCATGCTGCCCTGCATGAGATATAGCGTCCAGCTAAGACTGATTGATAAGATTAGATGCAAATTTTCGCTGGCTTGGCGTCAATATCCGAAGATCCGAAACTCGGGAACAGCCTGGTCGAGACCTTGGCGGTCTTTCTTTGGGAGCTACAACGGATACTTAGCTCAATCATGCTGGACGGAGCATCGGATTGAACTCGATACATCATGGAACGATGTAATTCTCGCCGCGTGGCGCACACCTCGAAAGTATCGTTGCTAGCGTACCAAGGGCAACAATGACTCGAAATTACCGCCTTGTACTCGTATTGAAACAAAGATTATCTTGCTACAAATAGCACTACTGTTAGCCAAGTGCGTTACAAGCATCCAAATCATCTTACTTGCGTGAGTTGAAGTAAAAGAGCATGAGAGGTGATTAGTGACAGCCTTTAGACAAAACCTACCTTTCTCGCTATTCGACACTGGGGGATGCTCGTGAGCCCGGGGCGGATCTGGAGAGACGAAGATCATCTTGGCCACTTCGAGTAAGCTTTAGCGATACCTGCATGAGGTGGCGATCTTGGGTCTTGTGCAGATTTTGAAGCTTGTCGCAGTCTAGTCGATTACAGCTTCATACGGTACCTCCAATGTAGTGATTGTCGTTGTGTCCACAGTCTTCCGCACAGTCAGTGAAGAGGAAAAATAGGTATGTGCATTTTCACCAGAAGCAAATGCAACTAGCATGGTGAGAAGTTATCAGAAGCCTGAAGCAGACTAGAAACGTGTCACAAGGGAGCTCGAGCATTATGAGAACGCATCTCTTGAGTGTCGCTACAGTCCTTTACTATAAAGTCTTGCCGCGTCCCTGCTAACAATCTCAACTTGTTCAGCAGCTTAATCCGCAATGCAGAGTGCATGACGGTGCGAAGTTTGTCGACGGCGTCAATGAGACTACACAACCACACCGTAAGCAAATGCATGGAGGTTTCATCGATTGATCCTAGTGGAAATACCGTCGTGTAGTCGGAGCAGTAGAAGGACACAGTAATTGCAAGCTTCGCGTACACTGTGGCTGCAGGATGATGTGAGACCCGATTTGCTGAGGATGAACGTACGCCACGGGCGACGATTTTGTACACTAAATGATGCGAGGCTAGTGCTTACAACGCCGAGGGATGATATGTTGTGAGTCCTCATGGAAACTTCTTACGCTTTCATCTGCACCATTCAGCTTCAGCTTTGGCTTGTGGAGATCAAGCAACGATCTGTGTCCGGGGTTGCTGATGCGTAGGGCCAGGGTACTACAGCTGGCTTACGGTGGTAAAGCAACCCTGCCAAATGCGTCGAGTTGAGGAAAATGCTCTTCAGAAAAGATGCAGACTACCAGACGCAAACGGTACTCACAATGCACCCAGTATGCTCTGAACATGAGAATGCATGCAGCCTGTGTCGATGGGACTCAGTCAGCACCGTCGTCCAGTGGGTACACGTGCGAGACATGGCTGTAGCGAGTCTGGGTGCACTTCATGCCAGGATGCCGCCGTTCCCTACCCTAACAGTACACAGTATCGTGCTTGCGAAGCTGCAGTCAGCATTGCTTCTGCTGGAGAATACCCGTTTGGGCTGCTTAGCGAAACTCGTGCGTTCGGGTCGATAAGGGCCGCCATCAGCAACAATGTGGCCGTTGTCCGTCACAGTTGCGACTGAATTGTCATCCGCGGTTTTGGTTGACACTGTAAGCAGACACTGTTGGCAGGCTGAAAAGTCTAACGTGAGGAGATGGCCAGGTCCATGATGAGTCGCCGGCGTAACACAACAGGCACATGCAGGCGTGCTCATGGTTGCAGCAATGCAGAGCGGTTGAAGGCCGCAAACCGTGTATTGGGGTCGTCTAGATGGCCTTTGCGCCACCATCTGCATGGCTGTTTAGTTTGACCAATCCGGTTGGGCGTCATGGCAGCGGGAGTGAGCACCTCTAAGCTCCACCCCTACCGTTTTGCTGGGTTATAAGGCCCAGATGTCCAGCTGTGCGTGTCGTGGAGATACTTGAGCCTTGGTGCTGCCTCGACGCTGCGACTCTCGATCTGCGTCGAATCCGCTACGGGGGCTATTCGGTGCTTTGCAAGGGCTCAGTCAGTACTTAGCAACCCAAAGTAGCGTGGAGCTCCTCGGTCGCGCTACAGCCGTGTTAGCCAGCAACGTCGAAACCACCATGGACTACTCGTACTTTGGCGGGCCCCAGCAGCCCTACAACCAATTCCTGGGCATGCAGCACTCGTTCGCCCACGGCGCACTCGACACAGACACGACGCAGAGCATTGTGAGTAGGGGCGGCGGGCGTGCCGGAAGACCCCGCAAACAGCCTTAGTAATGTGACCTGACGCGGCACCAGGAACCTCTCGACCCCGGACTGTATCCCACATGCTACGATGCCTTTAGCCTTAACAACGGCCTGCCCACCCCCCAGCAGGGCTCTCCGGAAAACATAGCAGCACACACCCCCATGCCTGTCGGCAGCGTAGACTCTGGACTGGGCCCCGAACTCGAAGATGGCCAGCCAAACCAGACGCGAAGCAGCAGCGAGGAAAAGGACAACCTGACGCCTGCCCAGAGCAGGCGCAAGGCACAGAACAGGGCAGCGTGTGTTTTTATTCCCGTCCCACCCGTACCGTTGTCTTGCGGGCAAGAATGCTGACTTGGGTGTCACAGCCAGCGCGCATTCCGCGAGCGCAAAGAACGCCACGTCAAGGAGCTCGAGACGAAGCTGTCGGCCCTCGAATCCAGTACCCGCTCCCTCCAGTCAGACAACGAGCGCTTGAAAGCCGCGCTGCATCGCGCCCGCACCGAGAACGAGATCCTGCGCGCTACCAGTGGCCATTCTCCCGCCTCCTCGCGCCCCGTCTCTGCGAGCTATCCCTCGCCCGGCGCCCATCTGCCCGCAGAGGATGACGACGAACAGGAGATGGATTACAGCGTCGAGTCGCTGACCAACGGCTCCGTTGTGAATTCTGCTGGTAGGGAACATTCACGCACCAAGGCCAAGGGGAGAGAGATTCCCGCTGCACAGGCCTGGGATTTGATACAGTCGCATACGCTCGTCAAGCAGGGTCTCGTCGATGTGGCTGATGTATGTGAGCGGCTCAAAGGGAAGACGACGTGTGATGGTCATGGACCTGTGTTTGCAGAGAGCACCATTTGGCAAGCAGTCGAAGAGTCGCGTCGATGCGGCGGTGATGAACTTATATGATGGCTGGACTGCTGTTGCTGCCACGTTCTTTCTTCTTGTCAATACCCCGTTTTTTTCTTCTTTTCTTTTCTGTCTTTTCTCTACCATTTAGGCTGGCAAGTTTGCTTTGCGGGATTTGGGCGCTTTGGGCGTTCGGCATCACTGTAGCCTGATGAGCAGTCTTGTGAATTAGGACGCTCGAACTATCAGGAGGCAACGATAAAAGGCAACGTGTTTGCACTTGCGGAAAAAAAGGTCATTTGTTGCAAAGTCTCTGTTACTCGTTCCTTCGGGGAGAGATGAGGCTTCCAAAAGGTCTCAAGTTGAGGTAAGAGTACAATCTCGACTCGAGACCTTTTCGGAAGCCTTATCTTTCCCTTGCTCCCCAAAGGAACGAGAACAGAGACACTGTATCGAACAACCTTTTTTCTTCTCGATACAGTGTCTCTGTAGTCATCCTATGGCGCTTGATGTAGGAAAACGAAATCTAGGAAATTAACATGTTCCTGATCCGTCACGTCTCCATTGCTGGCGCTTACAGGAAGTACAACAGAATCTCTATGAACCAAATTACATGTTTATCCTCACAACAACGTAGCGACTTCATCGCCGCGAGACAATACAATGAAACAAAGACACACTTCACCAACACCGCCCACTACTCTTCCCGCTCCCAACATTTCCAAGTACTAAACAAACATGCCAAGGAATACTGTACCAAAGCCTATCAGAAACCCCACGCTCGCTAATCACCCGTCATCCTTGACCAATATTCAGAAGGGGTAATACGTGTCAAAACAGCCTACATTCCCCGCATCGATGCATGAAGCTTCGGACGGGAAGGCGTTCCCAAAGACGCGAAAGTCCTTTTTGAAGCAGCTTAGAAGTCTTGGGAGGTCAACATGTCATCCAGCAGAGCATATGCACACTTTTTCCCTGTCCAACAGCTCTTTCAAGTCATGAGCTAGTGGTCGATGATGCCATCTATAACACATGGACGTGTGTGAGTGGTAACTTCACTCTGAGAATGTGTACAGGGAAATTAGCATGAACATCTTGCATGGTTGGAACGCCGAGAACAGGTCGTTCTATGGGAACTTTTCCACGTTCGTCGTTGGTACCACGAGTGCATATACATAACGTGCTAACGACCCAGATTCACGACTACATCTCGCATGTACACCATTGGCGCAATTCTCCACAACGTCTCAGGAAAAAGATGTTGCCTAGGAAGCCAATCTCCAAACCTGCTATATTGCGCTCCGTCTGCGGTGTCATTGGCTGTGCTTCCAAAGTATCGCTACGACTATGGTCGGGGCAGGAGCTTACCCATCGCTGGGACGACGTTGGGCTTGCCCCCCTCTGTGATGCACACCTCGCAACATGTTTCCTCTTCAGTTTGAAGATGCACCTGCTGTGATACAGCGTGTCAACGAGGCATATGATTCAGCCAAGGAACGACAGCTAATCGCGGCTGTTTCAATCCCAATCGCTATCGTCATCGTCGCCAGCGGTAGTTCCCTGTCTTATCTTGCTCGTATTGACATCTTCATCATCTTCTTTCTTCTTCTGGAGGCGGGTGTCTCCTAGCTTGACCGCGCCAACATCTACGAGGATTCTTTCGATATCTATCATGATGAATTAGCATCTTTGTAACGCAAAACTGGCATCTATAGCTGTGAGCGTGACGTACCTTGTACACTTGTCCTCGGCCCGCTCAACTGCATCAGCGTAACAATCTGCCTCTTGATATCTCCATCTTTGTAAATCAAGACCGTCGGTGTGTTCTTATCCGGATATCCCTCAATGCACAGATCCGCCCTCATCTGGCAAAACTTGACGTCTCCAAATCTCTTTGCCAGCTCCCTCCAATGCTCAATCATGACTCTTGACTCTGTATTTGTACCGGTAGAACTCGTGAGCAGGACAAGCACGTATGCCTTCTTGCTCTCTTCGGTCACATCGGACGAGTAGTCTGGTTTCTGGATATGGTAGACTTGGTTGTAGACCGAGGCAGTATTTATAGACGACAGTTCAGCCATGCGCTTCTGACGGTACGAATCGAGAAAGTCGTCGTCTTCTTCGTCCTCTAGCTCGGCTAGTTCGTCGAGGTCTTTGCCTTCTAGTCGGTTTTCGTGGGCGAGTTGGCGGGCTTGCTCGAGTGCTTCTTGGATCATGGGTGTGGGCGATGGCGGCTTTTCGGGGATGATGCCTTTACTCCGGAGAATGTCGTTCCTGTTGCGCGCATGTTAGGGCTGTCGGTTCTTGCTTGGGGTTGGTGGTCGCCTGGCTCACCATTCTGTGTCGGCGTTGGGATCGTCGATTGGGACGTTGACGGGCATGTCTGGCATCTGCATGATGGCGGTTTGAATGCAGAAGTCGCTTGTATGATTTGAGTATAAAATTGATGCGCAGAGCTTGGGTGGGAGGATGTTCTTGTGGGAGAAGTGTGGTGCCTGGAGTGTCAGATATTTCGAGGAACGCGAAGCTCCGTCATGGACCCTGCCAATCTGCCCCGCCCCCACCTCAGCTCCGCGCGCCGCCAACCCTTGTCACTCTCAAGGCTGCATCTCGAGTCTTTGACTTGGAAAACGCCACTGCTTACCTGATCACTTGATCATGTTCTCGTCTAGGCATCAGCTGCTGCCAGCGAGCAACACACAGACCCTCATGACACCAACATCTAACGGCAACTCAAAAGCTCCGCTTGCGCTATTGTCTCAGCATGTACCTACTGCGACGTGAGAGTGACGGCGAGTTCAGCCTTACCGAATACTACGGGCAGCTCCCACCATATGCTATACTTTCGCACACTTGGGGATCTGATGACGAAGAAGTGACATTCAAGGACATTCTAAAGAGCAGAGGCAAACGTAAATCTGGCTACGAAAAATTGCGCTTCTGCGCTGCCCAAGCTGAGGAGGATGGATTGGAATATTTCTGGGTGAGGTTACGTTCCTGTTACGTTTTTGTGCACGAAAGCTGATACTCTTTAGGTGGACACGTGCTGCATTGATAAGACAGATAGCGTGAAACTTTCAGAGGCGATCAATTCCATGTTTTCGTGGTATCAGCACTCGACCCGATGCTACGTTTATCTTTCCGACGTTGATGCGCTTCCGATTACCCTCGATCTCTTTAGAAATAGAGAATTGCTGGAACATGTGTTGGCACCCGCGTGGAAATCCGATTTCAAACTGAGTAAATGGTTCACAAGAGGCTGGACTCTGCAAGAACTCCTTGCGCCGTCTTCTGTTGAGTTCTTTGCTAAAAATGGTGAGCGCCTAGGCGACAAGCAAACCTTGTCGCAAGATATCCATCAGATCACGGCAATCTCTCTTGAAGCTTTGGAAGAGTCTCCATTGCGTCCATCAGGGTATAGTGTGAAAGAACGGCTGTCGTGGGCAGAGGGACGGGAAACCAAACGAGAAGAGGATGCTGTTTACTCTCTTCTTGGCCTTTTTGGCGTACATATGTCACCCATCTATGGAGAGGGTCGACCTAACGCATATGATCGCCTCCTTTTGGAAATACAGCGAAAGTCAGCGCTTCGTCCTTCGCATGGAACAGGTAGTTCAGATTTGCAGGATGCTGCTTTTTCTTCGAACGGTCAGCATGGCAATGGCCCTCTGACATTGAAAAGAAGCGCGTCAGATGCGTTTGGAGCCACACTTTCTGGTCCCGATGAAAGCGATTCAAAGCACAGGTTGGTCGAAGCGAAGTCAGAAAAGTCTGCACGCGATAGGACGGAGGAACATCTGGTAGCAATGCGGGATTGGTTCACCGAGGCGATTGCCGCAAGAATGGACTTGCCTAGTGGCTACCAACGGGTTGCTGTGTTGTTATTCAGATGGACGGATGAATTGGATGAATTACGAACATCTAACGAGGTAAGTGATCTCAGATTCGAAGTCGACTCCAGTGACGGTGAGAGATCTCGCATTCATATGCGATTTACAATCTCCTGATCAATTGAATCTCAAAAGAGACATCAAAATATATGGTTCTGATTTGATCGCAGGTGTCAGAACTTCAACGAGTGTTCCGCGATGAATTTCAATTCGAGACTGAGATTGTTGGACTCAATCACCGAAGCAAACCACAACTTCAGATGGATCGATCTTTGATAACCTTCATTGAGGAGTACGACGGGCCTCAAAATCTGTTAATCGTGTTCTATGCGGGCAGTAGCGTCCGCTACCAGAGCACCCGTCGACTCGAGCTTTTGCCGTCATTGAGCTCATTAACGGATCGTGGTGCTTTCACTGGTGGTCAGATAAACTGGTACAAGACAGAAGATATGCTCCGTTCAGATGAAGTCGATGGAGACGTCCTTGCAATACTGGATACACCTTACGCAAGTAACAACGAGGTTGGCCATATTTTCAACGAGGAAAACAATTACAAGGGCGGTGACGAGAGGACTTCGAGACGTTTCCAGTTGATGGCAGCTTGTGATGAGACGACCTCGGGAGCTGAGAATCAATCTTTCACACGAGCTCTGATTGACGGGATGATGCGACTCTTGAAAGATGACAGCTGCCCCTCATTCTCTACCCAGAAGCTTCATCAGTCGATCGAGAAAGTCTCTGCCCGATCAGGTACAACCAGTTTGATTTGGTCTCTGCTACCAAATAAAGACCATATTTTCTTAGCACCTCTCGAGTTTTCAGCAACGCGTAGGAGTAAGGCTCGTCTGCGGGGTCGAGGTTATCTAAAACTCGGCCTCGAAATCAGGGATGCGTCTTTGGAAGAGCCACAGATAGAGTACCTTGCAGGAGCTTTGTCGGCGTTGTTGGATAAAGAGTTGATAGGCCTTCGCAGGATTGATTGGCTTGGGTTTGAGCCTCGTAAGGAGGCCTTGATGTCGTTTACCGAACATCTTTCATTGAGAAAATCGGCCGCTCACCAGTGGAAAAGGATCGTAGCAAAAAAGAAACAGGAGGCAATGGACCAAAGAGAATACACCCTAAGGAAAGAGTGGCGGGGAACAAAGGAAGCGCTTGGACTGGAAAGTAAACCCCCCACCTCACCACCCAGCGATACATGTGCGGGATGAAGAAGCCCGTAACTTTCTGGAGGTTGCGCAACAGTCTGCAGGTCGTTCTAGCATCTGTGTCAAACTTTTCAGATCACTATAGACGCTGTTTATTTCAACCGATGAAGATCGATCATTTTAGTGGGGAGGTGAAAGAGTCTACGATGACTGAACGTGCGTGGCAATGATAGGACTTTATCGTAGCTCCAGAGATACATTTTTCTCGCGCCGATAAGCAAAGTGCCCGATCAGACCTTCCGGCGTAAGCAAAAGGGGAAGGGATATCTGAAGCTGGAACTTGAGTTTTGCGAAGAGGCTTTATTGCAGACACAGATAGAAGAGATAATGCGAACTCTGACAACATTAGGAAGAAAGGCGAATCTCAGACTTTTAGCCGTCGATTGGCTTGGGTTTCAGGCAAATGGCAGTGCGGCCACTTTTCTCGTAAGGGCAGTATAAGTGATTGTGCTTGTAAGAAAATGGCTTTTTCGTGCTCGCAGTAAAAGAAGTATTCAGGAAAGGGCGTCTGGAATGACTGTTAATGCTATCAGACGACGTGGTTTTGAGTGGGCAAGAGTTGGAATATGAAAGATCTACGTAGAAGTCGAACACCGGATTGAACATGTGATGGCATCCATCTCCTTGCGAAACAACTTCAGCCAGATCTGCCGCGAAAGAAGGAGATGTGCTAACGTAGAGCTATAGAGAAGGTAATAGCAAGTAGAGATAGAGTAACGGCCTTCAAGCATGTTTGAAAAGGCTTTGGAGTACGAAATTTGTAGTAATTTTCACAGACGAATCTTTTCCAGAGGTATCGGCTTCGAACATTGGCCGTAAGCAAAAGGCGCACCCTCCCTGACCAGATTGCTCTTCGTGATTGCGTCCCGTGATATTTGCACAGCTCGAACACCACGCTCAAGCATGGTGTCCCTGTACTTAGCCATAACGGCTTCTAGATCCGCACCCCTAAGACCATCTTCGGCAACGCGTGAGAGTGCTCGAGCCAGGTCAAGTGCATCTCGAATAGCAGTGACACCTCCTTGACCCGAGAAAGGCGTCATACAATGTGCTGCATCGCCTAACAACGCAACTCTGCCAGAGCTGATATCCTCCGGGGACAGCTCAACGTCGTGCATAACGAGGGGTGGCGCTCTCATCCCTTCGACAGACGTCTTCTCTATAATGGCCTTGAAATCCGGCGCAAATTTCTTTGTCATGGCTCTTGCTGCGGATAAAAGCTCCTGCTGACTTGCAGTAGCAGTCCAGTGGGATCCTTGGGTCGCAGCCTCGTCCGGCCAGATCAAAAACCAGTAATAAAGGCCTGACTTGGCATCAGGGAGGACATCGTTGACACCCACGAACATGACCAGATCCCCGGAGCCAGTTATGTTGTCGTCTGCGCGAACAATGTAGCAAGAATGGCCAAGTTCAAGCTGTCGCTCCATATCCTCGTTTCTCAGTGTGACTTCACCAATAATAGTAGCGATAGGCAGTCGCTTAAGCTTGTCCTCATTGGGGTAGAGTAGATGGCGGCGAACTGTAACATGTCTCTTATTAGCAATGCGAATTTGTGTCCAAGATATGTGGGTGAGGCTTACCAATACTATGCACGCCATCTGCACCAACCAAGAAATCACCATTGGCTGAAGTCCCATCTGTGAAACAAACTGTTACGCTGTGATCATTCTCTTTAATTCCTGCTGCTTGCTTCCCAAACTCAACCTGAATACCAGTACTAAGAAATTCTCTTAGTCTCCTACGATTTGCCCTGAGGAGTTTGCCGGACCCATTATCGGTCACACCATGTCGCCGGCTCGGATCCTGTGCCTGGTAGACAGCAAGCTGCGAAGGAAATTTGAGCGGATGAAGATGGAATACTGTCTCTAGGGATGGCATGTCGTCTGGAATGCTGGCTTTAAGGTCGTCTAGTATGGTGTGTAATCCTATAGACCATCCTTGGCTGCGCGAGTTCTGCTCTGAATCGCGTTCGAAGATCGAGAACGGGATCCCTTTCTTCCTTAGGGCCTGGGCGAGTGTCAGGCCGCCAATGCCGCCTCCAAGAATGAGCACGTGAGGAGAGTGGTCTTTGGAAGTCATGATAGAAAGTTAGCAGTATAGTAGGATCGAACTGGGAGTAGAAGTAATTTCTGAGTGGAAACAGTAAAAATAATGATAGAATGAGGTCCCTTGCTTTTAAGCTTGTTTAGAATCAAGTGCAGTGGTAGACCTCATGAGGTTAGCTCGCAAGGATGTCAGTCAAGTAAGCGTCTCCCTAGTCTTCTCTCTAGATTTCTAGGAATCATGCATCAAGTAGAAAGCTTGGCTTTGTGCAGCAGGCCGCTAAGCCTAGTGGATTCCTTGGCTTCGCGCAGTGAGGCTTCCGATACCGCAGAATCCTTACCTTCGCACAAAAGCACTGCCGACACCGAGTAGTCCACATGGGTACGTGGCCTGTCTCATAAAAATCACCATCCTTGCGGTCACCGTACCAGTTGAGGGGATATGCGGCTTTGAAATGCTTGGCATCATTCTCAGATGAAGGAATGGTGTTTATGCAAGGTTCATTCAGGCCCCATCGGTGTCGTCAACAAAAGGACGGTTCAACCTGCCGATTCAGTCAGTTTCATTAGTGATCGAATCGACCGACCAAAGCCTCCGGGCGGACTCGGTCGTTTCATCGGCTAGATTATAACTTACAAGAATGCGACGTAGAGTGGAAGCAGCCTTGTATCGCCATTGCGAGAAATCACCTTGGTAAACGGACTACTTCCTTGTGCGGAGCAACAATCAATCTGCGCTACTAGAACTGATGCTCTTCACAACCTCTAGCTCTCGTACGTCCACATCAGATAAAAGATCCGATTAATTATACTATGTTCATAGCATGTCGAGATACGTCTCATAAATCCGAACCTACTAGAAAAGCCGTATTTCATTCCCGATCTATATAATCATACAACCTAGCTTACTGTAATCTCATCTTTATCCGCGTGTAACTCTTTCACCCCTTCAATAAGTCGCCCAGTCTTCTGTTTAGCAGGTAATTATGCCATACTGTATAAAGCTGTATTATTGTTACCAAAGCAGGCCCAATGTTACTGCGTTTCAATGCTGTTCAGGCTCATCCGTGTCTATTGTCGCAAAAGGTCAATACCCAGTCGCTGGGCCTCGAACAACGTCCATATCATCCCTTCCACCATAACTGTAACCCGTCAGAAATGCACCTTCCAGTGACACTGGATTCTCATTCCAGAATTGCTGGACCGTTTTGGCAGCCTTGAGGAACCCTTCTTCAATATTGCTTGTATTGGTGCTCAGACACCCTTGGTGCACAATCCGGCCATCTCTTTTCCAAATCTTTCCGTTGACAAGGACATGTTTGACATGTCCTACGTGGGAGTGCAAGAGAACAGCAGTGACAGGATTGCTCCAACCCAGCATTCCCGGCGCCTTTCCATCGTATACTACAATGTCTGCCTTGGCCCCAACACGCAACACACCAAGATCATCGCGTCGTATAGCTTGAGCTCCGGACCTTGTGGCCAGCAAAAAGCCATGATTGGTAGACATCGGATTGCGTTTTGCCACAATTCCTTCCTCGGTGGTAAGGTGAGTCATCAAACGCTCGCGAACATTCTGGAGCCAGATCCTTGCTTGGGTGATCATATCGCCGCTGTTTGTATAATGTGTGCCTACACTGAGGGATGCTTGGTCCATGGCGAGATGCTGTTGGCCCACCTCTCGGGAGTGCGACATTTCAAACTCCGGAGCATACGCCATGTAATGATTGTAGGTGCGCAATAACGTCAAATCTGTGGCCGTGAGGGATGTGCCGTGTACGAACACGACGGGCACCGTAGTATTCAGAAGGTGCGTTCCGTTGGCCAGTTGTATCTGTGACAGTACAGACGGGTTGTTTTCTGTTGCGTATACACCGCCAACCGCATGCGTCTCGAGCACAGCAATGTCAACCTCACTGTCAAAGATTAGAAACGTTCAATACCCGAACTGTGTTATACAAAGCGCTTACCCCATCAACGCAGAAATGGCTTGTATTTCCGATTCTATACCAAAAGTCCATCTTTCATACGAGATACCAAGACTGACAGTACTCCCAGTCAGAGTCTTATCCGTCATCAATGTTTTAAAATGCTCAACCTGTTCGTCGAAAGATACGGTATCGTAGCCTCCCAAGTTGTATGCGAAGATGCTCCTGATACCACTGTCCTTGGTAGCCTGGATGTATGCATTGACAATGTCACTCGTGAAAGATCCGGATGCATGATCCACGACAGTTGTAACTCCTGCATTGACAGCTTCGCAGAGTCCGACCAGCTCTGGAAAAATAAGATATTTCAGTGTCGTAGATTCTTGCAGCGATTGTTGTGTTCGTCCATCTTGTGAGATATTCTGCTAGTGTACCAGTACCACCGATAGAGCGGTGAGCGGTTTGCCAAACGTGGCGATGAGTGTCGACATGGCCAGGGGACAGTATGTCTCCTTCAACCGAGATTCGAGTAGTTTCCGCTGGAATTGAGCTTGTTGAGTTCGTAGGGAAGATTGCGCTAATGGTATCGTTGACAACTAGGAGAGAGTGGTCGCGTAGTATTTCTACGGAACCGCTCGTTTCATTGAAAGATATAATGGTGCCATTCTCGAAGAGTACAGACTCGCTGTGAGAAAGAGAAAATGCAGCGAACAGATGGAGGAGTCGAAGTATTTGCTGCTTCATGATGTCAATTGTTGGACAACGTGTGATACTGAGATCGTGACGAGGTAACCTACCACATTTGTACTTGAGTACAAAAATTGGACTTCTAGAGGTGCTGATGGTTCAGTAGCCCATAATCTGCTTATTGGGCCGTATTTGCGTTGTAGTGACTAGGTATGGACGAAACAGTGGCCGACTCTCGTCTCACGGGTAATAGTTTCGCCGGATCGCAGTTCGGTCTGCGCCAAGCCCGATACGGACATAAGACATTAACAAATTGCGAAGTAGTTTCTGGGGTGCCCAGCCACGAAAATGCTCGAATGATCGTTAGTGTCGGAGTTATGCCATGATGTCCGCTTTAACTTTTTCGATGTACGGCCGCAGTTGTCTTGGGTTTTTAGTCGTGCCTAAGAACAAAAACAACTAGTCCAAGAGAATAGACCGTCCCCCGTTTTACGACATGTGTATAGTAACAAATTTCTCACCAGCAAACGATCGTCACTTTTTATCAACATGTTCGTCCGGTCAGCCTCTGCTTGCGGTCGCTTGATCACAAATTTTGAATGCTCGCACGTACATTGCAACCGTGAACTAGAATGATTTATCGACACGGACTGAAGACTACATAGAAAGTGTTAACAGTAAAGGTAGTATTGAAGTATCTATTCAAGATGAGAATCGACGTATACTCACGTAATTAGCTGGCAGAACCCTGTGACATGGGACACGGCCCCCTCCCTTCCCAAGTTGAGATGCACCAAGCCTACTAAAAGCGGACGAACAAACAAGACACGAAGTGCATATCTTCGCGTTTCGGGCTTTCGCCGACCTTTAACGCCGTTGGACTCTTGGTAGTGAATACATCAAGGCACATTTTCACCGATAGACTGAGTTGTATAAAACGACAGTAAGATATCCTTTGAACCATTACTTACTTATATTGTTTCGTGTTACGGCTGCATGATCATCGTTTTGGAAAGTCTGGATATACAGAGTAGATCAAGATCATGCATTACCACCTTCTCCTTCCCCTTTTCGGAATTTTGGCAAAGGCCGCGGAATCCAAGCCAAACAACACTTATGAATACATCGTCATTGGATCTGGTCCTGGTGGAGGACCACTCGCAGCAAATCTCGCCAAGGCCGGTCATTCCGTTCTGCTCATCGAAGCTGGAGACGATCAATGGAATAACTCCAATTCGGCAACAGTTTGGAACAACACACTTGCTATAAATGATCCCCTAACTCGTTGGGACTTCTTCGTTAGTCGCGACGAGCCCCAATTCGATGAAGGATTTGAGTTTACCACCTGGAGACAGGCAAATGGGGAATATTATGTTGGACTGGATCCGCCAGCGGGTGCTGAACGCCTTGGAGTCTACTACCCAAGAGCAGGAACTCTTGGAGGTTGCACGATGCACAATGCTGCGTCGATTTCTCTTCCAGCCGACGTTGACTGGCAAGACGTTGTTGATATCACTGGGGACGACTCGTGGAGTACAGCGAACATGCGCCAATATCTCGTGAGACTAGAAAGATGTCACTATCTCGCCAATGGAAGCAATCCTACCCATGGGTTTACTGGCTACATCGATACCTCGCTGGGTGATGTATCTTGGGCCTACAACACAACGCCTGCAGCAGAACTGGCCCTTAGACACCAGAACGCAGTTGCGGGTGAAGGTGCCTGGAATCTGACGCATCTTGTAACCAGAGATATCAATGAGGACTCCCCAAACAGGGATGATACCGTCGGAGTTTTCGGGCCTTTCACCCATTCAGACCATGGAGTTCGGTCGAGCCCGAACAATTACATCCGCCAAACACTGGCTGACACAAGGCGCTTCCCACTATTTGTCCAGCTAAACACTCTGGCGACTAGAATATTGTTTTCCAAAACTGAGGGGAAGGGAGCAAAGGTCTCGAGACCTAAAGCCATCGGGGTTGAGTTTCTCGAAGGCAAAAGCATGTATTCTGCTGATCCAAGGTACGACCCTAATATACAAGGCGTTGCTGGCAAAGCATTTGCCTCCAGGGAAGTGATCGTCTCTGGTGGCGTATATAACACACCGCAGCTTCTCAAGTTGAGTGGCATTGGGCCCAAAGACGAGCTCAACAAGTTCAACATTCCTATCGTTAAGGATCTTCCCGGCGTGGGGATAAACATGCACGACAACTACGAGACAACTATCTACGGGACCTTCGCAAACACTGTGTACGGCTTCTATGATATCTTCGCGAAAACCTCGAAAGCGCTAAGGACCAGAGATATACACTTCTACTGCGGCGCCATGCAATTTATTGGATTCTGGCCTGGTATGCCTGGCTGGAACCCTAACGAGTTCACATGTGGTTTCATGCAACTTCACCCAAGGAACATTAATGGTTCGGTAACTCTGAAGTCCGCCAATCCTCGGGATATGCCCAATATCCACCTAGGCTTCTTCTCGCAAGGAGACGACGACGATCTCGCATCGATGGTAGAAGCCATCAATACGGTTCGCCCTTCGCTTCAAGAACTTTCCAACAACACTTTCACCGAGTTGCGACCATGTGCCGCTGGCACTCTTTGCTCCGACGACGCTCAGGCTAGATTCCACCGCACAAACGTCTATTCACACCACGTCACTGGTACCTGTGCGATTGGCTCAGATGATGACCCGCTAGCAGTTCTAGACTCCAAGTTCCGTGTTCGTGGAGTCGATAGCCTTCGTGTTGTTGATGGTTCTGTTTTCCCAGTACAGCCGGGAGAGTTACCTAGCCTGCCGACCTTTATGATTGGGGAGAAGGCTTTGGATGATATATTAGCTGATGTATAAACGCGTTTTGTGTATTTCATAGTAAACATGGCTATGAAGGCACAATCAATGAACTATAGTGTAGGACGTACAGAAGCTGAATAATGTGAATTCCTACCAAGATCACAAGAATATTCAGAGTGGAAGTCACTGAACATAGCTAGAGAAGTACGAAGTGAACATGTCGCACTATGAGGTACGGGTATCTTGCACTTGGAATATATAGATAGAAGTATACATCGCATTATTTGAGGTGTTCTAGCTTAGCTTATATGGCGATTGAGACTGCTCAGGAGTGATAGGGATGTATATTGAGTAACGCAGACAAGCTTTGGTTCTTTGGAATGCAAAAACTTTTTGGTGTCTAGGTTGAGTTGGATCGTGTAAGGCGATGAGCCGTCAGAGTACTACAAAGCGTTGCTTATTTTATCCGCTTGTCGTAAGGTACCGCCGGGTAAAGGCATGGATAGCGTGTGATTCGTGCGATAATCTATCGCCAGAAGACTTTCCATAGCGCACTGTTCTGAATGGAGGAAGTGAAGCAGGCGAAGGAAGCGATGGGTCGAGGATTCCAAGGTTTTCATCAGACTTGGCAGCGCTGTCCGTGCGCAGGCAACATCCGCCCAATCCTTAGTGAATCCTTAGAGCCGGCACAATACGCGACTGCCCGTGCCTCTCGGTTGCGTCACATATTTGCAGTAGTTGACCGAACTATAAGTTCACTGAGCCGGACTACGCTCGAGCTATTCACATCAAAGCAACCGCATCCTTACTACATTCGTCAAGTTCGGGCCTCTATATTGCACTTGGCATCAGATCAACTTTTTTCGCGCCACCACCATGAATGAACTCGCCCGACAATGGTTGAGTGGGCTTTCCATCTCTTCAGACTATGATTTTGTTGGCTACAGAAACTGGGGCTTTACCATTTACCGCACCGGATACGGACCTTCCTCCGACCAGCAATGGCAGCGACTTCTCGAAACCATCCAGACTAGTGCGCACGACGAAGCAAGAAGCTTAACCGATTCTATTGAAGAAGAAGAAGAAGATCCTAAATTTCAGGAATTGTGGTCGCTTTTCCGTCTCGATGCACGCTCAGACCCTGCCCTAGCTGGCCTCGACATAGATCAACTTCGCCAGTTGTATAACAGTAGCAGTGGCGAGGGTAGCCAACCAATGAACGCAGACTTCAACTTGCACCGAATATTCCTTTTCGCCGACGACGAGGTTCTGTCAGACCCTGCCGCTTCTATTGTTAAATGTGTGGATGCCGACTACCGTGCAGAGGACTATAATTCGTGGAACCCAAGGGTGGGTGGACAACGTTACTTTGGCTGGATGCGAATGGAGCCTAGAAGCGTAGCATATCTCTGGGACGAATTGGGTCAATACGAAATGAGTGATATTGCACCTCCGACTATTGGGGGAAGTCACTTGGTGACCTGGAAAGGACAGTTGTAACGCGAACGAGCACGAGAGTCTTGATCCTTCACAAACGAAGCATTTCAGGTCTAAAGCTACTTCAGTTGAACACTGTCGTCATGTAGATCTTGCTAATCTTTTCTCTATCGCTACAATCTAGAGAAGTATGGATCACTTCAGTGATGCTGCTATCAAAGGTGTCGCGGAAGGAGTCTAGATCTGTAAGGTCCGTGACGAGGAAGATATAGAGTTGTTCGTCGATGTAGTCAGGAAATGTATCCCGCAGTTGCGATGCGGCTTTTTGGGATTGTACAGTGCCTCGAACTTTGAAGCCTTTTTCCAGTAGCTCTCGCACGACATGACCGGCCACGTAGTCATTCGCACCAGTAATTAGCATCGTCTGGTCGCACGAGGCCATGATGTACTGAACATGTATCGAAGGAGAGATAACGAGGTCGTTTAACGAGCTGTTACCTCTTTTTTAACTTGGAATTGGCATACTAAATACCTTGGTAGGCTATACGGACCAAATACGCACATCAAAGAACAACATCACGCGACAACGGACATTCTCCACGCGGTATGTTGTACTATTATTGCGGAGTAATATCGTCCCGTTTTGTATCCCAAAGCGGCGTTTACGGAATTAAGGCTGTTATCGTACCGTGTCCGTGCACTTGAGGCCCGACTGTAGTTGGCAGTCAGCGTACATACATTGAGAACAAGATAGTATTACTGACAGAAAGGTCCTGGAGAAGAAAAGGATATAAATTCTATCACAAATATCCTTGAATTCGGTATACTGCGCTGGGAACTCAGGGGTGAAGTCAACCCTACCTTTCGAGCACTATATATACCGTCAAGTGGGATGCAAGTGTAGTGCAATGCAAGAGAAAATGAGCTCCTTGGTAAGCTTTAGTATATAGGTTTGAATGACAAAGCTTGCAAGACGACTGCCGGATCGGCGTCTTTCTCGAACAAATCAAGTAGCCACCTGATAGATATATAATAGCTCAGCGTTCCTCCCATGTGCATAGCACCGGTCTCAAAACGAGCTTCCTTTGCTGCGCCATGCTGCAGCGCGAGATAAAGGTCATCGATAGGAAATACTTCGTCGTCCGTTCCGTTGACCAAGAGCAGACGTGCGCAATTATGTTTGTCAAGGGTGCCGTCTGATTATGTGGGGATGCAGAGTCAGCGTTTGTTTTGCGTGTGTTTCGTATAGTCATAACTTACCCTTAAGCAGCGAAAACTTTTTAGAGGCCTCTAACTTGAAGGCTTCAACGTCGGTTCCATAACCAAACTTGTCAGCTAATGCACCTGCTAAGTCCATGGGGTACTCGAGATGGTTCACATTGTTGAGCCACTCTGGGTCAAATATGTGATGACATCCACCTCCTTGAGAAACAACCCCAATCAGATCTCCAGGATGTGTGTGCGCGATCCGGATTCCGTAATAACCGCCCGTACTGTATGACCATACTCCGACCCTGTCTATATCAAGGCTGTCCTGCTGGGCGATCCAATCAAAAAGGCTTGAATACAGACGATCTGGAGATTTCGGGTCCGCACGTGAAGCAGGACAGTCTCCAGTTCCCGGAACTTCGATGGCTATGGTAGCGATGCCTAATTTGCGGAATGCATCCATGAATATTGCAGCTTCGGTTCGATACGCATCCAGGCCTGTTATAAAAATCAGGCAGGGAACACGGTTTTGCTTGCTAGCTCCAGTAGGAACCAGATAATATATTGGAATCTTGTCACCCTCGATAGGTAAGCCGTGTGTGTGTGGAACGTTGATTTCCAGGATAGGGTGCGGTCGAAGACTGAGGCCTTTGAGACAGCATTCCTTCTGTAGGCGCCACGCCTCTCTTTGCGCGTCAGAACGCAGTGTAGGGAAGCGCGCAACACGGTATATCGCACTGGCTCTGAGATAATATTCGCTTGCCTTTTCAATCTCGCCTTTGGCATCCGCTTTTCTGGCCACATTAAGTAGTTTTTCAGCTTGTGGAAAATGTGCTCTTGCGTATTCATCCCAGTCATAAGGTGGTTTGAAGTCACGCTTCACCAGATCCTCAACTATCGGCTCAAAGTCCTTGGCTGTGCTGAACATGAATGGATACATCCCAGATTCTGCCTGGGATTGGAATGAGTGCTGGAATGACGACTTTGCTGATATCTGAAGTGCATGATGGTGTGAAGCAGGGATCATGTGTGACTTACAAGCTGTTTCCACTTCGTTTCCCACAACTGCTTGTAACTCTCATGATGTACAGCTGAATCTTTCAACTTCTCCTGGATGAAATAACGACCTCCAGGTGCCGCCATAACTTTTTATATTGCTAAACTTCCTGTCGTTGAATGATGATATATTGTCGTTTGGGAAGTGGTTGAAAAGCCTTCTTGTAGGTAGGAAGAGAGACTCCATGCACTCTATATATAGGAAACCTATACAGTGGTTTGTATCCTTCCATCGTTGTTTTACGTGTCGTATGCAACGAATGATGGCCGAAACGTGAGCACGTTAGGCTCGGCCGAGGTGGTGTAGGTAAGAGCGAAAGACCGACATACATCTCCAACGCATACAACATGCGCAACGCTTGACTGCAAGAAACTCGGTCGGAAACGTGCAATAAGAGCGAAAGACCGACACTATCGTTTCCGTACACCAATTACTTAGGGCTATCAACAATACCCCACACAATAACTTTGTGTAGCTTCACTGACGCAATGCGCTATCGGGCCGATAACGTCTTCCTAGCACAGCCATCTTGACGTCTGACATAATGCTTTGCTTTAGAAATACAGTGTCGATCTTGATCTTCCAACCCGTCGCAAACGCCAGTTTCGCAGCTTCCAACGCGCTACTACGTCGTCTAGACTGAGGGATGCCATCAAGTAATCTCCTTCTCTTCATGGTGCTTTTTCGTATGTTCCAGTGGTGCGTCGATCTTTCGATCCATGACCTCCTTGAAACTGGGGAGGAACAAGCAGAGGATACAAGCAACAGCCCCAAACGGAGCGGCAATTATGAAAACAACGCGAACGCCATCGGCAAAGGCCTGTTGCATTGCTCCACCAGCCGCTCCGAGAACTGCCGGTGTGGCCCCGGGAATTCGCGCCAGTGCGGCTTCATCGTGGCTCGAGAACGCTCCAATAAAGGGCCCTATGGAAGAAGCGGGTAGTCCTGCCTGAGTGACCGCTCTCGCGATATACGAGGGAATGTATGTGCCGAGGCGAGACGAGAGTGCTGTCGAATACGCGGCAACAAAAATGGATGCAGCCAAGGTGCGGCAGGAAACCACCAACGCTGTTGCTGTTGCGATAAGATGGTGCGGCACCGCAAGTTGCACACCAGTAATGATCAATATCAAGGGTCCAGCTAGACCGACGCCTGCAAGAGCGATAGTGCCAAGTGCCACTGCAGATTGTCCAGGCTGTACGGTGGCGAGCCCGACAATGCCGCCAGTATAGATGATGTATGCCACGAATAAATTGTACTTGATGTCCCTGAAGTAGCTGCTTGCCCAGCCATAGATCAACGTGACCCCACCGATCAAGCAGTAGAACGGAAGTTGGCGGACGGCTATTTGTATCGGGTTTGAAGTGAACAGCGCGCTCGTCCTATGTGAGCTCACATTAGTAATGCTAAAATGTGAAAGCAGATCTATACTTACAACGCTGGGTAGAACGTTATAATGGCGAAGAAGGTGAGTCCTTCGATGAAGAACAAGATTGCGAAGTTCAAAACGGCCCAGCCATACTTGCGGTTGCCATTGAAGAGCTCGTGTGGTATGATGCCTGTCTTTGTACCGTATGTCTCGTAGAGACCAAAAGCAACAAAAGCCACGAATCCAGAGATAAGAGGGCCAAGAAATTGTCCGCTGCTCCACCCATACGTGGACTGAAAGTTAAATCCAGCGCAGAATAATGTAATAGCTGCAGTAAGAATCACTGAGCCGATCCAATCTATATGTCTAAGGTTCGAGTGGAATGTGGATCCGTCCATGGTCCTCTTCGGCGGTGAATAGCCAATCAAGATGCCAACGGCGCTGAAAGCCCAAAGCCCTGTTTGAAGCCACTATCATCGGTCAACGAGGTCCCAATAGCTCATGCCGGTAGTAGTGTAAACTCACGTAGAAGTTACGCCAACCTTGAGTTGGATTGTTGTTTGTAAATGCACCGACTAGAGCTTGTCAGACCTCCATGTAGGAAATGGTCCTAGCAAGCCAACTTACTAACGAGAGGCCCTGTGATAGCCCCCAAAGTGCCACACATGTTGATGAAACCCTGACAGACTGTCTCAATCTATAAGCACAGTACAGCTGCAGTTGTTGCCAAGAGGGGACTGACCTGACCTCCATCTTCGCGGCACGATCTCACTAGGAACAGCGTAGCTCAAGGGAGCTGACGTGAGTCCGAAACCAATCATGATTGACCCACCGACAACTCGGTAGATGGACTCAGAATTTGGTATGATAGCCGAACCGATGATAGCCAATATGACCAAGCCCAATATTATGCCTTTCCGGATTTGGAACGCATCTGAAACCGAGGAGAAGAAAGGACCGAGTGCAGCTTGAACCAGCGTGGAAGCATTGATTATCCAGTACCTCCACTCCGGATTAGGAAACGCTGAAGCAATATTGTCGAGCTATAGTCCAGTGGTTAGTCTATCGAAGGACATAACGACCATGAGATAGAACTCAGCTTACCACTGTAGGTGGGCCAACCAATGCTAACAGTGTAGTGAATTGTAAGACACCCATTGCTATCAGAGCAATCGCCGTCTTCAAGTGTATCGTCTGTTCCTCTCCCTTTGCATAGACGGCTGAGTTCTTAGGGACTATGTCGACTTGTTCATGACGCTCAACTTCCGTGCTTGGCTTCTCGAGAGTATTCCGCATATCCGACATGTTGATCAGTTGAAGTGTCAGCTCAGGCACAGACGCACTGAGATCATTGCCAAATCATCGCATGCAAGGGGCACCAGATATAGATATTGCATATTTACCTTACCCCAGATATCCCCCACAACAGCTATACCCCGCAAAGTTCGATCGTGCTTGATCTTACCAACCAACAGCACTCGAACGCCACGGGACGTGCAGCTAACGATCGGATAGTACAGCCATGGCAGACGAATGGCCGGACGAAAAATCCGCGCTATGGCATTGGAAATTGTCAATCGTGACTGGCGAACGCGAGTCCGTGTGATGTCTGTTGATGTTATCTCTCACATACCATTGTGCTATGACTGAAGCGCCTTTATTGTCCACGAAGGTATGCAGCATGATATTAGAAAGAAGCAGACTTTGGCCCTGTGTGCTTTCATCATGTTGTGCAAGTCGGAAGGAGACTCTAGATGATGCCTACCGCTGCAACTGCCGACGCGTGCACATGCAGGCCTGAGAAAGCGCCACACGGCGACGACAGCTTATACTGTAGTACTGTGTGTTTCCACGTCGATCAGACCGAAGCCATTTCAAATTCATAGACCACGTGGCAGTGGGAGGTAGTTCCTACTGATTGATTCGTGCGTTGCATAGTGGCTTCTGCATCTGGAACTCACCGGATATGAGGATGGCAGATCCCGCAGTTGCATAGATCCCGACGATCAAGCTGTGTCTTCCCGTAATGTGGAGTTTCGGCACTAAATCTGAACTCCTAGGTATTGCGTGGGCTAACGAGCGAACGGCGACCACCGGCTCATCCGGAACCAAGAAACTCTACCAGGCGAGACCGAGGCTTACCCCACACACCAGATCCGATTTATGTCCTCTTCCCCGCCCCCGCCACAAAGTCCGACAGTGTCGCGCAAGAAGTCTCGTGGCTTTTCCACCTTTTGTTGTTCGTTCTGTATGTCGACCGGTGCTGATGATGCTGGTTTTGGGAAGGGCAATCCCGCTGACTATGAATGCCCCCACTGTGACCTGTCTTTTCGACGTCGCGAGCATCTTAGCCGTCACCTAGACCGTCACACTGGCAGCCGCCCTCATCAGTGCGGCATCTGTATGAAAACATTCCCGCGAAAGTGAGCTCGTACCATTGTATTCCATCGATGACGAGCCACTAATCCCTCTCGCCTAAAGCGACACGCTTAAACGCCATGTGAGCATACACGGTCCTGCCGCGCTGGCAGACTGGGTACACAGAAGTTCAAATCGACACCGACGCGCCTGCAAAGCGTGTGCAAAAGGAAAGCAACGCTGTGATGGCAACGGAACAACAGTGTGCAGCAATTGCGCAAGCAGGAAACGTCGATGCCTTTACCGCACTTCAACGTCAGAGTCTGTGAGTGATGTGGTTCTCGATGAGACAACTAGTATGCATGGAGTTCTCCACGACAGGCTAGGATGCGATCCCTCGCCCGTTCTGCAATCATCCCAAGAGGAAGAGATCATTACCATGGTGCCGGACGACCTCTCCACTGAATCTGCGGCGGACGAACCCAGGCAAACTTCGATCGCGAGTATCCAGGTTTCATCATATCCAGACACAGACGGACCGCTGCTCAGTTCTCAACTAGAGCCTTTAACAGAAACTTCAATGTTCTTGTCAGGGTCACTTGCGCCCGTCAATGCACCGTTTGCATATGGATTCGGCGGTATACCGGAATTCTACTTTGGTAGCGACGATCTCTCAAACGCGATGTTCTTATTGCCTGAGCAAAGAAGCATCAGCAGCGACAGTTTAGCATCTCCATTAGAACCTGGGTACCTGTCATCGAACAACAGCAACAGGCAAGATCAATTCCTGGCGGATGATGAAGACACTCTCATTGCTGAATTTGTGCCTCATGTTCCGCGCGTTGACGGAGAAACCCGTAATCACATGTTGAAGATGCTGACCGCTGATATGCCTACATCAGACTTCAACCACACAGTAGAGACATTTCCATCTCTACAGTATCTTGACGTATACGTACAACTCTACTTCGAACACTTTCACCGACGTTGGCCGGTTCTTCACGTACCAACTTTCGAGGTATCACCTGAAAGGTGGCATGTTGTCTTCTCTGTGGCATTTATAGGTTGCCAAAATTCCGAGGCGATTCAAAAGCACAAACACCTGGCGTTGTTTCGCCAACTCAGCCCAAGGATATTCGGTAAAGCTGTGGGTGTACCTTCTCTTGCTCGCCGCGATACCTTGCTGACAACACCACAACGGCGACCAGTCCGATGAATTTTTCGATTCAGACCTACTAGCTTGCATGCAATCTTTGCTGTTGCTCCAGCACTGTATGATGTTTGATGGAAGCCGTAAGACGTTCATAAGACTTCAGCTCAATCGTAGTGTGCTTATCACTCTCTGTCGCAAACTTTTATCACAAGATGGCTCGGTTTTGAACAGCCACGAAATTGCCGAAATACCTCCCGACCCCTGGTCGCAGTGGGTACGAATTGAGGCCGAGCGTCGAGTCCTATATTTCACCTGGAGTGAGTATTCGAATTGAATGACTAGTCTATGAGCTGATCAGACCAGTGACCGAGTGCCTACAAGGGATATTGTTCTTGATCCCACCACTGCTAACCATCGCCGAACTGCAAGTTCCTCTACCGGGACCTGAAGCACATTGGGAAGCTGATCTCCAGCAATGGCAGCAGTTAGCTCCATCACGACCTCAAGCTACAGTGTGCGTCGCCCTTGCTAGTATTGGGCTCCAAGGTCAAGTGACGGACAACTTCGACAGTTCTGCTCGATTGATAACGCTACTTTCTGCTTTTGTTCAGTGCACTGCAGCTCAAGACTTGATGCGAGCAATGATGCTGTATACTGAGAATTCCAACACCACACGATCAGCGTCGACTTCCGGTACGGTGGCGGACATCTCGCGCGCAGCACTCGATGTGCTTTGCAGGTATGGTGAATCGCAGTTCCCGACAATGGCAGAACCCCGCTCTATTTCCGACGACTTTCCGATCATCGCCCGCATACTGACGATTTTCGATCTCACTCCTTTGCGACTCTTGTATTCGTTCACTCGTTGGCAATCCTCCGAAACCGGTGTTAGCAACGCTCGAAAAGAGTTATCACGTATCTTGAATCATCAGATCCGACAAGCAAGGCAGTGTATACACCAGGCAGCGCAATTGTTCCAGTATTTTCGCACCGCCAATACGCTGCGACACGTTGACACTATCGCTCTGCTCGTCTGTACGCTTTATATCCATGCTTACATCGAGCTTGTGGCCGAACAAAGAACAGACCGAAACGAACAAGCAGATGTGATCCATGGAAGAACAATGATCAGAGTTGACCAAGCCTCTGATCTTAGCCAGATAGGTGACTGGCTGAACCTTGAACATGACCACCTGCCTCATGTTACTGGAATAGGCGTTCTTGGAGCAGATCGGAGCGTGGCGCGATTGTATAAAGAGTCGTCAAGAATCATGGGGAGGAGCGCTTCAAAATCAAGCTTCGCGGCAGCATTGCAACCTTTGCTAGAATCACAAGCCGCTGGTAATGCGCCAGCCCTCCAAGACAAATAGTGGAATCGATTGAGTTGCTTTCACTGTATTTTCCCATGTTTCGTGATTCGACCTGCTCATGTCCGTGACCCTGCGACGGTTCATGTGAGCCATCACTTGATAATATGACCGCCGGCTTTGTATCGGCCGTGCTAGGTTCGGACGTCAGCCACTTTACGTTTCCCCAGTTTCTTCCGATTGTGGGGGTGGGGAAGCCGACTCAATCACCATGGATCACATTTTTGACCCTAGCTGAGCTAGCATTGGTACAAATCATGAGGACAGTATGCTTTACGACCCCGAATAAATCTTCCTTTCTTGACTGTTAATAGTATTTGTCCTCTATCAGATCGTTTAAAGTGAGGTCTTTGGCAACAATCAATGCCCAGCACAGCATCTGAGATACGCCCAACTCCAAAGACAATAACTCTATCGATCCATCACCGCATTCGCATTAAGTAATGTCAGAACGCTCAGGACGTTTTTCTGTTCCGGTACTTTTTACATCATTAGACCATGAGCCTAAGAACACGTGGGTGGAGTACGGTGAGGCAGAAAGGCGAATTCTCCCGAAGGGATGGACCAAGGATGAAGGTCGTCGGCCATTGTCCGAAGACATGATTTGGGAGAAAGATGTTCGTATCCCTCTTCGTGACGGTGTCGAGCTTCTGGCCGATGTGTTCCGTCCTTTGTCGTCAGATCGACAACCTGTTCCCGCGATCATGCCATGGAGTCCGTATGGAAAGACTGGATCTGGTATGCAGCAGCTTGACATGTTTCCTTGGAGAGTAGGTATACCTCGCAACCGAACAAGCGGCCTCGAGAAGTGGGAAGCACCTGATCCGGCTGAATGGATTCCTCGAGGCTATGCGATAGTCAATATCGATGCGAGAGGCAGTTTCAAGTCAGGTGGCGACTTTCATGTCTACGGCACTCAAGAAGGCCGCGACGGTTACGACAGCATTGAGTGGATCGCGCAGCAGACTTGGTGCAACACAAAAGTGGCCATGGCTGGCAACTCATGGCTCAGTACGACGCAATGGTTCATTGCTGCTGAGAAACCTCCACACCTTTGTTGTATGGCTCCTTGGGAAGGCTTAGGAGACTATTACAGAGAGTCTATCTGCCGTGGTGGTATTCCCGACCATGCTTTCTGGGACGTCCTAATGGCGTGGGCTTGCGGTCAGTTCCCTGTCCGGTGTGTTTTGGTCTTCTCTGCTGACACACCCTTCTGTAGGTCCAAATGAGCGAGAAGACGTAGGCGCAATGATCGACAGATATGGACTCTGGAATGATTACTGGGAAGACAAGAAACCAAAGCTCTGGAACATATCAGTACCTATGTATGCCACAGCCAGCTATTCTACGGGTCTACATACAGAGGGATCAGTTCGTGGGTTTCAGCTTTGTCGCTCGAAAGAGAAATGGTATGCTCCAACACCCTTCAAAGTTTCGTCATGTTGACATGGGAGGGACTAGGTTACGATGGACAGCCACGCAGGAATGGCATGACATCTATCAGGAGGAAAATATCGATGACCTACAAAGGTTCTTGGACAAATATATGTATGGACTCGATAACGGGTGGGAGAAGACACCCAAAGTTCGCCAGTCGATGCTCGGTTACAACCGTCCCTCCGTGATCAATCGTCCAGCATCAGAGTACCCACCGGTGGACTTCCATTATCACACACTCTTTCTGGACGCAAAGACCAGGATTCTGAGCAAGTCAAAACCGAACGACTCGAGCTCTGCTGAGTATTATGCGGAGTCTCAGACCGATGATGGTCTCTCCTTCAGTTACAAATTCGATCGGTATACTGAACTCTGCGGCATCTCCAAAGCTACTCTATATATGTCTACAGATGATCATAACGATATGGTAAGTTCCAGAACCCCTAACCAGTTCTTCACACTGATTTTGGCAGGATGTATACATCGTCATACGCAAACTGGATCATGATGGTCAAGCCCTTTGGCATCAGAACATTCCTATGGAAGATCTCCCCGAAGGAACTAAAGTGGAGCAGATACCCCGAGAAAACATCTGGTGAGTACTCTGTATGGTAGCTTTTCTTGCAAAGCTAAGAAAGCCTCGTTACAGGCGCTATATCGGTCCCAATGGCCGACTTCGTGCGTCGCATCGAGAGGTGACTGAAGAAACTATCGAGGGCATCAGCCAAGACGAATACCGAGAGCTCATGGGTCCCGCCTATGTATATCATCCTCACACTTCAAAGCAGCCGTTGCTTCCTGGTGAGATTGTAGAGCTCGAGATCAGTCTTTGGCCTGGAGGCATGGTGTTCGACGCTGGGGAGTCGATGAGTCTAGAAATCAAAGGCCATCTTCCCATCTTGCCTGAATTTGAAGGCTTGGAAGAGAAGCTTGTCAACTTCAATGTCGGGCGCCATAAGTTGCACACAGGCCCCTACTATGGATCGCAATTGTTCGTGAGTTTGCGGGAGGGTTGACAGTCATTTACTCAAACAATCAAGAATCAATAGTATTTAGTGGCCAAGTAAAGCAGCAATGTTTTTAGGTAGATCTAAGCATGTTTTGGTGAAGGACTGGCGCTCTGCAGTCGATGTATGCGTGCTGGCAATGGAGTATCAAGGTGCCTAGGTAGAGACCACGGGAGACACGAGCGCGCCGACGCTATCCAAGATTGACTTGATTAGTACGAAGTCCTCGTACGGTAGTAAGCTACGGTGTCAGGCAGTTCAGATGGGAATGGTCTTTGTGGGGGAGATTGTGGGAGTCACGTACGCGTTGTAGTTGCGGTGGGGAACTCCGACTTGACGGATTGCGCGTTCCTTGCCCCGCCAATCGCTTGCTCTGTCGGCAATTCGAGGGCTTCGAGACCATCATAGGTCTACCATTAGCTGCAATTCTGTCGCGCGGGACTGCAAGTTCCAACGTCTTCATTTACTGTGGTATCAGGCATAAGTTTCGTATGTGGGGACGCTAAGTTCGGCGTCACTTCGGATGGAACCAAACCTCTTCTATCTTAGTGATCTGCAAGCCACTTTTAGGTCTCACCACCCTGTTGTATGGGCCCTTTCTCTCCACTCACAGCCAATATTGACGAACCTAGTACCTCCAAGCACAGGAAGCAACTAAACAGAGACCAGAGACTTATGGTACACACACTATATAAAGCCGGCCACACACAGAAGTGGATCTCCGAACACCTAGGGTTTACTGAGAGGCAGGTGGGATACGTTTTAAAGCGCCCCCTTACCCCCCAAAAAAGGCCAGGTAGACCTCCAAAGCACTTACAACGAACTTGTACCACAATGGGTGCACCAAGGAAGACAACGATACTGGTTGATAACATTGCAGTTCCGCGGTTCGCTTTCGGACTAGGATCTTTGATGCAATGGGCTCCCAACCATGCTTACCCCCTCCCTACTGACAGTAGTAAAGAAGTAACGCAGGCGCTTAAAGCGGGCTTCCGACATATCAACACCGGCGACATTTACACCAACAACGAGTCCGCGGCAGAAAGCATCAAGGCGTCCGGGATCGCCCGTAAGGACTTGTTCTTCAGTTTAAAACTCAACACCTATGCTGCGCTTGGATGTAGAGGCAAGGAGAGTATGGTGGAGAGTACCAAGAAGGAAATTGAGCGCTTCGGACTAGACGGCTATGTAGATCTGTTGCAACTTCATTTTCCGCCCAGAGGCCATCCAGGAAATTTGACCAACCGAGAAGCATGGAGAGTTCTCGAAGAACTCAAAGATCAGAAGATGGCGAGAATCATCGGCTTGTCTAATTGGTAGGTGAATTCGTAGCAAAGTGTTAGAGAAGGCGTTCGATAACACGCGAGACAGGACACTTGCGGACTACGAAGATCTCATGGATGCTCCTGATATCAAGTACAAGCCGCAGATCAATGAGTATGAGATGAACCCGTTCTTACTCTCCGATCCTAAACTACGGGATCTTAGTTCCTACGAGATGAAACATGGCATAGTTCATATGAGTGAGTTGGGCCCAATGACGATCAAGTTACATACCATCGCTGATCACGAGCGTAGACTACGGCTTCTTGTCTATTCTATCCGGCAAGCTGCCACATGATGGAGCTCCAGCATTGCTAAAAGAGTTAAGACTGTTATCGAACGAGACTAATCTCACGGAAACGGAACTGCTTCTTGCTTGGGCATACGACCGCCTAGATGGTATCGTCATATCGTCATCATCTCAAGAGCACCGCTTGGTAGGACTTGCAAAACTGTTCCTCGATAAAGACCAGGTTTCTTTAGAGCAAAGTGTCTACGACCGTATTGAGAAGACTGCAAGCGAAGACGGTTATGAGGGGAAGACGTTTTACAAGCATGGCCATATGGATGCCGCTGCAAGCAAAGGTTGATTACGTCGCAGTTCTACTACGCGCGACGAGCTTCTCATACCTTTCTCCATGAATATATGCATTATGACCCGTGCTAGCATTATGATACTATGCGAAATTGAAACGTCGGCCACCCGCCAGAGAAGAAGCTGTCCACGTCCGGTAGAGTCCGCACGTTTAAAACCAATGCCTGACGAGCAACTGCTCACTACTTCTACGCTACCTCCCATCCCAGCAAATCCGGCATCTTTGCATGATGATAACGATGTATCCACTTCTACAATATTACGGAGTGACGAATTGACAGCCTGGAGAGCGCTTGCGATTGTGGGGTAATCCCTTTCGATTGGGCTAGTGCGGGGAAGCCGCGAGTCCAGACTCTACTTCGTCGGAAGGTTGATTCAGTACCGTTTACTGCCGTACATGAGATACGCCAAGAATATGGAGCAGCGGGTTCTTTTCGGGGAGTATATCCTACCTAGGTACTGTTTGGAAGAGTGCAGCATTCAGCATTTGAAACGAGTCCAGGGCTGGCCCACACAAGGCGGAGTAAGCCAAGGCGACCCCGCAGTGCATATACCAGAGAGAGGACTTGCTTATGAGGGTAGCGATTTGTCTAGACACGATACAAATTTCTGATTACTGGCCAAGAGTTTCCTTGCGCGGCCCTGCCCGTTGTACTCTCAAGCCTCTTATCATCTTTTTATCTTTGCATCCACCAGAGGTAATAAATCCACCATCGCACGAACACAATGACGCAGAATGAACAAGAAAATGTCGAGCCAGTCATTATTGTCGGCGGCGGGCCCGTTGGTTTAACATGTTCCATCTTACTCTCCATCCGAGGAATCGCGCACACATTATACGAGAGGCACGCTTCCACATCGATACATCCCAAGGCATGTGGCATTAACCAGCGAACGACGGAAGTATTTCGCGTAATGGGAGTGGAAGAGGAGGTATATGCTCAAGCCACGCCAGCCGAGATCGCGGGACGAACAGCATGGTACACGTCTCTCGGCGACGAGGGCAGGGAAGTTTTCTCGAGAGATGCCTGGGGAGGTGGCCAATACGCATCCGAATACGCCACGCACAGTCCATCAAAGTACTGCATCTTGCCTCAGATTCGTCTGGAACCCATTCTGAAGCGCCGCGCTATCGAGCTGAATTCGACGGGCATTCGCTCATACCACGAAGTGTTGGAAGTGGACAACCAGAAGGATTTCACCGTGGTCACTGTCCGAAACCGGGATACGAATGAGGTCTTTCGACGCAGAGCTCGCTACGTGATCATCTCCGATGGTGGCCGGCAGTTTACTGACAAGCTTGGAATCAGCTGGGCAGGCGAGGCAAACTTGACGACCATGATCAGCGCGCACATACGTGCTCCAATTCGACCGCTTCACCACGATGCTCGTAATTTCATCACTTGGTTTACCAACCCGGCCATGGGAGGCAGCACACGAACAGGCTATCTTTACCAACTCGGCCCATGGCCCGAAGCTATGACGAACCCGCAGGCCGAAGAATGGATGTTCGTTTGTGCCATCACCGAAGACGATCCGCAGATATTCGACGAAGAGACAGCACTAGATCGGGCGAAGAAGACTATTGGTATTCCAGATCTCGACATCGAGCTGATCAGTCTCACCCATTGGACTGCGAACGCCGTGTACGCTTCGGAATGGCGTACCGGTCGATGCTTCCTCGTCGGTGACAGCGCCCATCGTATCCCACCTTGGGGCGGTAAGACTAGAACGCGCCCGCGTCATCATCACAGATTACTGACTCTGTACAGCGCTCGGTATGAACACTGGAATCCAAGATTCGCAAAATCTTATATGGAAATTGTGCCTCGCACTGAAAGATGAACAAAAGTACAACGCTTTACTCGACACGTACTACATTGAACGATCAGAAGTCGGAAAACGAGTCGGACAAACAAGTCTCCAAAATATGCGCGCACACGCCGGCCACATCGACAGCGCAATCGGCGTCGACGCACAGCAAACTCCAGAAGCCAACATCGCAGCCGCAAAGTCCTTCTTCGACCCAAAACATCCAGACTATGCACGCAAGCGCATGCTCATCGAAGCGGCATCGCAAGAGCTGGATACAGAGTTCAAGGCCCCCGGCTACGAAGTCGGTTGGTTCTATCCTTCTGCAGATATCAATTCTGAAGGTGGGGCGACTCATGGTGGGCAGCAGCTCCCGGATGGGACGCTGGTACATCACACGTACTACATGTCTACGATCCCAGGCCATCATCTCCCGCATGCATGGCTAGAACGTGATGGTAAGACCGTGGCCATTCGGGACCTCCTAAGTCTGGAAAAGCTTACGCTGTTCGTGGAAAGTGGCAATGTAGGGAGGATAGCCGATGAGAGGGTTCAGATCATCACCATTGGGTCTGGAGGTTGGCGCGATGTGAATGGGACATGGCAGCAGTATCGCGGAGTAGGTGCAACAGGTGGTGTTCTCGTCAGACCTGACGGTATCGTTGCCTGGCGTGGTGTATTGGCCGCCGCTGAGGAAATTGGTTGGACACGTCTTGTAGACATCTTGCTCAAGGCGACTATCTGAATTGAGCGAGCCCATACAGCATCCAAATACATAGGACTCCTGTTGAAGCCGGAGTCATAAATGCCACGTCCGACTCTCCCAAACTTGGTGCTTTCCAATCAGTATCCCAGACTAACTCGCGGATCGACAGCCTCGTTAACAACGCAGGTATTTTCCGGAGCGCAATGGCCGGCCATCGCCGGGAGCTTTTCGAAACATGTGCAAAAAGTCATCCGACACCGCTAAGTTCTTGTACACAGAAAGAAGCATAAACGTATCATTCAAGCGAGCTAGAAACCGCAGCGAGATGGTCTTGAGGCGTCCATACGACGCTTGTCCTCTAGATCGCTTCTAATCTACCGGATAGCTGCAGCTGCAGCCGCAGCTTCCTTATCAGCGGCCAGCATCTTCTGTATAGCTGGTCTTGTCATGCAGCGATCCCACCAAGCACCCACCGCCTTGCGACTTCGTATCACGTCGCCATACCCGCACACAAACAATCTTTGCATCAATGGAATATAGTTGATATCCGCGAGCGAAAAGTCATTCCCAGCCATGTACTCTCTATCCTGTAGCAGGCGATCCGCCACGTCCAAGAACGCTTCAAGCGACCGCAGTGCGTCTGACACGACGGCTTCGTTGGGAGCCTGTCCCGCGTACTTCTTCTTGACAAACATTTCAAATGCGATTTTACCCGCGGGATCGGCAAAGTAGAGTAGTTCTGTTGATTCTGCTTGGTCAAAGAGCGCGGCGGCTTCGATGTCGTCGTCGGTGCTGCCGCCCTGCGGCACAAGTGGGAACGAGTACTTCCTCGCTAGATATTTGCAGATTGCGCGGCTTTCGTAGAGAGCGAAGCCGGAGGGGAAGGTGACTGCGGGGACTTTACCCCATGGGTGACGCTTCATGTGTTCTTGGGACTGCCGTTCAGGTAAATCGTCAGCGTTAGACAATCTTTGCTCGCATCTGAGGCAACAAGTCATGTCGTTCTGTAAAACAACAACGCGGTATACTCACCTTCTGCTCTCCTTTCTGCAGGTCCACAAGCACAAGCTCGTAGTCCGTGAAGCCTCCTTCGGCAAGAGTCAAGCGAACACGATCGGTGTTTGTCGAACCGCGAGAACCATATAGGGTAAAAGCTGGCATTTTGAGAGTGTTGCAGCGGTTTTGATTTGGCGCACTGGGGCTGTTCGTGATGAAGCTTCGACAGGTGCAAGTACTTCTCTCGAGAGGTCTTGGGCCAGTCACCACAGTATATATGTCGATATAGACGCTTCGGCTTCCGTGCAGCGCGAAGTGTTAGGCGCTGAATGGGTATGATTGGTGGGATCGATCTCGTACAACCCGACTGGGTTAGCGCTGATGCTCGCCTTACCAGCGACACACTTCATGCGATGTGACACCAACTCACTAGCCTCTTCATTGCGGTGTTGAGTCAAGATCAATCATCTAATTCGTCTGTTCGTACATTTTGCTTTCTGCGACCCAAACAATGGGGACTGAGGAGGGTTGAGGGCTGGTTCGACGTAAGAATGCATTGATCCTTCTACTCACTGAAAGCATCTCTCCCCGCCTCGCATGTACGTATCATATCCACCAACAGTGCAATATCTAAGATCGTCGAACGACGCTTGCTCATTTTCTTCACTCCGTGCTTACCCCCATCTCTCCTCCACTTCACCCTTCCATGTCACTCCAGTCTCAGAAAAACCTGCCCTTGCTGCCAGTCTCCACGCTATGCTCGAGCACAGTCTCGCCATCATGGTCATCAAAAGCACCAGGCCTATCGATGTTTCGCGGGATAGGTCGATCAAGCGCGTCAAAACGGCGACCCTGAACCCTAGCCTTGACCCAAAGGGAACCAATGCGAAGAGCGCAAGCAGCAAAAGCCCAGAGCAGGCCTCCAAACGGAGCCGCTACGAAAGCGCCTAGGAATTGTCAGCACCCACGCCAAGGCAAAGAAGGTAAATGGGAGCAAGTTGGTGACTGCGTTCAGTAGGAACAATTGGAAATTTGTTGTTGCCCTCATCGTGTTTAGGGAGTACAGAGTTTCATCATTGCAGTTAGGGGGAGGAGAAAGAGATGGGAAATGGACTTACCAAAAGCACTCCAGTCATTCGCATACAATCCACCTTCCAGTAGCAGCAAGTTCCCCGCAAGTGTAACATCGCCATCGTAGTACACGAGTCCGAACAAGAAGATGGTGAAGATACCCCCAAGTCCACCGACAACAAAGTCGAAACCGCGGTAGAAATAAAACTTGTCGCTCAACCCAATGACAAGGCAAGGCACCACGGCCGCGCTAACCAAATCACTAATGAGGAAGATTTGCAAGATATCCGGACTGCGCAGCGCGACAACAACAACGGGGAAGATGATTGCAACGACGCAAGCGCGGATGACCCAGATATTAAGCTTGTTGCGGAAGAAATCGTTGCTCCCCGTGCTAATCATAGCAGACTGGAACGAATCAAACGCAGCCGTCGAAAGCGAAATGGTCATGACAAGAACGACGCCAACGACCCACGCGGGCAGCCGCTCGAGCAAGAGGAAGAAGGCCAAAGAACCGGTTTCTTCGTCGCCAATGGTGTATGCGCCAGACCATGCGGCGAGCATACCCCCGACGCCCAGCAAAGTGAGGATGATTAGCACACCAACGCTAGCAAGCGAGACGCCGATCCAAAGGTCCTTGTCCGTGCGGGCAGCAAAAGTGCGCATCCAGAAGCCGGACAGGAAGAAGTCGTTGGACAAGATGGCGACGGGAAGGATATAGATGAGTTGCCAGCCCAGGAGGCTGGATTCCAGGTATCCGGATTGGTCGATGAGGGAGCGGTCAATGTCTGTTTCTACGCCTACGGCGATGACGCCCATGATGATGAGGCCGATGACCATTACGCCTTGGATATTGTCTGTTACAAAGGAGACTTTGAAGCCGCCGAGCGCTGGATATTGTCAGCTGAGCCCTATCGCTTTATTAGGTGTTGATTCGTTGGGGGCTTACAGGTGTAGATGGTGGTAACGGCACATTCGACAATGACGACGGGGAGGCCATTGAGTCCGGTGAGTAGAGTGACGATCTGCTGGAGAGCTGAGAGCTCAGCTACCATGTACAGGAACATGGTGATGAGCGTGCAGATGCTCAGGAACAATCCTCCGATGGCTCCATAACGCTGTCTCGTCCACTCTGTCAGAACGAACCCTTCGGGACATTTCCGCCTGATGATGGGGCCGAGCGCACCAAACACCAACAATGGCAAAGATGAAGATAGCGCGTAGACCAAGAGGCCTTGCACACCCGCAATCGTAGCAATCTGAGGATATGTGAAGAGAATACCGGATCCGAGGGCTGTGAGCGTAGGAACAACCTAGGTCAGCTACTTGCATCAATGAGAGAGGGGTAGTTCTAGGAGGGGGAAAGTAGCGGCAGCACGTTCCTCACGCAAGTATTATCTTGATCGAGTTCTTACGGTACTTCTCAGCTTCTCCACCACCAGGCTCCAAGTTGCGACATGGGCAAAAAAAAAACCACGTGTCTTTGGAGCCCGGTTTTGGTTTCAGCGCCCGCAGTGTAGCCGCACAAAAGACCGCTTCCTATGCCACCTGCATGCAATGAGAACTACGATGAGTTTTATCGCGGCAGTGGTGATGGGAAGCGGCTTCTGTGAGAGATCTCAATACGAACCTGGAGGATTTCAATCAAGCTTCATCGAGGCTTGAAGATGGGTCTTGTTTGCAGATGAAGCATTTCCCTGTCGTCGTCGAACGCTGAACATGGTCGCGATAAAAATCGATACTGCCGCTGCCTTTCTTCATGTGCAAAGAAGCACACTGGGTGCACGAATGCACTCACCACTAGCGATGAAATTGAAAGCGAGCGGGACGCCTGTCTCAAAGTCAGTCAGGTCCTACTTGGATAGCATTGATGTCGGCGCAAGTTGCGCAGAGTTGGTGGGGAAAAGATTGCTGCAACTGGGCGCTGAGGCAGTGTCTGACCCTTCTGTGTGCGATTACTAGAAAGCCACTCGGTCTTGGACTGGTGTCGCAATCGCCATGCAACGTAACATCCCAGGACCCTATTCCAACCACGTTAGTTGCACCGTTCCCACTTGTCTTGCCCGCAAAGCCTTGGCTTGACTTACAGGAAAGCGCCGAGGGTGAGGTAGATGATAGCGTTGGACGCTGGTTGCGACGGAATACCCATGACTGACAAGATGGTATCTGCACGAGCTGGTGGTTGACGTTTGCAAAGATGGGTCGAAGAAGCACCGGGGCCACGAGGTCGGGAACATGCAGGGTTAAGACGGTTCGGCAACCAAAAACTTTTGCTTGCTACTAAACCCCGCGCCTTGCTTGTTGCATCGCTAGCGCAGCGCGGAGGAGATTCGCCGCTGATGTCAATTTGTTAGCAATCCTTCTAGCCGGCGCGCGTCCCCAGCCATGGACGCAGAAGCTCGTGGGGGTGCGTGAACGGGCTCGCATCGAGCTTGATGCATGTGACATGTGACGACGGTGATGAAGCATTAACATTTTGCTTGTGACTACTCGTGACATGGGACCAAGCCTCCCAAGTGAAATCTCGACAAAAAAACGCCCTATCGCTCCGTAACGCAGCAAATGCGACAATCTGATATTAAGTGTGCCGTCATGTCATAAGTCGTGCGCTTGACGTGCTCCGACCAGTCAGTCTACCATGCGTGTCTGTCCCAGTTGGGATCTGCCAGTCGTCAGTCATTGCTCGTCCAGCACCTAATAGACACGCACCCTGTACGAATGCGGCCAAGACCTTGCTGCCCGTCTGCAGCAGCGGGTGGCCCACGACAATCTGGAGGAAGCGCTGTAGGCCTTCGCGCCGGTGCTCAATCACATCGTCGGAGAAGCGGTTGGTGAGGACCTTGCCCGGCAGCGGTGGTATTGTGACGCGCGCCGACTCGCGCTCGAGGATATCGCGGAAAGCCTCGAACTCACTGTAGCGGCGGCGCACCGTCGACGACTTGAGCTTGAAGGCGGGGATGTTGGTTCGCATTACGATTTCGTAGGTTGTGTACATGCCACGGCCAACGCCTGGTGCAGCGCGTTAGTTGACACTCGCGCGATAGGCCGCATCTCTCTGCCTGCACTCACCGTGTGTCATTGGGTTTCTGACCTGTGCACGCGACAATTGTGAGCAAGGCTGCGGGACAAGACCAGGGCAAGGGAAGCGTCTAGCGGGCCTACCTCGATCTCCAGAAAGTTCTCGGGAGGGCCGTAGAGCTCCTCGAAGCTTTGCGATCGTGCATCGGGGAGCGACTGCATCGTGGGCGGCGTGTGCGAGTGTGGGGATGGGATATGGGCAGCTGGGCGAGAGTTGGTTGCGCGAGAGTCGGTGCTCTATGGCGGGGCTGGCGCGAACCAACTGGCCCGGCGCTGTGGTTTGGAGAAGGTGCTGGCATCTCAACGCACGTGCATGCATACACTCCGCCCTCCCAACCGTGGGGTAGTCGACCTCTCCGGACGCTCCAGTCTTCTCTTCTTGCATCTTCACGAACAAGCACTCGAGTCGCGACCCGTTCTAAAGTCCTGCCAAGACACAACTTCTTGGACCGCCTGATTTGCCGACTCTTGTCATCTCACGCTCTAAGCAACCCCTGTGTTCTAATCCTCCGTCGTCCAAATACGTCAACCGTACTAAGTGCTTACTTGCAGTTGTTCATTTCACGTCGCTGAGCCCTGTACGTCATGCCGTTGGTGTTGGCCTTGGCCTCCGCTCAGAGCCATTTACCTAGACATCTTCGCTGATTAGCTGCGAGCATATTGTTCAGTTCCAAGCTCGATATGCAATCCCGGTTCAAGTACAAGCTCTTCTTTTCCCCACTCTACAGACCCATCTCCAATGTCACAGTATCTCTGTCTCCATCTGGATCCAAAACCGGTGGGGCTTGTCGTCCCTGCCCAGGTGCTGTATTGTTGCTCGACCGTCTTACACCCGCAGACCGCAGCAGCGCCGAGCACTTTCCGATGCCATGATAGCAAACACAGGTGCAATATCGTAGTTCAGTTCTAGCTCAGGGGCTACAGCTTGTCGTAGGAAGACTCTGCTCGAGTACATAAGAGTGACCTTGTCCGCGAGGTTTACCATATCCAAACCTTACGCAAATCCGGCTATCTAATAGTACATACCGCACAACTCCATTCTTTTGTCCTAATCCCACCATGTCACTCTTTTTGTCAAGCTTGCTTCTCGCCGGTGCGGCGTTGGGTGCTCCTTTGCAGCCCTCTGACCCAGTCTTTACCAACGCGACCATCACCCCGCCCATCAACGGTAGGTTCTCTTGATAACCGGTTGGAACCATGTATACCGGTACCAACTTACTGTCCTCCAGGCACTACCCCTTCTCCTCTCCAGCCTGGCATCGTGTCCAACTGCGATGAATACTACTTCGTGAAGCCCGGCGACATCTGTATCGACATTGCCAGCGCCAAGGGCATCACTCTCGACGATTTCCTTACCTGGAACCCCCAAGCCGGCGAGACATGCACCAACCTGCTCGCCGACACTTACGCCTGTGTGTCCGTAGTCGGACATACCCCCACGCCTACCAAGCCCTCAAACGGAATCGAGACACCGAGGCCTATTCAGGAAGGCATGGTGGACAACTGCAACAAGTTCCATTTTGTCGAGAGCGGCGAGAGCTGCCCGGCTATCCAGAAGGAGTATGGAGTCAGCCTGGAGGATCTTGCCAAGTGGAGTAAGTTTCTCATGTCCTGGAAATCGCTTTGAAGATGGTGGCTAACGTCATGTGCGTGATTAGACCCTGCCATCGAGGATGACTGCACAATGATGTGGGCAAACACCAACCTCTGCGTTGGAGTCGTCGCTTGATCTTCTTCTTGACATCGTCCGCTTCATCACTGCACTGAGCTGCCGCACCTTGCATCCAACTCCAGCCGTCGCCGGGTGTCTCTTAGTCTTGCTTGTAGAAGCCTCAAACCCCTGGCTTTAGAGTATTATCAACTTCCAGTATCATCATAGACAATCACTCTTCGCAGCCTGGCGCATGCTCGCTGCGAAGTTACTCAATCTAATATAATGTTTGGTCTGCTGAGACGCGCATGTATACCCCCCCATGACATAATCCTGGAACACTACCATGCTTCCAAATCATGCATTCTAGAAATATGTAATTTGCGGGTGGCTGCGCGACTTGCGATCATGATCTTCAATTCGATGCTCTCCATTGGTTGATTGCGGCAGGCTAGATCGACGACGCATGCAGGAGAGCTTTCCGGAGCAGCTTCCGACCACACAGTGCACGCGTGAACATCAAAGAACTGGAATCATTTGTGTGCTACCCCGCATCATCTAGAGCCATCTCATTCAGACTGAAACATGGAGAAGTCGACACTGTCGGCGAGGCGGAAGCTAAATGCTACCCATTGCGGGGTCGCAACGAGGACCACGCTGGTGGCTTAAGTAGACTGTCGTCCGTATACAAGCATCAGTCAGGAATTTACTACTGATCCATCAATATGAGTGGAACCAAGATCGAAACATGCCCCATGGGCTACCATCGGATTGAGAACATTCATAACGGCAAGGTAGCCAGCGGTACCATCAAAGCTGGTGGGCAAGACAAAAAAGCTCCCGGAACATACATCAAATGGAATGCGCCCGGTGTTGAAAATATCCCAGATGATGAAGAAGAAAAGATTAAGCAGGTGTCTGCTCAGTTCAATCGGTTCCAGATGATGAACTTCAATGAGCATATGCATTGTCTCAGAGGCACGCATCTGAAGACACAAGGTGTAAGTACACTTTGATCTTTCTTCCAAGTATTGGATATGCTAATCGTAAGTACAGTGCGTTATGGGCAAGTTTACAGTTCATGATAACCTTCCCGAGCATCTTTCCCAGGGCATGTTTGCCAAACCTGGTACCTACGACGTGATCATGCGCTACTCATCCCTAACACCCAAGATCCTACCCGACAATCTTGCAGCACCACGCGGCATCGGCATGAAGATCTTCGGCATCGAGGGCGAGAAGATTTGGGGAGAAGACAAGAAGACGCAAGACTGGACTTTCAACAACTACCCAGTCCTCGAGCTACGCGATCCACAAACCACCTACGACATCGCAGACGCCTTGGAACGAAACTGGAACGACCTGCCCACGTTTGCCGACGAGCAGAGCAAAAGAGTAGACGCAGACGTCGCAACACTGGGTGGACAACTACCAAAGCAGCACATGGTCGCCATGCCAGAGTACTCACAATCTGCCTACCGCCACGGCGCCTACGTAGCCAAATACGGCGTCTTCCCCGCTAGCCAATTCCAAAAGGATCTCGAAAACACTGAAGTCAAGGACTCGGACCCCATCAACATTCTCTCCCAAACCCTCCGCACACACCACCTTAACAACACCATCTCCTACAGCTTTTGCGCACAGCTCCTCCAGGACCTCACTGAACAGCCCGTAGATGACATTGGCATCGAATGGGACCCGAAAAAGTATCCGTTCGAGCAGATCGCCACCATTGAGTTTCCGCCGCAGGACTCGTGGTTACCAGAGTTTAGGACTTGGTGGGATGATCGCATCACGGTGAATAGCTGGCATGGGCTCAAGGAGCATCAGCCACTCGGAAGCACGAATCGGATGCGCAGGGTTGTTTATGCGGAGAGTAGGAAGTTGAGACTCAAGGTTAATGGGTACAAGGAGGGGGATTATGTAGAGCCGGAAGGGCTGGGTGATGTGCCTGCAAAGGGAGTGGAGGCGCCGCAGTTGGACTTGGAGTACCAGAGTGCTGTCACGACTGCTGGAGCTGCGTAGTTTGGTTGCTGGGTAGTTTGTAGATTTTAACGTTGCTTTTTTTGTTCTCTCTCTCCCTCATTCTCGCTATTTCGCTTGTTGTGATGTTCCGGATGTTTGCGCGTTCATTTTCGGGTGACGTCTATCCTATGCATCAGTAGTCCCGATGTATGACCATGTCTACTAAGCTGAAGGACTCTAGATTGCATTTTTAGCTTCAAAAATAGGTAGGAAGTAGCAAAAGACAAGGTACAAGTGCGACTTCCCTGGGTGGCGGCTCCCCGCACATGCGGGTACTAGTTACATGGAGCTAAACTTACTGATCCAGCGACGACGACGACAACAACAACAGTGATCAGGGTCGCCTACAAAGATCTGCAAGGCATAATAAACATTGTACGTGCAAGACTGTGAGTTGAGCTACACTTGTCAAATATGCGAATCCCTTCTTTGTCTTTACTGACGTGTGGGATAGCCTGCATCGTAACAACCACAAGCGCTAGCATCATCAACATCTTTCCCCACATCAGGATGTCGTCTAGTGAGATTGAGAGGATGGTGAGTAGCTCCAAAGGAGGAATGAAGCTTTGGCTTGCTCCGTGTGCTCTGTTCTGGAAGCAATTCGACTAACACAACGGAGGCATATCCCTATGGGAAACCGTATCCCACGCCTTCGAATGGTACACAACATGACGAGAACAAACTCTGGATGCAGATACAATACGAAGCATATGTTGACGGCATCGATCTGACCGTACTACCCTTTGCCAAAGAGGCTATTGCAAGCATCACTTCGCTAGCCAGTAATGCGGTGGACATGCAAGAATTCGACTTTTCGACTTCAAGAAGAGTTGATACGCATACCCAGTAAGCCCACAAGCCAGCCCATGATCACTCCAGCAGAGTACAGATGGGAGTTCCTACTAACAGAAATCTTACAGCCCTATTCCGGATTGGTTCCGTGCTCTCGAATTGAACGCCGCAGGCCGCGCAACACCATCTTGGAACGTATCCTCTCATCTCAAGTTCATGAGCGAACACAGCATTGCCCATTCTGTACTCTGCATCTCCACGCCCCAAGCCAATGCTTTTCTGACCGAGAGAGACGAGGTACTAAGGAAGAAGAAGACGCTTGCCCTCGCCCGCCTACTCAATTGCTTCGCTGCGGAACTTTGCAGAATATATCCTGAAAGGTTTAGTTGGATGGCTATCATGCCTTTGCCTCATGTGCAAGAGTCGATCACGGAGTTGAAGCGCATGTTTGGCATGGTTGGAAGACAGCCAGTGGGCGTCGGCGTGTTGACAAACCATGAGGGCTTGTATCCCGGCGATCCAGTTTTCGATCCGCTGTGGGCGTTTCTCCAAGAAAGAGCGGGGAAAGCCGAGGGGAGTGGTAAGGAAGTAGTCTTTGTGCATCCGACCGAACCTATCATCAAGCTCGACGATGGCCGACTGATAAATTCCCGGCCTTGTAAGTTTCTTTTTTTTCCCTTCCAAAAGCCACAAGTCGTCGCACGACAAACCAGAGCAAAAAACAAAAACGGTAATCAAAAGTTAACCTACCCACAGCACCTTTACGTTCCGGTCTCGGGGAATTCTACTTTGAAACCGCCCGCGCAATCTCCAGTCTAACGGCCTCTTCCACCATCGTCACCTACCCATCCCTCCACTTCCGCATCTCCCACGGCGCAGGCGCTTTTCCCGACATCTCCGAGCGCTTCCTCCTCGGCTTCCCTGAAATTTCCTCCGCAGCAAGGGAAGCATACAAATCTCGCTTTTGGTACGATAGTGCGGGTCCTGTGTGGCCGAACCAGATCAAAGGGTTGACGGATGGAATGGGAATCCCGATTCGTCAAATGGTGTTTGGGACGGACTATCCATATGGCATCGGATTCTGGGACGTGGATGCTAATATCAACGGGCTGGCTTGGTCGGGCGAGTTGGGGTTTGAGGAGAAGGAGATGGTGTTTTGGGCGAACGCGAAAGAATTGTGGAGTGGGAGGATTGGAGTATTGGATCGGATGGAGAAGTAGAGATTGAGGTTGGTGATTCTCGTTCTATTGGCTTTGTGCGTTGGTGAAGCTTGATGTGTGCATGACGTTGATGAAATGATGGACATGAGTTAGGTGTGTCAGTATCAGATCCCATCGGAGCGGCGGCTACAAATTGCGGTGATGTGCAGTCACACATTGGTTGCGAAGCTGGGCGTATAAGAATAAGAACGAAGCGATAGAAGGGTTTAATCTTAGACGAATGATGCAAGCGAAATGCGATAAAGACCTAACATCGGTCCACCAATAATGTCCGGACAAGAGGGTTTGGCGGCATGTCACGTTCTCAGAGAACATACCCAAGTAATAGACGTAGATGAGCTTCTCGCATCCACGGAGTTGGACAGCTCAAATCAGTGTAAGAATTCACTGTCAGCAGTACAATTTGCTGAGTGCGGCAACAAGTCCCACCCAATTGATGCAGAGCCGCAAACCTTACCGATTAGCCGCGGGGCGGTTTAGTGTGCAAAGGCCGAATTCGTTAAGACAGCAGCGACCCCGCCGTGACATCCGCCACATTCTCGACAACAACTCGCCACCAAGCGTACAGATGAGATTGCGTCGCATTGCTACCTCGCATAACTACCAGGGAAGATGATACAGTAGTGCATTGCAGATGAGAAGGTTGGATTGCGCACGCGGAACAATCCCCACGCCACAGAGCGACAGGCTGCACTGAGTCGTGCACAAGGCCAGAATTCGTTCAGCCTCATGCATAGACAGCTATAGGTAAATTTTCTAATTGCCGTTCCACAACAACCCGCACTAATCGATGATTTTGTAGAAAATCCTGATGCGTGTCGCAAGTCTTCTGAGCGAGGCCCCGGACGCGATCGCCCGGCGCTTGCCGATGGACCGGGGCACTCCACCGACTCCATATTGCCAACAAAGACAAACATCAAGAGAAGGGTCAAGATGAGACAAGATTGCATGTTGAGATTACCCACCAGCCGCCTGCCTAGTCCGTCAGTCGAAGCCAGATCACTATGACTTCAACCTTCCGCATTGTTCGGCAGACATCGACGGGATGACGTTGATGACAAAACCTCAAACCATCGGGCGATTTCCAACCAACGCACAGCCGCGGAGTACATGAGCATAGACGTCGTCCGAGCCTCAGATCTAGTAAAACGTCTACTGCCGCCGAATGATTGGTGAGACTGCCTTACATAAGGCTGGCAGGAAGAGTTTTGCTCCACCATGTACTAGCGCGAATTGCGTGATCGCACGTCTTCACCCCCAACTATCGCACCTTGCGGAGATGGGTTACAAAGCGATCCCGATGGCGGCGCCCAATATATACTCCAGGCCGTGGTCGCTCTCCCTCTTTCCACCTCCAGATCCAAACGATTGATAATAGTAGTTTCTTTCGGGAAACCTCCATTATACACCAAACCACAAAGACATTCTGCTTCTGGTTTCTCGGCACGTGCTTGCCATATCCCAAACTTCCGCCACACAATCTTGAAACATGTCGTCACCAATGTTTGCAAGTGTAGACTCTTTCAAGCAGCCTACACTCCGTGAGGAGTCGGGCTACGCTTCAGCCGAATCCAGCCAGGAGAGTCTGCCTGAAGTTTACTTCGCAAAGCCTCACTTGAAGTTCATCAACGCACAGCTACAAAAGCTCGAGCCTCAAGGTATGTGGCAGTGATTCGTTCTTGGAAAGCTTCGTGGATTGACTGGAAGTAGATATTCTCCGATGGTGCATTACATCTCTGCCTGGACTGTTCCAGACTACCGCCTTTGGACTTACTGGCCTCGTCACTGTGGACATGCTTTCGAAGCTTGACGGACCACTGAAGCACAACATCGACTTGATCTTTTTGGACACACTATACCACTTCGATGAAACATATGCCCTTGTCGACCGAGTAAGGAGGCGATACGGAACACCGGTCCACGTCTACAAGCCTGCTGGCTGCGACAATGTCAACGACTTTACTGCCAAGCACGGTGACAAGCTCTGGGACACCAACGACGAACTCTACGACTACGTTGCGAAGGTAGAGCCCGCTGAGCGTGCCTACTCTGAACTTCAAGTCAAGGCCGTCCTGACCGGCCGTCGACGCAGCCAAGGTGGAAAGCGAGGAGACCTAGACATCATCGAGATCGACGAGGCTGGCCTCATCAAGATCAACCCTCTAGCCAACTGGAGCTTTGCCCAGGTCAAGGAATACGTTGACGCCAACGACGTCCCATACAACGACCTTCTCAACAGGGGTTACAAGAGTGTTGGTGACTGGCACTCTACACAGCCAGTAGCTGCAGGAGAGGATGAGCGATCAGGGCGCTGGAAGGGAAAGGCCAAGACTGAGTGCGGTATCCACAACCCCAAGTCACGATACGCTCAGTTCCTTCAGGAGCAGGCGATGAAGCAGCAAAACGAGGACCTAGCCAACAAGCTGCAGGAGGTCTCGTTGAACATTTAGTTTGCTGGGCCATCGTATTCGCGTTTAGTTGCATCGCATTAGCATGGGCGTTTGGGTTTTTTTCCGGGTCAAGGCATAGCATGGGGTTTGGGACATTGAAATACTGGGTTTGCGGAAGCCGCATCCGATGATGTATACGGGGCCGAGTTGCCACCGATGTACGAGCCAATGAAGCTCAATTATGAATCAAACGAATATGAACCAACGCGCTAGACCTGTCATATACGTGATGCGTTCCTGAAAATCGCTAAAGCGCATCACATACTGCAGGACGTGTTACTGCATCTCCGCTCCGCTCACGTCACTGTGGTTACTTGGCCCAACGAAAAGCCGGGTGAGACAGGCTCTAGGTATCGCGTGCAATTGCGCAATCGCGTCCAAGATCTGCCGACCCATACAACAACCCGCTTTGTGCCCTAGTCTCTGCAAGCAGAGAAAATCCAGAGAAGCCCATGGTCAACAACCGGGACTGGGATCCTGAAGTGTCCGCAGAACCCGGGGAATAAAAAGCCCTTTCCACCCGGTCCCGCCTTGTAGTTACTTAGTCGCGCATCTTTCTTTTTGAGTGACCCAAAACATACTTTTTGCGAAGCCAGCCTTGCATAGTCAGGAACGACGTCAAGCCCCTTCGCTAACATAATTCACCAAAACTTTCTACACAAATCCTCTATTCCTCACGATATTCCGTAGAGATGGCGAACGCACCCCATGGTGAGACTGCCTCGCAAAGCTTGAGAAGCTGGTAATAGACACTGACGGCGGGTGACGATAGGCGGCGTCCTCAAGGACCTGATCGCGCGTGATGCGCCCCGACGCAAGGAACTCTTCGACGAGGCCGAGAAGCTCCCCGCTATTGTCCTCTCCGAGAGGCAGCTCTGCGACTTGGAACTCATCCTAAACGGAGGGTTTTCACCCTTGGAGGGTAAGTCGTCATGCCGCCCGCGCTAGGCGAGGGGCACGGAAAAGCCACCCCCTCGTGTTTGCCATGTTTGCAGCAACACGACCCCTGACAAGCAACCATGCAGGTTTCATGAACCAGAAGGACTACGACGGTGTCGTTGCCGAAAACCGTCTCGCCGACGGCAACCTCTTCTCCATCCCCATCACGCTCGATGTCTCGAAACAGACAATCGATGAAGTCGGTGTCAAGCAGGGAGCTCGCATTGCCCTTCGCGACTTCCGCGACGACCGCAACCTCGCCATCATCACCGTCGACGATGTATACCAGCCAGACAAGGAGAAGGAGGCGCGGGAAGTCTTCGACAAGGACGGCGACGTCGCCCACCCCGCCATCAAGTACCTCTACGAGACTGTCAACGAGTACTACGTCGGCGGTAAGCTCGAGGCCATCGACCGCCTGGAGCACTACGACTATGTCGGTCTCCGGTACACGCCCGCCGAACTGCGTCTGCACTTTGACAAGCTTGGCTGGTCCAAGGTCGTCGCTTTCCAGACCAGGAACCCCATGCACCGCGCTCACCGTGAGCTGACGGTCCGCGCTGCCCGCGCCCGCCAGGCCAACGTCCTCATCCACCCCGTCGTCGGCCTGACCAAGCCCGGTGACATTGACCACTTCACCCGTGTCCGTGTCTACCAGGCGCTCATGCCCCGCTACCCCAACGGCATGGCCGTCCTGGCTCTTCTGCCTCTTGCTATGCGTATGGCTGGTCCTCGCGAGGCCATCTGGCACGCTATTATCCGCAAGAACCACGGTGCTACACACTTCATCGTCGGTCGTGACCACGCTGGCCCAGGCAAGAACTCCAAGGGCGTCGACTTCTACGGCCCCTACGACGCTCAGGACGCGGTCGAGAAGTACAGGGATGAGCTCGGTATCGAGGTTGTGCCTTTCCTCCAGATGACCTACCTCCCCGACTCGGACGAGTACAAGCCCAAGAACGAGGTTGAGCAGGGCATCAAGACCCTTGACATTTCCGGAACTGGTACGTTATTCCCTCTTTTTGTTTCCGTCTTAACTCTCTCGAAACTAACAAATTGTGAAAACAGAGCTCCGCAAGCGTCTCCGAACCGGCCAAGAGATCCCCGAATGGTTCTCGTACCCCGAAGTCGTCCGCGTCCTCCGCGAATCACACCCGCCTCGCAGCCAACAAGGTTTCACCGTCTTCCTGACCGGCTACCAGAACTCTGGCAAGGACGCCATCGCACGCGCTCTCAACGTCACCCTGAACCAACAAGGAGGCCGATCCGTCTCCCTCCTCCTCGGCGACACCATCCGCAGCGAGCTCTCGAGCGAGCTCGGCTTCAGCCGATCCGACCGTGACAAGAACATTGCCCGCATCTCCTTTGTAGCCGCCGAGCTCACCAAGGCTGGTGCCGCGGCAATCGTTGCGCCCATTGCTCCTTTCGAGGACTCGAGAAAGGCGGCCCGCCAGACTGTGGAGCGATTCGGTTCCTTTTACCTTATTCACGTTTCTACCCCGCTTGAGCACGCGGAGAAGACTGATAAGCGTGGCGTGTACGCCAAGGCGCGCGCTGGTGAGATCAAGGGCTTCACCGGTGTTGACGACCCGTACGAGGTGCCTACCAACGCTGATTTGACTGTGGACTTGTCCACTACCAATGTCAGGACAGCGGTTCACCAGATTGTCCTGCTCTTGGAGAGCCAGGGTCTTCTGACACAGTTGTAGATGGTTGGCGAAAAAAGTGGTTTTCCTTTTTTCCTTTTTTTTTTATCCTCCCCTTGTTTTGGCATTGATGCGATGAGAGCTGCATTGTTCTTTTAACGGATTATGATTGGATGGTTATTGTGTTGACCTGGCTTTACGAATTGCTGGGGTTCAAAATACACGGCATAGATGATGTGGTACCTAGACATATGGTTTAGACGATTGGTTACGAAGAGCAGCAAAGTTGCTTTCTGTATCTGGAATATACAGATGGAGTCGATGAATGGTGTTCATATCAACCTTGACGTGATGACTCTATGTTGCTGTTTGGAGGAGTGTCTGCGACTACTTGTCGCTGACTACAGCTTGAATATGCTGTCTGGCATACCGTTCTTAACATCCCATTCGCGCTTCATCTTTCTCCCTCCATTTTCTATCTCAATCCCTTTGTCTCAGACGAACCACCCAGCAGCAACAGCAAGCCCCCCACCAATCACCGCAGCAAACTGCGCATCTAACAAACCATTAGCATACATTCCAGCCCTAATCATCCGGAGAACGAGAATCCGAAGAAGAAGAAGAGGAAAAAAAGGAAAAACAACATACCTTTTGTAGACCCCGCCGCACCCGTAGTAGGCGTCGCACTCGGACTCTGAGCCACCCTTTCGGAAATACTACTCGCAGCCGACGACAACGCCGAAGAAAAGGCTTCGGAAGCAATCGACGACGCGGCTGATTGAGCGGCCGAAGTAGCTTCTGCGGGAGCTTGCGTGGAAGTGTTTAGCGTGTTTCCTGACGCTGTTGATTCGGCGTCGGAGATGGCTTGGTCTTGGGCGAGTGACGAGGGGAGTGTGGTGAAGATGGGGAGGAGGAGTGTGAGCATATTGAAAGAACGCATCGCGGTGGTGGGTGGTGAGGAGACGGGATGGGGGTGTTGAGATGGTAGTGTTGGTGGTCTGGTCGATGGAGATGTGAGATATTTTGCGTGTATATATACACCTAGGGAGCACGAGTTGATTGAGTAAAAAGTGTGCGTAGGAACATCGTCTCCTTATACGTACATGTTATATCCTCCAGACTATTCCTTCGCACCAAAATCGCCAAAGAAGAACAACCAGTCCCTATTCCATCTCATCCCGTCCGTCACCACCTCCCTGGTAGAAGCCCAAAACCCATTTTCCATGACGCTCAGTTCCTCAGACCAAACCACTCAGCACGCCCAACCTGTGTGCATGCCCTCAGCCTCTTGTCCCGAATCGTCAGTAGATAACAAGCCACAATACCTCTTACAAGCATGCAATCATTCTAGGGCGGTGGATCTACCTATGGCAGGAAGGTTCCGTGGTCGTGGCGGAGGGTTGGTTGCAGCCATAGATGTACGAGTATGGAAGCACATGTTTTGATGCAAGGCTGTTCTATGGCCTGGGGTACGAGGACGGGCTAGGATCTGATCGAGATAACGCGGGTGGTGGTGCAGTGCAGATCGGGGACGTGATGCAGATGATGACGTTTTAGGGGTCCGCGGACGCTAACGCGCGGGAGAGCTGGGGGTGGTTTGCTTCTTTTCGTGGGGTCGCGATGCAGAACTTTGATTTGATAGTCGTAAAACACAGTGGTATGTTGCCAGGTTTCGCCCTGTATATCATCTTCCTGTAAGGCCGTAAATGTGCTGCAAAGGCGTTGGGGTACATTTGCTTTGGCAACTTGGCCTAACGCGCATCGGACTTACATCGATCGATGCTTGCTTATTCACACAGTCGGTGCCTCTTCACACGTCCGATAGTCCATCCCTCAGAATCTCCGACGGAGCCTACTGCAAGCTTGCCGACCTCAGAGGTACTCTTCGCGTCTTCATACGTCACTATACTGGAAAGAGAATTCAGCAGGTCTGGCTATAATCTGATGATAATCTAGAGGCCTTCTTCATGATTTTGAGAGCTTTCGGGGCTGGAACAGAAGTTCCTCCGATGTGTTCACATCGACAATTGATCTTGTTTCTCTTGTGTTGTGACCAACCTCAACCAAACTAACGTAACTACACCAACATGACTGTCTCCGGCACCATCCCCTCAGCCATAAGTTCTGATTCCTTCTTTTCCATAATACCTGGCACACATACGCCACCAACGAGCTCATACGCGCCTTCTAATCTTGAGCTGGGACGCAGCACAACCGGCATGAGGCACCCTTTCAATAGATAAACCCGGTCTCCACGACACACGTTACCCAAAGCAGCCCCCACATACCCCGTGCAAGTCGTGAAGATACGGCCAAGCAAAGCTGTCCGACCTTGCAGCCGCAAATGTGGAATCGGCGTTCCAGAGCCATGTTGCAGAAACAAGTCGCGAAACGTCATGTCCCACAGGTCAATCTCTGAAAAGAGGTCCAATAATTGCTGCAAGAGGTGTAATGCCGGTTTATCCACAGTAAGTCCTGGAAGAACAGCAACCGCGGCGTTCTCAATTATATCTAGTGGGATATCAAACATGCTCTCATGCTCATGGTGCGGTTTCAAGTGCAGTCTCTTGAAGCATTCTGAAACCGCATTTCGCAGACCCTGCACGTTGCCATAGCGGTGATAGGGCCGACTTGTCAAGATCAATTCCGGCGATGGCTCATGCTCCGGGATCTGATCTAGGTTAGACCGATTTCGTTTTCGAATCTCCCATTCGTCGATTCCTGCTTGTGCTGCAATTTCGTCCAAGAGCCATGGTCTCATGATCAGATACTGGCTTTCTTCGAAACGCTTAGCAGCAACGCTTTTGGTGCTTTGTTTGACGGTGTCGATAAAGAAGCCGGAACAGGTGAGCGTGGCATGGTTACCTACTCGGCGTGTTGGATACGATTCACAATCCTTGCTGTCCTGGAGAGCATGTGTGCCGTAATTCCACATGAAATGAGGATAGCTGAAGGGAATGGCGAGATTTGGGACCCACGAAGGCCACTCTTGCGAACCGGGAAAAGTCGACCACGGGCGATGGAGTATCCAGGAAATGTTTCGAGTGGAGTGGATCTGCGCAGCTGCAAAATCGATCATGACGTCTTTGTAACTATTGTCTTCGCTGTAGTCCACGTTGATCAGGAGGACTAGGTCGCGCGGCAACAGGCTCATCATCCCATAGAGTAGGTCTCTTGGATCTGTTGCGAAGTTGTTTGAGGCGGTACGGAACCATAGTGTGCCAGTTCCAGACTCGCTAGTGAGTAGCTCCAGGTTCTTCTGCAACGTACACAGATCAGAAAGCTTTCGCAACCCTGCCAACAGGCGGCCGACTGACACTGCGTCTGAGTAACTGTTTGTCGGCGTGTAGAGGGTAAGATGAGGATTGAAATTTCTGCCAACTTCGTCGTCAAGTATTCGACTCGCAAACCGCAGGATGTGTATCGTGGGAAATCGCCTAGTGCCGCATATTGTGATGCTCTTTTCACTGCCCATTACAATTTCTTGAACTATCCAGATTCGAGACCAATAAGGACGAGCAAGAAACTTGGCAACGTAAACGCCCATCTCGCTCTCGATGAACGAGAAAAACCAATCAGCAATCTTCGAGCAGTCCTGCCCCGTGAGGATGCTGCCGCCGATAGTGTTCATCATCTCTAGGACGCGCCCCGCACTTTCAGTGTCCTCTCCGAGCCAGGATATCACTCTATCAGCATGAAAATAGATATCTCTCATTCGCTTCACTTCGTAGCTCTTCTCCTCGATGTCTTTTTGGTTGATGCAAAGGCTGTCAATCCACACCCTCTTTCCGTTTTGAACTTCTGGTATCTCTCTTAGCGATCTGAGTGCACTTTCGAGATTGGGCCCAACTTGAATGATGCTTCCGTTCAACTTAATAGGCCGATTGCTTCTTTGTGGTTTCAAGAGTGAAATGCCCTCGGGCAGCTCGACATCTGAGAGAAATTGGTCTAAACTCTCGCCTCCAGCCTGGTGAATTCTTACGAGCCTGCTCATTTCTTCTTCCAGGAATTGCATGGAGAATTTGGTATCGGACCAGACGTACGACAAGGCGAAGTAGCCCCCTTGATCCTTCTCCGGGTGGACTTCGTTACCACTCAGGGGCGCCCAAACGAAAGTTTTCAACCATGTTTCTGCTTTTGTTGCCGATCCTGTCAACAAGACCCCCGGGGGCTCCATGTTCGCCCTCATTGTTGGATTAGTTTCGTAAAACATCTCTAACAGTCTCCTCCTGGTTGAATCAATGGGTAGCTCAACATCTTCATCAAGTTCCACATCCATAGTCTCGAATATGGTCTTCTTCAAGGCTTCGGCCACTTGACCAGCTGTGCCGTCGTCATCGGGCAGTCCCTCCTCTATTCCATAAAGTAGCATGTCTGCTAGATGTTTCCTAGCAGCAGATCGCGCAAGAGCCCCCTTGCGCAATTCAACAATACGGTCCAGACTTTCATATTCAAGCCAGCACTCAACTATGTCGTTCGAAAATTCAAGTACTCTGTCAGGGTTTGGTTGGTTATTGACGGGTGGCAAAATCTTTAACAATCGAACCTCATTTTGTGAACGGTTCAGCGGCCGATACGGGGAATTGCTGTCTTGAGCCGTACCGGATACCGGACTAGCTAGCTTTGGTGGTAAACAGCCAGCGTTCTGACCCTTCCTGGTAGATGTATCCTGCGATCGATAGAACTGGCGATGCGGAGGGTGATCGTGTTGAGTCGTATAGCGCAATTGATCGCCTGGTCTGGTTGGCAATACAGTTGTATTGCCCTGTTCTGCCGAATAAGTAGCATACGTGGGGTTACATCTTTCTTGGTATGAAGTCTGACCCTTTCGAAGACGTTTCCCTTTGGATGATTTCTGGCCCATGGTATCGAAGACCAGGTACAGATAGCGAAGACTACGCCGAGATTAACAACTGAAATTTCTTTGTCAAGGAAGGACGCGGTCCATCTCAGCTATTAGAGCATGAAACGAGCTGGATAAGCTTATGTAGTTGCTGGGGACATGGAACCAAGACGCCAAGAGCTTTTTTCTTGCATTTTAATCGCCCTTCGCGAGAGATACTCCGCTTCTTACTTCCACACCAGATGTTAGAGATCGTTCGCAGTGCTTAGCGAATGTGGCTGAGGTCACTTACAGTCAGCCGCAACACGATCTGGTGCTGGCCAATTAGCGTGGATCTGGATCATTCCAAGGTTTTCAACATCGATCATAGTTTCAGCCTCAGCTGAGGGTGGGGACCGTTGCGCTTTGCTGTAGTCTATACCTGGGCAGGATTGATGCTCTCGATGGCGGGTTAGCATGGGTGTTGTTGCAAATGAAGGCGGGCGTGAAACCGCATTCACTGTACACTGTACAAGCGGCGGCAGGGGATGGACTGGCATCAACACTGTACGATCAAAGAGCGTGAATTTAGCATGTGGAAGCTAGGCAATCACTGCGCATGCTGTTGAAGTCGGATTGGAGTATTAGCGTTGTTGCAGGGTTCGCAGGGTTCGCAGGGTTAGACCATGATGCACGTGATTGATATGTTCACTACGGCTGACAGTACGGGTTAGACCAAAGATTGAGAACAGATTGAGGAGCTTTGTAGACTGCTCCGTTTATACTGCCTTTTGGATTTCTCAGGTGGAATCTTCAGTATGCTTCTTTTTTCCAGTCCTGCCGCGGTTTCCGCATGCAGACCTATGATGTAACTACATCATGGTGTGATCTCAAGGGACTGGTAGTATTGTGGCGGATAGAAGGACGTGTGACTGGTGCTCGCCTATGAGAAAATCGAGAATGCGTACCTGTTGTGCTAGTGAGCAGCGATTAAAAAGCGATCGTAGAGGTTCAGGATGTTATTGGCAACCAAAGGGCGACTCGTGGATCCCGAGGTCGAGCTGAGAACGCCACCACTATCAATAAGCCACCAAGCGTCCGCTAACCCCGCTTTTTACTATAAATGTCATGTTCCCCGTGGTTATGTGTCGGAAAGATGCTTGGCCATCACCAGATGACAAGGTCCAGATTGTAGCTAGGAATAAACCTAGAAAAGTGACCATGCACAGTTGCAGCAGAGAACACAATCGTACTTGTAAGTGAGGTGCTACCAGCTAAAACGTCAAGTGTTCCGCAACGCTCGCCGGATTCTAATCTCCAACGAAGGGCGGCATGTGTTGCACGGCCGAGCACAACTGCGAACGATATGGGGAATACGCTTAGGACGAATGGTGAGCATGTATGGTGGCATATGCAAGTGGCAAACATCAGAAGATGCAGGCCTTCGTTGGTTACAGGTGGCACAGCCCACATTCTTTCGGATTCCGCCATTTATCTCTTACAGTAGCCGAAGATATAACTGATGACATTGTGGTAAGTATCGCATTGTAATGTGTAAGGGTGTCGTTGAGATGCCGCCCCACCTCAACAGCCTTACACCTACATCCAATACTACCGCTCTTACATAAACGCATTCAGGGCCGCACCCCCAACACCGAACAAGGCAGCATATTTAACTTCTGTAATATGTCAGCATTCTCAAACTCCGATATCCATATTTATTTTTCCCGTGTACTGCACCAGCAGGCGGGAAACGCGCACATCACTCACCATGAGCATTCGCACCGCCCGTACTTGTCGCCTTAGCCGAAGCAACAGACGCCGACGAGGCTGATAGAACAGATGCAGCCGATGATAAGGCGGTAGGGTTGATCGCACCAAGGCTACTGGAAACACCAGCTGGAATTTCTTGCGCGGTGGTCAGTACGCTAAGGAAGGCGATGAGGTATAGTGGTTTAGTGAACATGATTGTAAAATGTATGCGATAAATATCACAAATTTAGGTGCGTCGTTGATGGGTTCAATGAATTCAGTAATTGCGCATGCGACTTTGTCACTCGATTAAGCCAGTGAGCTCTGTTTTACATACTATCATGTCTTGCTACTACGACCATGTATGACGCAGATGGTAGAATTAATCGACATGTTAGTTCTGCCATACACAATGCTTCTTCTTTGCTCCGATCACCATGCTTCGGTAGATATGGTTAGCGGACTTCCTAGTGCGGAATAGCTTCATGATTAGCGCGAATCTACGGAAGCTGAATGACGTGATTAAGAAGGAACTCGGTTTCGAGATAGACAACTCACAACACAGGGATAGGGACAGTTTGACTTAGTGTCAAAAGGGTACATACGTGTTGTACACTTGGCTGGGAGATAGCCTAAGGGTCTGAAGATCACTTGGTATCGCGTCACTTGTTGCTGCAAAGTCATGTGTTGACTTTACAAGACAGACGATGTCAGCGGATACCCAAAATACTCTACTACAACAGGGAAGCCTATCTATGCTAAAGAAGACCAATCTTCTGCCCTAATATACTCTTCTACTGTTGTAGTCTCGATCCCAAGATCCCAAGGAAGCTTTACATCGGGATCGTTACCTACATACCCAAACTCCTTGACGAACGAGAAATTGTCGATCATCTCCTCCCTGACTAGTTCCGGCCAAGACTCTGCAAACTCATCCTTGGAAATGGGTCGAGTCGTAGTCGGAGCCCCAAGGATCTTCCCCCAAATTTCCGCAACTTCGGCTCTAGTCTTGAATTCACTGACGCCGTAGATGCGCGTGCCAGGCTCTTGGTCAATGACTAGAGCTTTAACAAACTTTCCAGTATCTCTCGAAGCCACGACCCATGGAATGGTACTGAATTCTTTCGGGCCTGGAAGCTGTGGGTCATTGATGGCCCAGCTGCCATCTGCCTGCTTTTGAGGCGAAAGGAAGCCTGGTGCCGTCCAATTCTCAGTGAAGACGCCCATGACAAAGGTGCCGAGGATTTTTGCGACCTCTGGCACATTGCTGCGGATATGTTGTTCGATCTTCGCCTTGGAGTCAAAGTGGTACACATGTGTGTATTTGCCGCCGCTGAGTTTCGTGACCGGGGTCAACGTTGAGAAGACAAATCTCTCCAGAGACTGGAGGACCTTGGGGTCTGACGCGGCTTCTACAGCATTCAATCCTTGCTGTACTTCCTGCTGATGGCAAAAGAGAGGGAGGAATGTTCCAGTTGCCGATGCTTTTTCGTGGGTCTCCTTCTGCTTGAAGATGGTCCAGAAATCGGTAGCGAGGAAGATAGCTGTAGCACCAATGAACGCCGCTTTGAGGGATTCCTTGTCATCCAAGTCGCCTTTGACAAGCTCGACACCTTTAGCGGCCTGGTTCTTGGCGGACTCAGACTCTGGGTTGCGAGTGACGCCACGAACTTTCCAATCTTCAAGGCTCAGAAATGTTGCCGCAACTGACGAACCCTTTCTAATGTCAGCTTCTAGCGACTTGGTTGTGAAGATATCATATTCACCTGCGTTCCTGTAACACCGAGGACAACAATCAACTTTTGCGGACTTGTCATGATTCGAACGACCACGAGATAGAGAAGACTCCTGCGTTGTACAATCAGAAAGCTAGCCTAAGGAAAGAGACACAGCAAAGTACCATTCTGTTTGACCGGTTTATATCATGCTTTCTCAGGTCTGATGAATTCTGTTGGGGGTGCTTGTTAAACCTCGGATATTAACTAGCGCAAAAGATTGATAATCTGGTGGACATAAAGTCAATGAACAGCCAAAGATCTACTCTCTCCTAAGTTAGCAAAGAGTGTATATTGCAATACTAGCATGCATCACCGAGGTTACAGAACACGTAGTCGACGCTGACAAATGCGAAAACGCGGATAAAAGCTCGCACGATATGTAGATAGTGCGAAAGCACTAACGTTGCCAGAAGTGCGGAATTCCGCTGAGTGCGGAGTTGGTGGATCATTGCCAGCCATATTTGTTTAATGCTTGTTTAGCAAGTTTAATATTATAGCTTTACATACTTCGATCCAGGTGTTATTGTAGGTAATCCGAAGTAGAAAATAATGCAGGTAGTTGGTATCTAGGTCGCAATTTGATAACGTTGGCCCGCTAGTTCATACGTGCATGTTTCGCGGCCCAGCTGTGCTAAGACCCCACCAAAACTACCTCTACCGTGCATTGCTTTAACAAGTACACTAGATAAAGCATTCAGAGGAGGTGGTTATTCAGCATGTACTTAGCCTAGGCTGGTGAATGTGTCGAGTTGGGGTGGGTAAGGTTAGGTACACCCAACGTTTGTTTTCTCAATGACTTAATAACCGACTCGAGAAATCAGAGACCACTCAGCATGGCATCACTTGCTGCTACAGAGCCACATGTGTGTGAGGCGCAAGACAACGTACAAAGAATTTGATTCAAGGTCTAAGTATCCATGTTCTCTCTTGTCGCCATACTTCAAGTAATAACACAGTAGATCATCATTCTCCTACCACCCATCACTCACAGATAAGCAGCGCACACAACATCAAGTGATCATTTTCCCCATCCCCACCCCCAACGTCCTCTAAGTAGATTGGTCATACCACCTCCATGTGTAGCTTTTGCCTGGACTTTGGCCTGTGATTGCTGCACTTGCGACGATTTCGCTGGCGTATCCGGCCCAGCCCCCTTTACTGCTGGACTAGAAGTAAGCCCAAAGCCAGACGTGACTGCACCCAGCGGTTTTGCTGCAGGTGTTGGTGCTTGCTGTTGTCGCTGTTGCTGGCTTCCAATCCCAGGGCCAGTCTTGTCGCGCCCAAAGAGTTCGGAGATCCTCGACGTGGGACTGCGCCGTGGCTTCAGTGAATCTCGACGGGTAAGCGGTGACGATTTAGGATCGACCTGCTGGGTAATTGGTGATGCGTTTGCACTTGCATTGGCGTTTGAAGAGGCGAGAGCGGCTGCCTTACGTGGTCCGGATGCGGGCATAGTATATGGATCACTCGAGCTGGATTCGTACATTCCATATGAGGTTACACGGCGTGGGAGAGCTGGTTTGACATCACTCACATCTGTTCGCGCGCCTGGCTGAGTTTGCTGCTCTGGGCTTCGGTCGGCTGGCTGGTTCGTTGCCAATGAACCTTTCGTTGGCTGTGGCCCGGATTGACTGGCCCCTGTGTTGGATGCTGGAACTGGCGAGATTGTACCGAGGGATCCTTGTGACGTTGGCGAAGTAGGTCCATCCCCTCCTTTTCTTGTTGTCTCTGATCTTGGTAGAGCTGCTCGGGATACTGCCATACGCGCTCCGGGCGTAGCGGATGACCTCCGATCTGCTTGTGCCGCGGCTGACGAGGCTGGGCCTCGTTCTTCTTGCTGTGGTGGTGATTCAACTCCTCTTGCTTTGATTGATTCCGCTTCGTTGTTGAATAAGGCCGCACGCGAGACTGGTGTACCCGCTCTCGGGGCGGTGGATTGTCTTCGACTATCTGCTTGTCTGGCACTCGATGGGATTGTTGCCGTTCGCGTTGATGTTCTGGTGACTGTGGGTGTTCGCGCCGGGATTGGCGCTCTATCTTCCCCAATTGCTGAAGATCTACATCGTGTTTTCGTTCTCTTGACTGATGATGAAGCCCTTCTTGTGGCGATCGCTGGATCCTCCTCTGCAGGCTGGAAGGCCGTGATGTCTCGCGCTCGTGCTGCGGTTGATCGACGGATGTGTTCTCGCGCAATGGTTGCCTCTTTTCCTGCATCTGATGCTGAAGGCCTTCTTTGGTTGCTTTCATCTCTGGTGGGCGGTTTTGGTGATTTTCTTGGACGCGTGAGGTCAACTGTGCTGGTAAATCTGGCGTTGTCGTCGACGGACTGCTCACGCGGTCTATCAATGCTACGGCGAATGGCGTTGTCTTCTTCGCCTTTCGAGACCTTGGATCCCAAGACCATCTTCGTTTCCTCTCTAGTGATATTATACTCCCCTCCTTGAGCCGTTGGTCGTCTTGTTGACTCTTGCGCTTGCTCTTGCGGCGCTTGAGCACTAGGCACTTCCAACATCCTGCTTGGCGATCGACTCGACTCTCCTTCATCTGACGGACCTTCTTTCTGGGGAACCTGAGACAGATTCCGTCGCGTTTCCGGCGACTGAGTACCTTCTCTAGGCCATGTTTCTTCTTTTGCGATTGAGGTTCCAGTTTTGGTTGGTCTGCGGACGTCTCTACGGACTGGGCTTTGGACCTCTTCTTTGTCCGATCCTTGAGCCGTGCGAGAGACTTCAACTTCATTATCCGGCCAAGTCTGGACCTCAGGTGCTTGGGAGCGGGTGGAAACATCCGTCCATGTACGAAGAGCTTGCTGAGGCCGCGATTCGCGTTGAGAGGGTCTCGACGAAAACCGACGGGTAGACTGCCGCTTTGGTTCGTCCTGACGGAAGGTTTCATTCGTTGAAGCTGTTCGACGGACGGAGTAGCTGGTCCTTCGAGACGGTGAGGACTGTGGCCGCGTATCGTCGTCAACGCGGTCTGGAAGGATTGGAGTGATTGGGTAGTAGTCGTCCTTGTGAGCGTAGACGGAGGTTTGCCTTGACCGAGTGTCGGCCCTTCGCAGAGGGATGACATCTGGTTCTCGACGATAGACAGACTGTCTGGGCTGGCTTGGATAACTGTTTTGCCTTTTTTGCGTTCCCCCTGGGACTTCTGGTGACCCAGGTGCCGCATTCCGAAAGGGCTGGACAGATGATGAGTTGAGGGCAGGCTGACTAGGTCGACGAGATTGGCTTTCTACCTCTGATTCTAGAAGCTCTTCCTTGGGCCAAGACCCTAGACCAAGCCATCCTCGCTTTTTGGGCGGGCTTTCGACTTTCGGCTTCGGTGATGGTGTACGAGTATCCGGCTTCGTCCATGATGGCGTTTCGCGTAATGGATATGCTGGTGCCGGTGGATATTGCTGCTCAGGCGAGTAGTTTGCGCCCTTACTTGGCTTTTGCTTAGGGCTTCTAGACTGCATCCCGACTTTCATTTGTTCACTGATAATCTCTGGAGGGGGCGCTGTGATCCCAGGAGCAGCACTGCTGCGTCTGCGATCTGCTGTGCCAGGCTCACTCGGTATCTGTGTCTTTCTTCTCGCAACCTGAGGGCTCTCATTGCGCTGACTCTCAACCTCAGTGCTTACCACAGGCCCAAAGCCTGTAGCAGACGATACGATGTTTCTAGCGTCGCTACTTCGCTTACGGTTAGATCCATTAGGTATCGTCAATATCCGTGGTATGCTGGCTTGAAACTCTTGTGAAGCTTGCGTCATGCGTCTTTCGAAGTGAACATCTGGATCAAGCTGATCTTCAGCATCTGCATGCGCAATAGGCGCCAGAGTTGGGTTGAAGTGGTTGGTCGGTGCTCTCTCAGACTGCCCAATCAAGTCCTTGCTCCCGTAAACTTCGGGTGATCCAGTTTTGCTTTGACTTCGAGAATCATTGTCTTCATGCTGCGGCTCTTCAGTAATCCGTTGGTAGATGGAAGGCTCGAAAGACTCCGTGTCAGACACCAAATCTGTAGTGCGTGCTTTCTCGACCTGATCGGTCTCTTCCTTGAGATCAACACCGTGAGTTGTTTCAAGAACGTCTCTACTTTCCAATTCGGTGAAATCATCAAGCGGGACTTCCTTGTTGTACTCGGGGCTTTGGTATGCCAAAGACTCTGTACGTGACAGAACACGGGTAGTCGTTGTTCTGCCACCCAAAGTAAGCTGTTCTTTAAGTGTCGCGTCTGCTAGGTCAGTTGTTTGTCGTCTGAAAGGGTGATCTAGATTTCTTGCATCTATTTGAGGCTCTGCTAAGATCCCTTCCCCTTCTCCTGGTGGATCCTGTTGAGTCTCGGATGCAGCGAGGACGTCCTCTCTGAGCGTAGGCTGGTGTGAGGCAGAACGCGACAAGGTGATCTGATCAGGAACGTCTTCTATCTCCAATGGGGTCTCAGATGAGGGAAGAGCTTTCGCCTCAGTTTCACGGATGGTTGCCCTACGCGTGGGCTGACGTGAGAAGGCTTGATAAGGTTCGCCCTCTTCTGGCAGAGACAAGAAGGGAGACTTGTCGAGTTCAACAGAGCCGTTCCGCGGTACAGCTGATAGCACTGTATTTGTACGAGACGCTCGCGTTGGCTGGCGCGAAACAATACGCGAGGCAGAAGGCCCCTCTGCCAAGTCCTCTAAAACCGGCGATGAGATAGATCTAGCCAGATGATGAGAATCGGTAGCTGGCGGCATCGTACTTGTCCGGCGAGCTTGAAAGGTAGGCTGGCGTGAAGCTGCGCGAGATGAGACGGGTTGTTCAAGCACCTTTTCTGCTACAGGAGAAGTATCGGGAAACACGGAAGCAGGTTTGAAAGAATCTTGCCGCTTTCCACTCGATTCCACGGTGGTTGTTCTGCGGATTCGCTCCACCGGCTTTTGGAACTCAAAGCCGTCCTTAGGTACTAGTGAACCTGTTCTAGACTCTTGTAGTTGTTCACCTGGTTGTAAAGTGGTTGTCCGGCGAACACGTTCGACTGGAAATTGGAACTCAGCCTCTTCGGATCTATCAACTCCTACTGGAGAAGATGTGGAAGACTCGGAAGTAGATCTGAAAGAGTCTTGCAGCTGAAAAGCCGGTTGTACAGTAGTCGTTCGGCGTATTCGTTCTATTGAAAGTTCGAGTCTAGGCTCTTCAATGACCGGTGACGCTATGCGAGACTCTTGTCGCCGTCCGACCGACTGTATATCAGTTGCTTGCCGAACGCGTTCAACCGGAAGCTGGACTTCGGACTCTTCCTCGACAACCGGAGTCCCCTCCTGAGATCCAGACTTGGAAGTAGGAGTGCCAGGATAAGCCCCCGCCATTTGCTGAATTGGTGATACAGTCGATCCACGAATGCTCCTGGGTGCGGGTTGAAGCTCGGTCACTTCATCGATGGCTGGGAACGCACCATTGAAACCTAGCTCTACTAGCAGAGCATCGGCTCCAGGGTCAACTGTCACTTGTCGCTGAATGGCTGGTTGTACAGTGGTCGACATGCGAATTCGTCCTACTGGAGACTGAGAATCCAGCTCTGCTGACGAACCGAGCTCTGGCTCTATCATGGATTGCTGTACACCCGGTGGCGCAGTGGTTATTCGGCGAACCGGTTGGAGTCGCGACTTTGATTCATCCTCATCGCTGGGAGATGGTTCTGAAGTAATCTCCAGCTCTGGCAGAAATTCGGTATGCCTACGCTGTAGAGTACTTTGCTGCCGTTCGGCCGGCGCCACAGTAGTCATTCTGCGAATGCGTTGTACCTGAGGCGCAAACTCAGAGTCTTCTTCTTTTCCAACTAGCGACTGTTTGCGGGATACAGACTCGGGTAAGACAACATCCTGTTCAGTGGCTACCGTTGCTTGCTGCTGCTCGGCTGCCAAACCAGTAGTAGCTCGACGGCTTCGTTCTACGGAAGGCGAGAAAGCCGGTTCCCCGTCTTCCGCTAGCGACACGGTAGTGTTTCGATGGGTTTGCTGAAATGGAAGCAGCTCATTCTGATAGGCCGGCGAAAGAGAAGTGGTTCGACGTATCCTTTCAACTAGAGTTTGAAATCCAGATTCCTCTCGTCCGACCGGCAGCAGCTGCTCAGGATCTTCGGACTCATAGAATGTCGCGTCATGCTCAAGCTCTTCTGTTCCTTGTGTCTGCTCGTGTAGTACTTCAGTAGTTGCCCTGCGGATTCGCTCTACTGGATGTAAGAACTCTGACTCATTCTCATTCTCATCTTCATCATTATCGAGGATTTGTAACGATTCATGAGATGGAAAACCGGACAGAAGTCCGCCTGTTTCAACAAGCGTTGTGAGAGTCCTAAAAAAACCAGATCCACGTTCTTCCAAAGATAGTGACAATTCGGGGGACATCGCGCGCTCCGCCACCGTACTCGTGCGCCTCTTTGCAGCTGGCAAGACAGTGGTAACTCTTCGTATGCGTTCCACCGGCAATAAGAAATCAAAGTCATCTTGCTCTTGCACTACCGGTGATGATTCGCGAGCCGTCTCAGGCTTTGTCAACACGGTAGTACTCCTACGGATGCGTTGTACCGGAGGTAAGAAGTCGGATTGGTCTTGCTCTGGTATCAGTGTTGGTTGCGTGCTTGTCCTCCGCTGCTCAAAAAATGGCGCAGCAGTCGTTTGGTGGCGTGTCTGCTGTATTGGCGGTGAAGGCAGTGTATCTTCTTTCCCTTGGTTAAGTGGTGACTGTGTACTTGCTCGCCGCTGCTGAGACGGTACTAGAGTAGTCGACCGGCGAACCCGCTGTATTGGTGAGAAAGTGTCACTACGCTTGAACTCTTTCGCCAATTCTCTTCTCGAAAAAACGTTGGTCGGCTCAGCATGAACTGTAGTCATCCTGCGAATCCGTTGTACGGGGGGAAGAAAATTGGGCTCTTGATCTTCAACAACAGGGAGAGATTCCTCGTGAGGCGCTGGTTCTAGTGGAGTCGCTGTGCGATCAGACTCTCTTGTAGTCAGTCTTCTCAAAGAAGTTGCTGTCGGCTCATTAAGAGACAAAAACTGTACTTGTTCTGATTCGTTCGATATTGAAGTGACTGGTGATAGAACCAGTTCCTCGACTTGCATTTGTGGTAGTGTTGTGAGCGTGTCTTCATCGGGCGACCGCTGTGCTGGAGGTGTAAATTCACGTGCTGGCTCTCTAAACGTCGGCTGTCGGGAGCGCATCAGAGTGGCCTTCCTAGTAGACATGCGATTTACAGTCTCTATGGAAGGTATCTTAATCGAGTCTGTGGGCGATAGACCTGTGATGATGCGTGGCGCCGACGGTGACTCTGGTGATATCGGCCGACTTGCAGAATCACTCAATGGCATTGCAATCTCAATTTCAGAAAGTCTTCGTCGCAGTTGAGAAGCGAGATCTTCAGGCGGAGTAGGCTCAGAAGACACGAAAGAAATCGTTCTTGTAGCCTGTTCCGCAAGTTTAGCAATGGGCTGCACGGTCGGATAGCGCTGTTGGCTAGCGAAGCGCTGTGTTTCCTGAGATTCTTCGATCTCTGGGCTTGGGAGACGATCTGAGGTAATGAGGGAGGAAAACCTTCTGTCGTCTTGTATAACCGTTGGTGTGGCACTGGTCTTGCTCCCATACTCCAGCCGGACCGTTGGTTGTCTCGACAGTGGTATAGTAGAGTGCTTAAACACAGGTTCATCATCATCGATACTCTGCTCCGACTCTGCGGCCAAGTCCCTCACAGTCACCCTTCCCGAAAGTGGTGTTGAATCAGTCCTTTCGGAAACGGCTGAACGTCCCACCACCGTGGCGCGGGTATCTGATTCGTCCGCTGTATAAGGATCCCGTTGCGGCAATGCATCGCGTTGGTGCTCTGTTTCGAGTTCAAAGCGCTTTGTAGTCATTCTCCGAACAGGTGAAGCTGTCTCAGAGCTTTCTATGACGGCTGCGCGTTCCATTAGCATGAAGGAAGTGTCCGCCTGGTGCGTGGTAGGAGTTTCAGCATCCAATTCTCGGCTTGAGTAATTCTCAGGCTCATGTGCCTGATCATACGGGTCTGGAATTGGCACACTAAACCCGGAAGGCGATGGAGTCAGACCGCGGCCGTCGTTGTAAGTGTCAGACGCAGTCTCGTCGCGTTGTTGGTCAAGCTGAGTCTCATATTGCTGTTCGATCTGAGAATCTTCACTTGTCTCATACTGCGGGCTATATTGTGCTTCGTTGATCGACTCGGCAGGCTCGTTCAGCTCTGGACCATCTCTGACCTCGTCAGCAGGCTCGTAGTTAGTACCTGGTAATGTCTGTAGAACGGCGGTGATGGAAGCAACAGCAGCTGGAAGCTCGTCTCTCGCCACTCGAAGCACCTCCTAGATCTCCTCCGGCGAAACGTCTTCGGCTTGGTAAGGCTCTCGAGTGGTAGATGGAGATTCTTTCGACTGGCTGAAGATGCGGGTGAGTGCGCGGCTAAGTCGCCTTTGATCAATACTGTCATTGACCGTGCTGAGGACATCTCCGCTGACAAAGTCGACCGGCTTGGACTCCGACAGTCTAACCTTGCTGGACACACCAGTGGGTTCTCGGCTCAGTACGAGTTGTATAAGGTTTGCGACTGCTTCTTCTTCATGATCATTTGGGCGACCCACCTCGAAATTCTCGATGGTAGCGCCGGTAGATCTTTTTCTCTGCCAAGTAGGTGCATTAGAGAGACGCGTGGGGATTCTCTCAAGCATACGCTGCGCAGTTTCGACAGATGACTCGTCGTCATAGTAATCGTGAGCAGTGTTGGAATCGGCAGGTGGATTCTCATGCCAAGTAGATTCGGGCGAGGCGCCAACAGAAGCTCTACTGAGTACACGTTGTACAGGATGTACGATGAGCTCTTCCCCCTGCTCACCTTCTTGCTGATCCTGGAGCCGGACGTCAAGATCTCCAGCAATCGAATCTAGTTCGTCCATAAGCTGCTCTCGCGCCTCTGGAAGCTCGGACAGATGTCTCCGTGTTTGCTATAGCCAACTGTCTTCGGTGGGCGGCTCTTCATCAGCCGTCTTGTCTTCTGTAGCTTCCAAAGAGACTCCTGGATGGTACGAGACAGATTCCCGAGGCGTACTTTCGTAAGGGGCATTGCGAAACAAGTCGTCATCGGTCACCGCAGGCCTTCGCTCGAGATCGATGCCAAGATCATCGGCTGCAGAATTGACCAGGTCGACAAGGTCAGGTATCGACTGTAATGCTTCGCGCAAACTGGAACGAGGGTCGTTGAGGTTCGGCTTCAGTTGCCCAGTAGATCCCACGTTAAGCTTTTCTGCCGTTTTGGGTGGGATATATAGACAAAGGAGCAGCCAATCATCATCTTTTTGGCAAGATGATTGACAGCGTTGTCTCCAGGAGCTGTTGGCACGGCATCGCTGAACAAGGTCTCCAGATACTCGTCGAAGCTGATTAAGACTGGGCTGACTATTCTTGATGTTGCTGATGATAGACTGCAAGGTGTTTGCATGCTCTTCGAGGATATTGTCGATAATGTAGCCCAACTCGTCAGCGAATGCATCCCCGCACTTGTCGTATGGTATACATTCAGAGTGATGTCTACGGCGTCTCTGCTTGCGACAGATATCATCTTTGAGTGGTTTCGAAGAAGAGGTTGTGGAGGTTGAGGATTCAGACAAGGCGCGTCTGCGTTCTCTCCGTTGGGTAGCTGGCACTTGTTTTGGCGGTGGTGCTCGAGTTGAGCATTGCCGGCATATCTTCTGCTGTGCATGATCGCGATGCTCGCCTTTACCCATGTATGAGAAATGACTACACGCCCGCTTAGTCCAACTACCAGGGTCTCGAAGTGGTTTACTAGTTCTGTTCGTGCCGTGTGATTTGATTCTTGCACCCGGAAAACCAAAGTCTTGCGTGACGCGACGTCCGTAACCTTGTCGGTTGTCGACGTCGTCCGGTACTTCAATCTCATGATACTTCTCTTCGACACCAATGTTGGCTGTTGGGATCGGACCTGACATAGTGCTTCGTCGAGAAGAACTGACGTCACTAGCTCCGTCGTGGCCAAGATTCCTTGATACGATCTCCTCGGCTCGCCTGCGAACATTGACAGACTTCCCAAATTGTTGGCTAGAAGTTTCAGTATCCGTGCTCGGAGTCCACTCAGCGACACGATCGATAGGTTCCTTTGAAGAATCGCTGATCTCAGCTAAAGAAGCAGTGTATGATCCACTGCGCCTAAGCCGTTTGGGGGAAGTTCCTTGGTCTTCCTCGAAAGTTCTTCGAAGATTGCGACCAGACTTCGCACGTCTGCCCTCCTGTTGCGACTGAAGATCCGGATTCTTGGCTTCTCTGGTCTCAGCAGCTGGTACTGAACTGCGAGTGGATAGGCGTCTCACAACTTCGTCAGAGGAATCTGACTTATTAACTAATCTTTGCTCTACGTTGCCGGCAAGCGGCTCCTCAGGTATACATTCTTGCGCAGAGCTGTCACTTGCGGCTTGTAAGTCGATGTCGAAAGGCCTGGCGTCTTCAGATGTGCCCGCAAAGATGTTTGTGGACCTTCGGCGACCCATGGACTCTTGTTCAACATCATGGTCATATTGCTCCTTGTAATCAGTCATGTCCACGGGGGGTGTAGCTGTTCCGATCGTGATGGTGGGAGCACACTCACCACTCGGAGGCTGACTCTTTGGCGCAAAGCTCTTCCTGGTGACGCCGATTGTTAAAGGTGGAGGAAGGGGTGTTGACGGGTAGTGAGAGGCTCTCGTCTCGAAGAAGTCCTTGGCAGAACGAACTGATTGGGGAACATTGGACGGCCTTGATAATGAAGGTGCTATCATAGGATCGCTTTGTTTTAGTTCATAAGCCCGAAGTCGTGTCTTGGAGTCAGACGGACCAGACGCGCGTGATCGTTCACCGCTACTGGAGCCAGCCTGGGCAGATGGGACCGCTATTGTTGTCTCTGCTTTGGGCTCACGATAGGGATGTTCGATCCTGTCCAAGACCTGGCCGTGGGGGTTCTTGTCTTGTAGATAGGCAGGTGATCTGCGGCCAGCTGGAAACGGTGGAGGTTCTCTCGAAGATTGTGGAAGCGGCGAAGCTATCGGGTTAACAGACTTGCGTCTCGATGCTGTGAGGGATGGCTGCTTTGCTTCTCCAGCTCCGGGTATTGTGGCAGGAGCTTCAAATCTACCCTGTCTAATCCTTATGTTCGATTGTTGTTGGCTCTGCTCGCGCGTTCCCGCATTGGCAGCTCGGGAAGCAGAACTTGACGTGGGTTGGTCGAAGCCTCGGGGCATGGGACGCTAAGCTATCGTACTATACTTCGTCGATACGGGAATGGCAATGCTGTGTGTTTGGATTGATTGGTGACTGTATGTAAAGAGAACTGGAATTACTGTGGTAAGGTAAGACACGCTTTTAGAGATAGGGCAAAGATAGAGTGCAAAGAAGTAAGACAAACAGATGAGACGATAGCAATGAAGGTAATTTGTAGCTCGTAGGGTTGCTGGTGGATCCAAGTGCACTCAGTCCAGGTTGTAGTGGAAGACGGTTAGAGAGAACGGGACTGGAAGAGGTTCGCGGTGTTTTGGTCACCTCATGGAGCTCCTTCTATTCTTTGGGCGCGGAAAGCACGCATGCTCTGCAATTGCTACTATACATACCACGCATACCGTGCTCAAGGAACGTTACTGACACATTTACTTCAACGCAGCCTGGAGGCTCTCAAGGACCTATGTCATGTCAGTGCTTGCTGTGTGGCTGCGCCCACGATACGCACCTCAAGCTCGATCTTGGCCTCAGCAATGTCGGCCTCGCTGCCGCTTCCGCTGGCAATCTTCTGTGCCTCGGCGATCTGGTTCCTGACAGCCTATGCCCGTATCAGTCGCTATTTGTCCAAAGCCGCGTGATGGCTCGTACCTCGGCGCTGAAGTCCTCCAATGGGTAGCCCTCGACGGCGTTGATGCTGAGGACAGAGTTTGGCTGCACGGTAGCGAATCCACCAGACAGGAAGAACTGCTTGCTACCACCCTGCTCCTCGATGATCTCGACTAGGCCGGGCTTCAGCTGCTCAATGGAGGCAACGTGGTTTGCCAGAACACCCATGTCACCGGTTTCCGCAGGGAGGTTGACCTGGACACTACAAACAGTCTCATGTCAGTTTTCGCGATTTCGCATTGCGGGATCGGCCGGGGTCTCGAGGGACATACACATCCTGGGACTTGTAGATGGACTGTCGATAATCAGTTAGCGTTTGGTTTCCAACGATAGTTCCAGCTAGATGCATTCCCCCACACGTCGCGACGGCTGGTATGGCGTACCTGATGCGGGAGAGCTAGGGAGAGCTTGATCTTGTCGTTGGCGACTTCGGCGTACCCTCTGCGCTGGATGGGGCGGGCAATGGCAGCGGGCCTCGCGCGGAGGGCGGCTCGGGCGATGCGGAGGGAGCTCATGATGGACGAAGTGGTGGGGCAATGGCAATGCGTGTCGAAAGTTGGGTGTTCTGCGAGGTTGAGTTTCTGCGGCCCCGGGCTCTTCTCGGGATTAGCCGAAAAGGTACCGCCAAGGCGGTTAGCATTCCCAGTGACCATTTCAACTTGAACACGGTAATAACACGGAGAAGTTCGTTTGTTTGTAGGACACAGCTTTTAAAACCTGAATCCCTTCGCAGATAAGAGGTTGATGAGATACCAAAGTTCACTCAGTTTCTAAGGTCGGGTGTAGTACAATGAAGTGCCTGTATTCAATAACTCCGGGGTATCTTAATCGCAAAACCAAGAACATGTCCAGCCCGTTACGCTTGACGAAACTCATGCTTCTTGATGCTCAAACTTGGCGAACATTAATCGTCATAAAACTGCTGTGGTGCGGCCATGCTCATCCGCAACTGCCTCTCTCTCTGCTTCGCTTGCAACTCCAGCGTCTCCACGGCATAGCTAAGCCTGTCCTTCTTTGCCCTCAATGTCTTCATCCTCAGTTCCTGCTGCGCGCTGATGGTCTTGCCCCCACTCCTCTGTGCGGTCCTACTTGCCGGTCGAGAACCCGATCCACCATTGTTGTCACGTCCAAGTCTGCCCTCGTTCAGATCGCACTTGGCTATAAGGGATTGTTCACGACGTTCCAGTTTGTCCAAGTAATTCTCAACGCGCTTGAGGAGGTTGTCGACTTCAGGGCGGATCTCTGAGAGGAGTGCTGATTGCGCGGTCTGGAGATCTGACTCGGAGATGAGTTCAAAGTGCTGCGACGAGGTTAGCTGGGCGAATGCATCGGGATACTTTGACTTGTACTCACTCGTGTTGTCTGCAGTACTTTGGCTAGTCGAGGAAAGTCGCTCACACCTTGATCTAGTATGTTGATGGATGAATCGAGCAATTGCATGCTACTGCGCAGCGAGCCCACGCATCCCTCCAATGCCATGATAGCAAGTGTGTCTTCAGTAGCACAAGCAAGGGTCTACTGTGGTGAGTGGAGTGGAATGTCGCGGGGTTGTTTACCTGCGAGTTGTAGGATCCGTGCGCAGACGCCAAGGATATCGAAGTTCCGGTCGTTCGGCTTGAAAGCTCAACCGCCATCACCGTCATCCCTCGCCGCAACCGTCAATCGATCCATTGCCCCTCCAAAACAAGTCACAATGCCTCTTCTCGGAAGGAAGTTCCCGGCGCAGATCGGTATGTTAGCCTGCACCACGCAAAGAGTGGAGAGTGAAGCTCGAAAAGATGGCTAACCTAAGTCCTACAGCCAAGCCCATGTGGCCTTTCTACGTCTCTGGTACGTCGCGCGACTTTGTTTGGACCTAACAAGATTTGGGGAAATCACACCGTGTGGGATTGGAAAGAGTTGGAGAACATGAAGAAGCGAAGGGTTGCTGTAGGAGGATAAGATTAACAAACGTACCAGGTCTTGTCATCCTTTACGGTGTCAACTCTGCCGCCAACGCCATGGCCCAGTGTGCGTAATCCCCATCCGAAAGACGCAGCCAGCCAGCTTGGTCCATGTTCGCAAGCTGACCAGCACAGCCGATGAGTACAAGAACGACCCGCGCAACCCAGCCGTCAAGAACCAGGCGCCGAACCACTAAGTGTGATACTTCATCGTATGGGGAGCGGTCTTTGGGCATGCGAGTGCCTTAGGAGGCAGTGTACAATAGCCGCGGGGACGGAAGATCAATCAAGATCTCTTACTGAGATGGCTGTATAGACTTTGGCAAATCAACCCCATCACGAAGATAGCATTGCTCTTGCTCTATTGTTCTGGTCACGCGCGGGTGTCTAAGCTTGCCTTGAAGCGCAGCACGAATGCAGACCGTGTTGCCGAGTTCTACAAGCGTCCGAGGCAGTGTTCAAAGATGCGACTGGATCCATGCAATCTAGTCAACTAACCTCCAGACGCAACGCGAGCTCTGCCACACTGCGGTCTACCTATAGCTTACTCTTAGGGATTCGCACGTTCATAATTGCTGTGAGAGGTTGAAAGTGTAGATGAATACAAGCGGCCAGATACGTGTGACGTGGTGGTTCGCCCAGTATAGCGCACTCGGTCAGCCTGCATATGTAAAAGGTGCTGAAGCATCTCGCAATTGTGACATCACGACGACACAGCAGGGAGTCAATGTTGGGACCGATGCTTTCCTTTGCTTCGTATCCAAAAGCACGTCGCGAGTCGCTACCAGTCTTGTAGAGGCGGCTGCAGGACGTTGGTGGTGAAAGTTGAATCTAGCGCCATGGACGCGACAAGTATTTGAGAAGCACTTCAGATTGGCGCATAATGCATAAAGGGGGCAGAGGTGTGGCTCAGTCGCATGCTGGGGCAGCAGGCGACGGCATTTGAAACGGGCAGTGGCATTTTGACAGTGACACCCTGGACATGTGCGGAATCCCAAGACGCAAACGGCGCTGATCTGGGTAGCGATTCCTCCGAGCGGCCCAGGGATCAGATTTGCGGACCGCAGGCTTGATACACGGCGGCGGGCAGCGGCAGCAGCAGTGAAAGAGCTCGTCTAGCGCGCCAAGCAAAGTGGCCGAATACAACCTTGGAAGGCAGGTGGTCCTTCTGCAACCTCTCCGTCTGCGTTCCTTTGATACAGCACCACGACCGCAGCGTGCTTGTTTGACCAGGCTTCTCCGCTGTTCTGTGCCCTGCAGCTGTCTTTTAGCATCCTGTGCCATAAGAGCAAACCTCGCCCACACCCCTCAAGCCCGCACAAAACCCCCCCTGGCGTCGTGATTCCGTTGGGCTCATTCACGCCCTACAGTAAGTCCTGCCTGCCCAGCTCATCACTCGGCTCCGCCCTCTGCTTCCCGTGCCCGACGCAGTCTCTCACCACCACCACGCACCTGTATCGCTGGCACTTCCTTTACCTGTCGGTCAACACGCTTCTACTGTCTCTCTTAGCGTTTCTCGGCTGCCCGCTCCGCTTACTCACCGCCTTGTTGGCTAAAGCCTCATACTGACCGGTCCACTGCAGCAGGCTGATCCTCAAAACACCGCCGCGCCCCCATCGTCACAACAGACGACCCACCCCCCTCAACACCACCACCTCCTCCACCACCACCACAGGCCAGCCTCCTCAAGGTTGAACCGGCCGCAAGCATGACGACAATGGTACGCTCCGACCCCGCTTGCTGTCGCCCATGGCGGCCGATAGGCTCGTCTCTGCAGCACCTTGGGCTAACACACTAACAGGACCTCCGTGTCGGCAACAAATACAGAATCGGCCGCAAGATTGGTAGCGGCAGTTTCGGTGACATCTATCTCGGTACGTCGTTGTCGCTAACCGCCCACCGTCGCCATGACCAGCCCAGCTGACGTGTGTAGGTACCAACATCATCTCTGGTGAGGAGATTGCCATCAAGCTCGAGAGCGTCAAGGCCAAGCACCCCCAGCTCGAATATGAGGCCCGCGTCTACAAGTCGCTTGCCGGCGGTGTTGGCATTCCCTTTGTCCGCTGGTTCGGAACCGAGTGCGACTACAACGCCATGGTCCTGGACCTGCTCGGCCCTTCCCTTGAGGACCTCTTCAACTTCTGCAACCGCAAGTTCTCCCTGAAGACTGTCCTGCTCCTTGCCGACCAGCTCATCTCCCGCATCGAGTACATCCACGCCAAGTCCTTCATCCACCGCGATATCAAGCCCGACAACTTCCTCATGGGCATTGGCAAGCGCGGCAACCAGGTCAATGTCATCGACTTTGGTCTGGCCAAGAAGTACCGCGATCCCAAGACCCACTTCCACATCCCTTACAGAGAGAACAAGAACTTGACTGGTACCGCCCGTTACGCCAGTATCAACACTCACTTGGGTGTCGGTATGTATCCCGCATCTCATTCGACTTCACAAACTAACGTCTATAGAACAATCCCGCCGTGACGACATGGAGTCCCTCGGCTATGTCATGCTTTACTTCTGCCGTGGATCCCTTCCCTGGCAGGGTCTTAAGGCGGCCACCAAGAAGCAGAAATACGACCGCATCATGGAGAAGAAGATGACCACCCCCACCGAGGTCCTCTGCCGTGGCTTCCCCAACGAGTTCGCCATCTACCTCAACTACACCCGCTCCCTCCGCTTCGATGACAAGCCCGACTACTCGTACCTCCGCAAGATCTTCCGCGATCTCTTCGTCCGTGAAGGCTTCCAGTACGACTACGTATTCGACTGGACCGTCTACAAGTACCAGAAGAACGCCCAGGCCATCGCCCAGGCTGCCAACCAGGGCCAGGGCGAGGAAGACGACAAGGGCCGCGGACGCCACGTCACCACCACTGCTGCTGCCAACGCTGGCACAGCAGCTGGCACCAAGCGCGGTCCGGTCAACGCACGCCAGGAGGGCACCGGAATGTGAGTTCGATATATCTGATCCTCGTAAGGGACCCTCTCCTTTGCGTTTGGTGTTGAGAACGCTTAGCGCGGGGGACGCCAGATACAGATCTTACTAACCTTCTTCTTTCTTTCAGGCAGCTTCGTTCGGCCAATAAGCGTGGCGGGGACCAGTATGCATCTGGTTACTGATTTGATGCGGCTTTCGATTCGTCATCTCAACTCTTGCGTGACCGCTTCTTCTGACTCGGCTCCGCACTCACAACGAATGGGAAATGCGGCATTGCCGTCCTGGCAACATTTTGGACGGCGTCGCTCCTTGATCAGTTCGTGGGATCCATTCGTCAGACACCTCATACGGACCTAGAAAGACATTTTACTGTCTTGCATCTACTACGGCCAAGGGTCTCTGACGACTATCTCATATCACTGGAAGCTCGACCTACACGGTATCTCAAATTGGCATAACAGTTCGGTTTGCAAGCAACACATCTCAACTCTTTCCGGATCAACAGCCAACAGATTATCTTGGAACGTCTTGCACGGCTCGCGTTTACTGGGCAGCTTTCCAGCTGATGACTGATCTTTGTTTGACATTTTACGGCTTTCACCTCGCATTAATTACCCCTCCTGCCCCCCTTTTTGTGCTTTCCTGCGGTTTTTAGTAAATTTCCTTGCGTTTCCCCCTTCGGATATGGTCTGCCAGCTTGTGGGGAGGTAAATAAGCTTAACAAGGGGACGATTTGTCAAATTGTAATCTGAAAGAGAGAGTGTGTGTACGTGGCTGAAGCTTGGCTGGTTAGACTCGAAGGGTTTGCGATGGGTGGTGTGCGGCTAGTTCAGTCTCTGTGTTGGGATGGCGGTATTCCTCTTTCGACCAAGGAGGCCGCACTTCCGGGGACGAACCAGAAAAATAAAGGGACGAGACAATTATCTAGTTCGCTATCACGCCCATTGCGCTTGGAGACGGGGAACAGAGGGGGAAGGGTTGGGATGAGTGATGGTGGTGTGCTCGTTCTTGTTTTGTTTTCTGCTTTGCTTGTGTGTTTTGGAAATATATGGTTTTTGCGAATCTTTCTCTCTCTCTTTCTCTCATCTTGGTGATTTGGATGCGTGTTGTGTGATGTGATGTGGCATAAAGTGATGTGACTGTCGTCGGTTTGAGGTGGTAGTTGGTATGCTCCCTATAGTAATGCGGAGAGTAGCTATGTCTTGCATATGTTGATTTGCAGCTAACAGAATTAATACGACTCCTTGGGCTTCACTTGGAGGTTTTTGAACCAAGTTGCTTGTTTGGATATATCGTTGCATTTTGGTTCGAGCAGCGTGGTACTTGAGAGGTTTGTCTCGACCACGCAATCAATTACTAAAATGCGAATATACACACACACACACACACACACACACACACACACTACCCGTTGGAGCATGTACATTGCATGAAGTTGTTAGTGGATATTTTTTTTGGGAGGGTGAGGGGGGCGTAGACGGACGATGTACGATGTCTCTCTTACTTTAGGTGTATGTATCTTAAGGACCTCTGCTTCCTTTTTTTCTTTCTCCAGGTGAAACTTAGTGTATGTGTGAATTTAGAGAGGGATCGAGAGAAGAGAGGAGAGAGAGAGAGAGATCAATAGTGCCGCTGTCTTGGGCTAGTTTGATGAGGAAGAAAGAGAGAGAGAGAGACGATAGAGTATGTTCTAGGGGTGGTGTAGGCTGGGTGTGTAGTGAATGAGGTTTATGTTTTCAACGGCTCTTGTGGGTGTTATTGTCATTTTGCTGTATTATGTTGAGTTTACATGTGTTAAGGTGTAGAGATAAGCATATACATTAAGTAAATTGGAGAATTGTAAGTTGCGTAGCAGAGTAGAAAAGAAGGTACAGAGAGTAAAGTAGCAGAATTGTTTAGTGATAAATACGAGCGAGGTAACGACGCCTTTTTATTAGGATGGATTGTGTTGGTATTATGTTATCGAATTATTGTTATGAAGAGCACTTTTCTGTTTCAAAACAACAAGACCTTATCTTAAGTAATCTTCTCTTGTTTGCAAGAAGAGGTTAACAGAGGGTAAGTCAACGAAGCTGTTTTGTATGTGTACGCTGTATTTCCATCTATTTCCTCAAGCGTAAGAACAGATAATGATTTTAGTTTTTTTTTATCTTACCTTCGCTCTAAGTATATGTATATTAAGATAGGTACAATAACACGGGGGCTTTGAATAATGAGTACATGGTTCGACTAGTAAGTAGAGAAGAATATTGATATATAAGGGATGACGTAGGTAATCGATGATTCCGTGGTTTTAAATATCGTTGACTACAACATCCGTAGTAACTCCCATCTTGATAAAATAACACGATGCCCGTCGAATGCACATCAACACAGCCAGGGCTTCGTATACACAGACAATCATCAGCCTCCTGATCAATAACAACCAAGTTGCTCAAGAGTGAGCTCTCAAGCAGGTGGAAAAGAAAAAAGACGTTGACGAATAATTCCAAGACATTCGAAAACATTTCAGTATATTACCCAGAACCCGCGTAAGCTACACGGTTCTGGCTCAAATGTACTTTGTTCGTGTATTGTACTATGACTTCTACCGTCCAAACAAACACTCGTATACCCACCCCACCACCCACAACAAGGTGGAGACAAGATATAATGCTTACCTCCTAAAAAGGCAAGCAAGCCCGCGAGCAAAGTAAGCAAACAAACAATTGAATGCCCATCTTACGCATACTACTACTACCACACTCTTCCCTCACTCCCCATAATCCGATTAAACCATCGAATAAACAATGTAGCATCTACAATAAATGCAACATAGGCCCCGTCGCGGGTTCATGCTACGCCACAAAAACCGAGACGTCGGTAAATTGCGTCGACTATAGCTATTTGCTGTTTTTGAAACGGAAGCAAAAAGTGGTCCGTCCGTAACGTAGCATGTGGGGAATAGATAAGTAGACCAGATGCTCAAAACCTGAGCATCAAATGTCAAGGTATAGAACAATTGAGGAAGAAAAAAGAAGAAAAAACTCATTTCATCACCCATAAATCTTCGTCAAGTTTCGTTCTCGGTATTCGGGCTGGAAGACGGTTCAGCTTTTAGCTGGGCAGCTGCTTCGGGTGTCGCTGCCTCTGACCCTGTCCTCTTCAGCGCCGCGAGCTCTTTCTTCAGTGCATCCATCTCTTGATCTTTTTTGTTGATCAAGTCATCCCGCTCGGATACTTCTTGCTTTAGCTGTTTAATGTACTCTATGGCGCTTTCCACCTTGGCTGCCTTGGAGTTGTTCGAGTTTTGCGCGTTGGTCTCAGGGCTTTTGGCGTCTGGGATGGCACCGAGCTGCGGGGAAGGGAGGAGCGCTTGCATTTCTTGGAGGGCCATGTTGATGCGGTTTCGGCGGCCTTGCTCGGCGATCTTGTGAGACGTGCGTTTGGAGGTGAGGTTGGTGGAGAGTGATGTGGGATAGACAACGCCGGGGACTGTGGTACCATCGAGGATGTTCTGGTAGTTTGACTTGGATGCCAGAAGAAGGGCGTGGGTATTGTCGGTGACGCCTGCTGAAAGTCAGATTAGATAAAGTAATTGGGTCTAAGAAGATACTTACCACTTCCACCATCGGGTAGTAGAGGCTTTATGCTGGGCGAGATCTTAGGCCTTAGAGCGGGGCTGACAAGATTCGAGCTCACGCTGTTCCTTTTCTTGGGATTGCGCGCTGGCTTCAGGTCTTTCTTGCCATTGGTCATGGAGAAGGCTGGGCTTGTCGGGGTCGACATGGCGTCTAGCATCGGGCTAGGCCTGGCTGACATGGAGGCTCCAGGTGTGCTCAGAGGATTCAACTTGGGCGTTTTCCGTACACGGGACGTGTCACCATCCTCATTCCGTATCGCTGTGTCCAATCTTGATAGGCCCGGCCGGTCTAGAGAAGCTTCTGGCAGGGTAAGATCTTCCAGCATTGGTGGTGCTTCCTGAGAGCCACTAAAGTCGGGCGAGGGTTGTATCCGCATGAGGGATGCTGGAGTGGCTGGAGTACCGTTCTGGCTGTTGCGTTGGGCAAGCATAGCAGGAGAAGCTGTTGAAGAACTGGGCTTTGGTGGCGGTCGCATCTCAGACAGCATAGGCTCGGGAGATATAGAGTCCGTCTCTGAGCTCTCACGAGTCCTTGGCACATCCAGCCCGTTGGTGGACGGACGTATTGACCGCGCTTCCTGCATGAGTTCGGTGACCTCCTTGGGTGGGATGAGCGAGGAAACGGTTGCTTTTCGCCGGTTAGGTTTCACAATGGGGGACTGTCGTACGCGGCCGTTGGCATTTGCCCGTGGTGCGTTCCTCTTGTTGGTACTCCGTAGACTCCTCCGTCCTTGCTCCTGTGGAACCATGGCAGGCTCACCCAACATATCCATATCCACATCGATGGGCGAATGTCCAGTGGAACTCCCAGACGTCGTATTTTGCGACTGCTGATGCGCATGCTGATGGCTCTGGGCATTCAGGGCGGGTGATGTGAGTGGGCTGAAGTAGGCTCCTGGTACGGTGAAGTCAGGAATCTGGAAGCGCGCGTCGTGGGGCGTCACTGCGGGCGAAACTAGTGGGGTAAAGGTCTATATGGGTCAGTGGGGTTTTGTGGTAGCTTCCAAATCCGACATACCGCATCGTCCTTGCGCATATGGTATCTCTGGTCGAATAGCGGCTGGTGAGGGTCCAATTGCGTGAGATAGCGATGAGGGTCGCCATGCATCTCTATGCTATTAGGCGTGGGCGGGACGCCCTGGTGTGGGCGATATATTTGGTCCTGGGTCTGTGTGAAAGCTGGCGTTCCGGCCTGGCTGTACGCGGGCATGCCATAGTCGAAGAAATTGTTGGTGGGCTGCGACATGCCATGACCACCCAAGTTCTGGACCTGCTGGCCTCCGTTGGCGCCATCGCGGTGGTCCTGGGGAAGTTGCGGGGGATACTGGCCCTGGAGATGGTGGACATTGAGCGACTCGGTCAGATCGGCGAGTTGATTGCCATTAGAGGCGGGTCCTTCGTGACTGTAACCGTCAATGTTGAAGTGCAGGTCTAGATTGTCGAAGTCGATGAATTCAGCGCCGGCGAAGTCCTCTGTGGCCGGGTCCATTTGAAAATGCTCGGCAGCGCTCCAGGACTGAGCCGTCGAGCTGTTCATATCGTCGCCGCAGGACCCCGGGCGGAGGGGAGAGAGAAAATTGCCGTCGCGAAGATGGGCGCGGGTGGGGCTACGCGGAATTGGGACCGGGTTGCTGCGTCTCTTTACATGTGTTCTCTCTGGTGCGCGTCCAAGGTGCAGTCGCGTTTGGCGACAGTGCAGATGGCTGGCAGTGACTCTGGCGTCGCTCTCTCCACTGAATACTGAAGAGAGTGTCGTCGGGGTCAGGACGAGGCACTGCACGAGAAGAGCCCGGGTGGTAGGCCCCCACGGTGATTTGATAAGACTGGGGGGGCAGTTCGCCCGCGCACGTCGAATTCAGCGCGGGTTACAGCCAACTGCGGCTTGCAAAACCTGGCCTCGCGTCCTCAGCCTATTATCATGTGCCGCCGAAGCATTCACAGACCCGCCCACCTGACGTTCAGCCTTCACTCTGGTCGTCATGTTGGCCGCGTGGTGTTGACCAGAGTCTCACAGATGACTTGACTCGCGCGCGTGGGATGCATGCAGCAACCTGAAGTGTGCCCTGGAGTACAGCTGCAACAAAAGCTACTGCGCAATATCCTCGTCATTCACTCGATTCACAGTGCTGGGCCGCGGTTCAGGGTCTGCGCAGGTGCAGCGATGAATTAGGCACGGGCTGGATGCAAAAGGCAAAGATGGGCGGTATTTTGGTAGACATCAGAACTAGTCGGCCAATAGTGCGGTCCCGCATACATTCGGCCGGGGGAGGCGTAGGCGAGCAGGCCAGCTGCGTCGCATTCGTTCGCTATTGACATGCATCCTGGTACGCTATACATTACCTCGACATGGGCGCACCAGTCAGCTGGTCGTGCAAACAGCAGACGGTGATTGCTTCGTCCTGCAGCCACACGTGAAGGTGTCTGGTTGGATGGAGAGAACCTTTGTTTTGGCCAGGTCGATTGGGCTGTAGCGCGACTGACTACGGCTGTTTGCCGGTGGAGCGCGACGCCATGGTGATGCGCCTTGTTAATCTCGTTTGCCCTAGCAGCATGTAGCCACCTACCCCTTCCAGCAAGTTCCCGCCTGTCCAGATCGCCTCGACTGCTCGAATCGAGGCTCTCGCAATTGTTTGTGTTGGAGAGAGGAACTGATTTACTGGAGCCATGCATCGTGTGTGAATTGATAACCGATTGAAGAAAATATCTCATTGTCCAAAGTGAAGAAGTGATGGAGAATGAATTATGAGAGTGCTTTTATCTCGTGATTGTAGAACCTAGAAAGCCGCCGTGACCGACTATAAGAAAAGACTGAAAACCCCCGCGCGCTGCGCTGCAAACATCAACAGCAGCGAGCTCCGTATCCGAGTAATTTACACATTGCTGAAAAGTACATGGCCCGTCCGATTGCCTCGCTCCCAGGACTACTGCGCGAGACTTGGCCACACCGGGTCCTTGGGTATTAATCAACCTCCTCCTAAAGGGTAAAAGAAAACAGACTCTGCCGTCAAAAGGGCCCCGCACAACGCCGGTAAAGGACATGACCATCTGCATCTTCGTCGTCGTTTACATTACGATGCAGCAGCCGTTGCTTTGTTGTGGCGCGTAGGGGTCGTCGCGCTTGTCAATCTGGGTGTGTGTTAGAGCGGCGAACAAATAACAAGAGGCGCGCGTATACTGACCGTTCCCCATCGTGACGGTACCATCCAGTCTTTTGGCTCTTTATCCGTGAATGCAATGAGACTGCCGGTCGTGGTTAGCCGTGCTGTTCGCGGTATCAATGCGACTTGGTCCTAAACGTACTCTAATGCGGCTTCGGACACGGGTATCCTGCGGCGCTCGAGGTCCTCCCGCAGGCGTTGGTTGAGTTCGGTGAGGCGTCGCAGCTTGAGCTCGGCCATGCTCTGCTTCTTGCTCTTGCCGTCGCCGCCGGTCCGGATCTCGTAAGGGGCTTGAACCATCATGGCGGACATGGTGCGCGTGGTATATTAGGGGAATGCGATGGACGTGATGTTGTTGTGATGGTGGTGGTGGGTGTAATTACGGGGGATGCGTCGTGGTGCGACGTGAGTGTTGCGTGTCGGGCGTGCGGCGTGGATAGGGTGAGCTGGGAGAAGGGAGAGTAAGGAGCGAAGACGGCCAGCCGGGTGAGCCTGCCGCCGAGTATCAGCGCGAGAGCAAGGCTGTTGCGAGGGCGTTGACGACGGATTGCTGAGATGGGGCGACAGGTGAAGCACGCGAAGCAGGAGAGGTGGTTGGAAGATGAGGGCCCTCCCCTTGATGGGTCAGTTCGTCGGGCCCCGACGCTTGTGGTATAGCGCCATATTGGGTTTAACGAGCGCTTTGTCCTCACTCCCCCCCGAACATGCAGCCAATCTCCATGCCGCCTGTAATTGACGCAACAGGAACGCAGCAACGTGAGGGCGACTGGCAATACAGCAGTCGGGCTCGAGGTCGCCTACATACATAATGTTACGCCCCGCTCGAGTCTCCTGCGCCGCCTCTGGCGCCCGCGTGCATCTGCGGGGAGTCGGGCGCGAACGAGCCGGGAACTGGGAATACGCTCGCTTAGTAAGGCAATACCACAACCTTTTTGCAGCAGTGATTCCATCACCGTGTGAGACGTGCACCCACATCCCAACACCAAGCCCTCCGCTGTGTCGCCTGCTTGCTATAAAGCCCATCCGACTCGCGTAGTTGGATCCGCGACTTCAACTTGCCCAGCATGGCGCCTCCACCGCACTCCAAGCCGGAGAACACACTGTGCGCCCCGCCTCGATGAAGCCGTAGAGGCAACAAACCCACTAACTCCGCCCAGTAAACGTGCCCAAGAACTCATCGGAGTCGAGCAGCAGCAGGCTGCCCTCCAGCTGCTCCACGAACATGTCACCTCGAAGCGCACCCGCAACAGCCCCATCGCCTCGCTCGAGCCCGTCATGATCCTGTTCGTCGAACTCTGTGTCGACCTACGCAAGGGCAAGCTGGCCAAGGATGGTCTGTACCAGTACAAGAACACGGCCCAGAACACAAACGTCGGCACTATCGAGGTAGGGCAGACCAAGGGAAACATGGCGACTCCCCCGGGCTAACACGCTGTAGACTGTCTTCAAGCGCTTCATCGAACTCGCCGAGCAGAAGGTTACAGAGGCCCAGGCCAAGGCAGACGAGGTCCAGTCCTCGCTTGAGCCCTCTGACGACAAGAACGTCGACGACCTGGAGGCTACCGAGACGCCCGAGTCCATCCTCCTCTCCACCGTCTCCGGCGAGCAATCGCGCGACCGCACCGACCGTGCCATCGTCACGCCATGGCTCAAGTTCCTGTGGGAGACATACCGCACTGTCCTGGACATCTTCAAGAACAACGCCCGTCTGGAGCTCATGTACCAGTCGACCGCCCACCAGGCCTTCCAGTTCTGCTCCAAGTATGCCCGCAAGACCGAGTTCCGCCGTCTCTGCGAGCTGCTCCGCAACCACTTGCAGAACGCCGCCAAGTTCTCTTCCCAAATGCACGCCATCAACCTGTCCGACCCCGATACCCTACAGCGCCACCTCGACACCCGCTTCCAGCAGCTGAACGTGGCCGTGGAACTCGAGTTGTGGCAGGAGGCCTTCCGCAGTGTTGAGGACATCCACACCCTGCTCTCCTTGAGCAAGCGCCCAGCCAAGAACATCATGATGGCCAACTACTTCGAGAAGCTCACCCGCATCTTCTTGGTCAGCGAGAACTACCTCTTCCACGCCGCCGCATACAGCCGGTACTACAACCTCCTCCGCCAGTCCGCAGCGGCCGTCGCATCGGGTCAGAGCCCCAAGAAGGACAACCCCGCTGTCACCGAAGCCGACATGACCAAGGCTGCGTCGTTTGTCCTCCTCTCCGCTCTTGCCATCCCAGTCATCAGCACTTCCCGCTCCCGCGGTGCCCTTGTCGACGTTGATGAGGCGAGGAAGAACAAGAACTCGCGCCTTACCAACTTGCTCGGCATGTCGCAGGCTCCTACTCGTGCTATCCTCTTCAAGGATGCTCTCAGCAAGGGTCTGCTCAAGCGTGCCCGCCCTGAGATCCGCGATCTTTACAACATCCTTGAGGTCGATTTCCATCCTCTCTCCATTTGCAAGAAGATCTCCCCCATCTTGTCTCAAATTGGTGCTGATGAGGGTATGGAAAAGTACGTTGGCCCGCTCCAGCAGGTTATCCTCACTCGCCTCTTCCAGCAGTTGTCCCAAGTCTACGACTCTGTTAAGATCGAGTTTGTGCTCGGCCTTGCCCAGTTCCCTGAGCCTTTCCACGTCAGCGCAGGTACCATTGAGAAGTTCATCATGAACGGCTGCAAGAAGGGCGATCTCGCCATCCGCACCGACCACGCCACTGGTGTGCTCACCTTCGACTCCGACGTTTTCTCATCGGCCAAGGCTATGCACCCTGGATCGGGTGCTGGATCCGCCGAGATTGAGTCCCGCTCTGTGCAGCGTCTCCAGAGCACCCCGGCCGAGATTGTACGATCTCAGCTTACCCGTCTTGCCAAGTCGCTCTTCGTCACTTGCCAATATGTCGACCCTTCGTTCAACTCCGAACGCCAGCGTAACAAGGAGGCCGCTCTTGAGCGTGCCAAGGAAGGCGCCGAGAAGGAGCACCAGGAGATTCTCACTCGCCGCGACATCATCTCGCAAAAGAAGGAGGCTGCTCTCAAGGCTCAACAGGCCAAGGAGAACGAGGAGCAGACCAAGAGACTCATCCGCCAGCAGCAAATCAAGGATGAGGAGGCTCGCCGCCTGGCCGAAGAGCAGAAGCAACGTGCAGACCAGCGCATCAAGGCTGAGCAGAAGCGCATTCAGCGTGAGGAGATGGAGAAGCAGATCAAGGAGCTCAAGGCGACCACCAAGGTTGACATTGAGCTTCCTGAGGACTTGGACGATCTCGACTCGCAGAGGATCCGTATCTTGAAGCTTCAGGCTCTCGAGAGGGAGAAGAACCAACTCGGCGAACAACTCCGCATTGCTGGCAAGCGCATCGATCATTTGGAGCGAGCTTACCGCAAGGAGGAGATCAAGCACCTCAAGACCGACTATGAGAAGCAACAGGAAGAAGACCTCGCAGCGTACGAAAAGGCCAAGGCCGAGGAACTCAAGGAGTCCGAGGAGAGGCACAAGGCAGATGTCGAGCTCAAGCATCGTCTGTCAAGGCTGGTATCTCCTTACCAGACTTTCGTCAAGACCGTCAAGGAACAGCGCAAGGCTGAGTTCGAGAAGCGCCAGAAGATTGCACAGAAGGAACTTGAGAGCAAGAAGGCTGCTCGCGTTAAGGAGGTCAAGGAGCGTATCGCCAGGGAGAAGAAGGAACGCGAGGAGGCCGAACGCCGCCAGCGTGAGGAGGAAGAGCGTGAGAGGGAAGAAGCCGAGGCCAAGGCCAAGGCTGCGGAGGAGAAGGCGGCCCATATTGCCGAATTGAAGGCAAAGAGGGAGCAAGAACGAGCGTCAGTATTGCCCGTTGCACTTATCCAGTCACACACTAACATTTCACAGGGCCGCTGATGAAGTAGCACGTCTCCAGCGTCAACGCGAGGAAGAGGCGTTGGCCAGGCGGAAGGCTGGTGCCGGTGCCCCCCGTGCTGTTCCAGACCGAACCTTCTCTCGCGAGCCAGCTGCGGAGCCTTCTTCGGCTCCTGGCCCACCAAAGATCGCCCTTCCTGGCGGCAAGCCCAGCTGGCGTGAGCGTGAGGCCATGAAGGCCGCTGGACAGGCTCCTCCCCCTGCCAGCACATCACCAGCGCCTGCTCCTGCAGCCACCTCTCCCGCCCCCGAGGCCGAAGCTCCCAAGAGGAGTGGATACGTCCCGCCAGCTCTCCGCCAAGGAGGTGCTCCTGGAGGTGGATGGCGCGAACGTGAGGCTAGCGGCAGCGGTCGGGCACCTCCTGCCCGTGCCGAGCGTCCCGAACGCACCGAATCTCCTGCTACAGGCGGTCGCTACGAGGCTGCTCGTGGAGGAGACCGATGGGGTTCAGACAGGAAGCCTGCATCCCCCGCTAACGCCGGTGGCTATGTTCCTCCTGGTGCTCGCGGCGGCGCACCACCTCGTGAGGGTGAGGGTGAACGACCTGCTGCGCAAGCACCAGCTGGTGGAAAGTACGTTCCTCGTCACTTGAGGGACAGGCAGTAGAGTTAGTACATACGACACGAACGACCAGTACAGAAGAAGTAAAAAAGCAAGGCGTCCCGTTTCTTTTTCCTTTCCTTTCTCACTACGATTGACGACATGGTCAACGATGGGGGGTTATATAGGAAGGGAAGATATGATGGCATAGGAAGCGGGGGGCGTTTTTGCTTGTTCTTCCTATTTTCTTTCTTACCCTTTTTCCAGAGCTGGGCGGTAACGAATATGGACCTACAGTGTGTAGTCTTCATGAATGCAGTTTTTGATTGTTTATATGTTCAGAATTATGGTTCGCTTGTGTATGTGTGTATGTGTGGTTTTGTGGTTGGTATGGGTTGTGTGGTTTGGGCAGATACGTGTCTAGGTATGTTTTGACTTTGAATGCGATACACATCCATCTACCCCGCATCTATATTCCCACAAAATCCGTAGCACACAACACCTTCAACATGCGACTTATACAGTTCTTTGACAACGGTGATTACTGCCTTACGAGTCGCCCTTCAGAGATCTCTCCAGAGCCTCTAGATGACAAGCCATTTTATGGCATCCTTTCGCACAGATGGGGTCCTGCCGGAGACGAGATCACGTATCAAGAACTGATGGATGGTAAACGCAGATCTATACGCGAAAGCGACCTTGCGCGTGTTGGATTTCGCAAGCTTCAATTCTGCCAGCAGCGGGCTGCCAAGGAAGGCCTTCGTTACTTCTGGATAGACACATGCTGCATCAACAAACAAGATCAGTCTGAGCTGTCGTATGCACTAAACTCAATGTTCCACTGGTACAAACAGGCGCTTCGATGTTACGTCTACATGAGCGATGTCGCATGCACAACAGGTGGAGAAGCTATTCAAAATATGACGTTCGAAAACAGTCAGTGGTTCAAACGTGGTTGGACACTGCAAGAGTTGATAGCGCCAACGTCCATTGTGTTTTACTCTCGCGAGGGGACATACGTTGGTAGCAAGCGAAGTCTTGAGAAGGAAATCCATCAAATCACCAAGATCCCCGCCAAAGCTCTCCGAGACAGTAGCTCCTTGAGCACCTTCAGTGCAGAAGAACGCTTCAAGTGGACGCACGGTCGGAAAACAACTCGGCCGGAAGACATGGCATACTGTCTACTTGGCATCTACGACGTCTGGATGACGCTTATATATGCTGACGGAGATTGGTACACGCTGGAAAGCAGGGCGATTGAGAGGCTGAAGAGCGAGATCAAGGATAAGAGAGGGAAAGAAGAAGTCGTCGTCATTGGTGGTGCGTCATGGAGTGATTTGTCCGCCATCAGCGACCACAGACTACCGGAGCTGGATCAAGATATTCGTGAATATACAGCTTGACTACTACAGCAAGGGTATTTTCCAACGACAAGCCACGTTACCCAGACGTCGACCAATGCAGGCCGGAAGATGAGAGTAATGCTTGGTAAATACGATGTGGACTGTAATGATGATTCGGGTCTGCATGGAAGGTTTACGACGTGGCAGGAGCTTTGGAGTCGCTTCCTTCATCATAAGTCGAGTTTTGAAAGAGTAAGGGGATTTTTGAATAATCGGTGGTGGATCGGGAACGGTCCGGAAGATTGCCATACTGGTATCATGGCAGCTAAGACATTGATGGGTCTGATACTCTGGAGAGACATAAAGGACTTGAGATAGTCTTCAGGAACGAAGTTTTCGGTTGTCAACATCTTCGATACTTTGATCGATCCCAGATTCCTAGATACAAAAGTAGACAATTACTCTTCCAGCAATATCCCATATGTTGCTCTTTCCCAAACATCGAGGTTTGCAAGATTAGGATCGATAGCGTCGGACAGCAACGCCAGCGGATAACATCCAAAGCTATGGCAGGCACAGTGAGCTTTTAACAGATTATGCTCAGTGTATCCCACCACGAGATGTTCGCCTTTCTCCAACTTCTCTCGCAGACTCTCCATCGAAAAATACTGAGACATCCAGCCAAGTCCATCGTTCAGACGTCGATACGATAAGAATTCCGCCTGCACCGAAGACCATAATGTACCGATGTTCTTTTCCCCAGTGAAACAGGTCGAGTGAAGATCCTCGAAATGCATTTCTTGTAGCATATCATGCGGCTCCGTTGATCCCATGAAGTCGTCTTCGCCGTGCTCCGTTGGTCCCATGAACTCGTTTTCGCCGTGTGGCTTGGCGATGCAATCATGCGATTCTGGGTTGAGGTTTTCCTTGCGGGCCCAGTCGACATGCGCTGCCTCGCAACGACGTAGTATGCCAGTCAGTACAGCCCACCCTGTCTTGATTTTGGTATTCCAAATTCCGAATGCTGGTAGAGCCATAATCTCCTCTGCAAGCTCGGCAGCTGTTAGCTCCACGTGATCGCACTCGACGAATGAGTCAATTGACAATAACGCAGCGACTGAAACGTCTGCCTTTATGGAAGGGTTGAAGTTGTGAGAGATAAGGCAGAGAGCACATGCTATTATACCAAAAAGGTCTTCACCATCTCTTCCTTGGGTAGCGAGATGATACGCCGTCATCACTAGACTATGCAAAGGTTGCAGTTGCAATTTTTTGCCACAGTCAGGGCTGAAACATCGGCGAACGTACAACCCACTGGGTGTCTGAAGCAATAGAGGTCGTGGCATGTGAGAGAACATTCTGTCAATGCAGTGACATATTGCCTGGATTGAAGTATTGCAGAACTTGTGTTTCCAGCTGGGAGGTATCGATGTATGGCCCCGAGCGTAAAGCTGGCGTACGCAAGGAGAGTCTGCATCCCAGCGGCCACAAATATCGACCTCTTCTCCAGCAAATCGTTCGACATCCCTGAAATTGTCGTCCAGATCTACCGGCCTCGCACTTGTGTGAGACTTGATGATCGCGATCATCAGATTGTCCAGTATAGTGTGACCGTGCTCGTTGAGGTACATTGCGTGGGTCTTGGCTCCCCTATACATAACTGTAAGCCAGAAAATTGCATCGCAACAAGTCTTAGAGCCGTCCAGGAAACTTGTTGCTAGATGAAACGGATGCAACGATACTGGATCGATGCCTTTTCGACGAAGCTGTCGGGATATTTCTACCATCTGATCAACGTTTCGACTCATGATGCTGAAACCAAGAGCCTCAACGAGCAACTCGCTCGAGCGTTCCTCATCCGCAGCTTTCGCGATCTGTGGGATGGCGACAGGAAGATCCGTAGCGGGGGTAGGGCTGAAATCATTGTGTTCAAGTGCATCTCGCAGATGCGCCTGCAATGAAGCTGGCTGCTCGTTTGGCGACCATGATGTCCAAGTACGTTCGTCGCTAGAGTCAGGCTGGGCAAGCGCTGGAGGCTCATATACTTCCTCCGGTATTTCCTCATATCTCGCTTGACGCACGTGGATGTACCACCGGCAGAGATCCGAGGGCAGCATCGGTTCATCGTTGTTATATGACGCGGATGGATGTGTCATGTCCTGGGGTGTTCCTGGAAGACTAGGACGGGCAGCGGGAAGGTATTGGTCGAAGTTCAATAGCTCCGCCGTCCATATTCTTGGTCCTTTGCCCCAGTGTTTGGCGGTCTTGAAGCAAAAGAACCAATATTGGTATAGCCAGTCGGACAAGGTCCTACTATATCGTTAACTGGGGACTAGAACGCGACTTCGTTCTCACCTTCTCTCTTGTCCGTTTAGAAGCTTCAAAAGCTTCTCATGATGACCCTGTGCAAACAAACACGCTCTATCGATCAGCATGTTATCTTTCGTGATCTGAATTGTCGGTGAGGGTGCGTTGTTCGGAGACGTAGCCGATGATGGGGTGGTGACATCGATGTTGCTATAAGGCGTTGGCTGATCGAAAGGCGATGAATGGTCGGAAGTTCGTACGTATGAGTGACGCATAGCAGCGTAGGGTAGGTTCCATTTGAGGAAGCTTAGATGTTAGCATACGATCGTCTAACTCCGGTATTTGGTTACTTACAAACTGTCGGCGAACGGCAGCACGCGTCCGTCAACGTTCGTAATATGGTTCCGATTGAGGTATATCAATCGTGTAGCCTCCCGCATCTGATCCTTCATTACTCGTCTTACTTTGTGACCTTCGACTTGCTTCCCATCAATGAAGACTCGAGTAAAGGGTTTGCCGACTGCGGCACGACTCTTGTAATGCTTCGCAACTGTGGTGATCTTGTTCTTGCTAAAGTTCTTTGACCACCCCCATTTCTTAAATTGGGCTTTGTATTGGTTCTCACTATAAGAAAGACAAGTCAGCTGGTGAACTCTTTTACTTGCAATGGAGAGGGATATGGTTGACTTACACCTTGTAGAAACGGTGCTTAGTGCTCAGTTCTTTGACAATATCATCAAGCTTCCATTTGTCCTTCAACCAGAGTTTCTCCAGAGTCTCTTTTGCGTCCTCCCAAGAATGCATGGTTCCCAACGCAGGCCGATTAATCAGGGCAAAACACGTAATAGTGCGACACTCAAGTCAGGCGCTGAGAAGAATAACACAGGTTTAGTAAGGAGCGCTCCTTGGTCAGGGAAGAGAGGCTTTCGAGACCTTGAGTTGGCTGCACTGCGGCAGGCTGGCTATCCCCTTCTTATGGCATTTTGGCACCCTGTCTAGAATCCCTGACACGTTACACAGCCAAGGCGAACAAAGGTTCGACAGCCAACAGGACGACGTTTCCTGCGCATAGTTGTTTTGGCGTTGCGCATGCTGACGGTGTGCCGACGCCTTGTTGCCTGCAATAAGTCCTCCGTTCTGAAACAACACCGATCGGCGGCCATACCAAGTCGAACAAAAGTTCACTGGCCAATAGGCATGATGCGGGTGTGGCCGCACAGAGCTTTACGCTTCGCTTACAAGTTTCCGCGAATGAGAGTTTCCCATCTCCCGTACGACATCGCCCCGGCCCTTAACCACCGACGCGTAGAAACGCCTCGCGACGCAACACGACGTCAGCCACCGCGCTGTGGCACACTGCACATCAGTGCCTACGCAGCAGTTCGAGGCGCTCTATCACCGACGTTATCACCGTTGTATAATCATGAGTACCACGAATCAAAGAGATAAGCATCGCCATCCTTCGCCCGATGAATAACAGACCTCACTACCCGCCTCAAGTGCATCCTTTCCATATTCCTGATAAAACAATGAAAAGCCCATTGATTACGATAGATACGTGTCGATCAGGGCGAAGCTTGTGAAAGCTTAGTATCCACCCCAGCCATTCCCAGGTCATGATCCCGGCCCACCATCCGAATGCCAAGTTAAACAAAAGTTGTCTGTCCAATGTATGGCTTGGGATTTTCTGGCGTTCCTGCAAGGGCAGTCTACCAAGACGAACAAAAGTCGACAGACCAATATTTTTCGAGCAACATTGGGCTCATGCCGTTTTAGACAGCGGGACCATAATGCGAGACACCCGCCAACCTGACCAGAGTGTGTTAACACATCATGACCCATGTCACTCTCAATGCAGACCGCATACTGGGGCCTTCACCAAGACTTGCTCCAGAACTCAGAGTCTGAGCTGCCCTTGACGCGCATCTCTTTTCCACCCTCGAGATGTATAAAGACATCCTCTCCTTCTGCCTCTTCTCCTCAAGTCATCCCATCATCTCTGACACTATCAAGCCTGTATCTCTGTCTCTCCCAACGTTGCAGTCTCAGTTTCTCCATACAATATGCCTCAGCAACAAGTTTCGTCGTTAGTCGACCCTCGCCGTTGACAACCACACTGCCTTATCTTACTGACCAATACATAGTGGTGCTACCAACTCACCTCAACAGAGGTCATCCGATACCGTCACACTCTGCTCATACCATATCAGCGTCTTGTCCTCGACCTCCAACACGTACGCAAGCAACATGAATCCGATGGACCGCTTCCTAGCCGAGGGGCCCGCGGAGCAAAGTGCCATGTTCATCCGTCATGACAATGGCGAGCTATCGACGAAGAGGAACTGCACGTGCCAAAGGGTACATAACGCGAAGATGTGAGGGTCGGAGACTAGTTGCTACTCGAATCGATAAGCATCCCATACACCTGCCCTGTGTCATCACGTAACACGTTCAAGGACACGCAAACGGGGTATGCATGTGCCTGATAGGCGGACTATTGGTGGGTAGACAGTGAGATGTAAGGAAGGAAATGGTAGGGTGAGGTTAGATGGGAAAGATATGGGAAGGAACTCATCCTAGAGTAATCAGCAGATTGTTTCAATACCGCATCCATGTGTTCTAAGCTAGTTGTTGGTTCTTGAGCTCACTAGAGTATTGCACTAACTTCTCTTCATCTCGCTTTAGCATAGCATTCCTACAGCTCTCACGATCAAAGTTATCTGGCCAGCCATGACTCAGCATCAGTGCGTGCAGTTCCTAGAGAGAAGATGGTAAGTCAGCCTGCTGTCCATCGAAAAAGGCGGAAGTCTATCCGAACCTTGTACTCGTCGCCAGAACCATCAGCATGCACTGGTCCCCTACCATTGGTCTGGCCGATCAAATGCAGTTGCGCATAATCATTTTTCCATTCGTTGAGTATATCGCTGAGACGCGCAGTGCTTCCAGGACTTGCGCATTCATTGCGCCAGGCTCGGGGGTCATCGGCTCCGAACACTGGGTCGTAAAGCGTTTGCACTTGGTACCTCATCGCCGTTCCTAGTTGTAGAACAAGAGAAAGATCAGTCATCGATAGAACTGCAAGGAAGCAGGCGTCAGCTAAGGGCTGGTTGTAAATACCATCTGTGGTGTCGAGCATGATGTATTGCCCGTGTACTTTCCCATACGTGAGGGCAACAACCCATTCCGGAAAATCATAGTCGCGTTCACTTGTGTCCGGTATCTCCCAGCAATTGATGCCAGGCCCTACTTTCTGGAAGTAGTCACGTCGGTAATCACATGGATATGTCGACCAAGCTAACGTATTTCTCTCAAATGGGCCGTCCATACGAAGATATGGTAGATGCTTGAGCAATTCGATCACTGTGTCGTTCTTGTGCAGTGGGGCAAAATTATCGCTGCTGATGTTAGGCCAGCCTCGCGCTGGCGGCTCTAAGATGTCGGATGGCTCAAGCCATGGCAGTCGAGCAAGGAAGTTGTAGAAATCCAGCAGTGCAGTAGCCACTTCGGTCTGAAGGTCAGAGGCTGCTAAGACTTGATTTGAGAAGGATGTCCACATTGTGTTATTGCAGGCGTGCGCCTTATCTGTCTGGAGAGCTGGGCGGTGTCGGTCCCTATTACGTTGCAGAGGTTGAACGTGGAAGTCAAAATGAAGGAGTCAAGAGTAGACAGGCAATGTGTGGATGAATGACGAGGCTGGAGAATGGAAGTAAGGGGGTTAAGCTCAGGCCCGAGGTAGCGTCAAGCATGGTCTGCTAGCAATCATTTACTACGAACCATACAGACGTGCTTACGATCATTTTAGACGCGCAAGTTTGATTCCAATGCTACTCGAAACAAAACGACGTATAAAAATGTTGAACGGTGTTCACCACGAGATGTGTTTCTTTCGAAGGTGCAATGTTGCGCGGTTTCACTAACACCAATGTGTAATAGTCTTTAGCGTATCTGGCTAGCGCGATCCCGGAACTTGACCTGTCAACTGATCCCTCCCTTCAAATCCTTCTCAGTGTCGCTGAAACCCAGCACATTGACTCCAACGAAATCGCCCTCTTTGGCCCGGTATCAGTCTGGGCACTTGGTACGTTATCATTGCACACGCCACAGTACGCACTGGACAGATCGGGTTGCGCTGTCGCGACGCGTGGAGCTTGAGACGTCATGGTTGTGGTCTTGTCCTCACATCGCCTTGCGCAATACACTGGGATATGGTGTCATCAAGAGAGTGACCACGAACTGTATCTATGAATCCGGTCACAAGCATTACAGATGCGCTCAGCAGTAGATCCTTACGGCCGTTAGGTTTATATGCGCGATATTTACCGTGGAGGATTGCAGATTACTAACTGACATGGGTGGACTGTGAACTCCGCATATTGTGCTACGAAAGATGTTGTCATCGTTGGCTCGCTCGACTCTGGATTATTGCGTATTGGTCGCTGCGCATTAGATGATCATACGTCGCATCAACTAAGATTTGACCAGGAAGCCTTGTATCGCGCTGACGAACTTCCATCATCAATCGATCACCAAGTACATTGTATTACAGCACCACATACCCAGCTGAGTTGCCAGTGGTGCTAAAGAAAGAGATGGAATAAGCCATTTTTACACAAACAGGTTGACGGAAGTCACCAAATACAAGGCATGATGTCACAGGTCCATCATTTCATCTTCCAGCAGATCGCTAAGCCAAGTGTCGACCATTTAACGACCTAGACTGCCATCACTACACTACAAAGACGAGGGCTTTCCAAAATCCACGGCTCTATTCTCCTTGACCCATATCTTCTCTTCCTCGCTTCCGAACGCTGGTGGAAAGATTCCATTGATCTTCCAAAGTCTTCTCTCCGTCTCATCGATATGAAACTCATAGTTGTAACCCTTATCACCACAGTGTTTTTTCAAAACAGCATCTACGCCGTTTGCGGCCCCCTTGTAGACTTTGTCTTCGTCTGGAAGCCTTACAGCAATGTGCTCGACGACAACGCGGATGAAAGGTGTATCCTGTTTGCCGACTTGCTTGCCTCCAATGAACATACTGTTTTTGGGCACTTTAATGAAGTTTGTGACAACGTAAAAGGCTGGAAGACCGATGTTGGTGTATTGCTTGATGCTGTCTGCTGCGAGAGCTTCTTTGGACGCATCGTCCTCGAATGTTCCTTCCGGATGGTAGATGACCCAGAGTGGCATTTTGGTAGGGTTCGAAAGTTGATGGGAAGGTTGATTGGAAAGTAGAGCTGGAAGTACTGTTGAGCAGTGGTGAGGAAGGTCGTTATTCGGGTTGATGCCTCTGATATAGATCAATATTGGTTAACAACATCTAGGCCTCTCCGCTTCTTACGTACGTAACAAACCTGCTAAAGCACTACGGCCGATCATTGCAATCCTTCCGCAGCCCAATAAAATCTACGTGTCCTTAGCGTTGTCGGGGCCAAGGTGGTGAACTGAGAGAGATCAACCTTAGAACTCACCGCATGCCCTCCCGAGACGACAGACCCAATAGTGTCAGGTTACGTGCGTTAAAAATTGAGCTAAGGATCCTGATCATTGGTCTGCTAGTCCCTAGTCCGGAAAGACAGGCATACAAGAAACACTAAATCAGGCTAGCGCATCATGTTTAATAATCGAGGAAACCCACACATCACACCTAGCTAGCCAGCTACGCTCGGCTTCGCCATCACGCCGCGTATTGTGTGCGCCATTGTTGCATTCGGGACCGACATGGTTATGACCTGACTCCGTCCGTAGGCTGACAAAACACGCATGGCTGAGATTGCTTACAATTTTGTATTTGAGAGAACAAGTCACTACATGTACCCCTACAGTTTGGAACTACAATGAATATAAAAGGATCTTGATGTTCTTCGAACAGAAAGCAAATACCTACCACTGACACTTCCAACAATCAATAGAACCACTCGTCACCACTGTCTTGACCATGTCTCAATCTCTTGTCTTCATTACCGGGTCGACAGGCTTCATTGGGTCTCATGTCGTTATCCAAACGCTCGAAGCAGGCTACAAGGTTCGCCTAAGCGTGCGCAAGGAACCTCAAATCGAAGGTCTCAAGAAGCTCTTCTCCAAGCATATCAGCAACGTCGACTTTGTCGTCATTCCGGATCTGTCCATCTCAAGCGCTTTCGACAGTGCCTTGAAAGATGTCGATTACGTCCTACATCTCGCTTCACCGATGCCTGGTAAAGGTGAAGACTTCAAGAAGGAGTACCTCCAGCCTGCAGTGCAAGGTACAACATCGGTTTTGAATGCCGCAAAGAAGTTCAGCACCATCAAACGCATCGTCATCGTGTCATCGATACTTGCCTTGGTCCAACTAGATGCGCTGACGGGAGGCAAATTTGAACCGAGAGGTACGTTTCTATTTTATGAACATGGTCTATCCTTTCTATGTACATTCGTTCTGATGACATATATCTGACACATTCTTGCAGAAGGACGAAACCAGGAGATCTCCGTGGATCCCGACATGGAATTTCCCGCGGATCCGATGGCTAGCGGAGGAGCAAAGTATCACGCCTCCAAACTTCTAGCCCATCGAGCCACCCTCGAATGGGTTGCAGAGAACAAACCACATTTCGTTGTCATCACCCTACATCCCTCCTTCGTCTTTGGTCGCAACCTCAGCCAGACATCTCCTGACGGAGTCGATGGTACTAATGCTATGCTTTGGGGCTGCCTGTACTCCGAAAAGCCCTTCATTCCCGCAGTTGGAGTGGATGTTCGAGACGTTGCACTTGCGCACGTGCGCGCCTTGGAGACGAAGCTTAATGGAAACAACGAAGTTCAGGAGTTTGTGCTGAGCGCTAGTGAGAAGGACGGATGGTCTTGGACCAACATAGCAAAGTTTGCACAAGAGAAATATCCTGGCTTGGGTACAAAGTTGGAAGGTTCATTTGATGCGCCTCCACCTGTCGAATCACGCCGCGCTCAGGAAATCCTAGGCATCAGGTGGAAGAGGATGGAAGACACTATCGCATCTTTCTTGGATCATCAGCTCGAGTTGAGGGCCCAGCTCTAAGCTCTGATGTAAGCAACGCAACATGCTTAGCCAGATATTAGTCACTGTCATTTAACTTCGCCCTTCGTCCTTCCTAAGCTAGATTGAGAGTTTCTGTGACCTCATGAGTACGGTGTCGATGCAAGGATTGCAAACGCTGAGTTTTGAGGGTAAGACGCGCCACTGGCGAGCTCTTACGAGTGCTTCTGGTTGTAGTTCCCTCGATTCCACCCCGCTTCTTCTTCTTCTCCTGAAGATTGCGTACTGTCGTCTTATGACCGCTAATCATTTCAGGGAAAGCCTTCAATATCAATGGCATCATACGTCTAATATATTGCGTTGGATCTGAAGTAGCCCATCGGCCTCAATCGTGACGTCGACAAGCGTTCGGACCGTTTATTGGCGTTGAGTTTGCTGGAGTTTAATAGTAGACAAAGTAGATGTCATCGGTCATTCAATCGGGGACTGCAAGTTCATAAGGCGCCTCATGTATGAGTGGTGGAAGAGGTCGCGGCTGGTCTTGCAGCATCTCCGGTACGCTGATCCTTGAATGTACGATATGTCCTTGTCCATCTATTGCGATGATTTCGAGTGCGGCATTCTGCTCTTGGATGAAGATCGAGACTTTGGTAGCGAGAGTGTTGGTGACCCGCAGCCTGACCGCCCATGATAGCATGCCAGTAGCGGAGCAAGTCAAACCGCCCGTGTGCGCCCCGCGAATGGTCAACAATTTCATGTTGTAGTCGTTGTGCCCATTCTCTTCTAGAACGATCAAGAACCGGCCATTACGAGATGCGGTACCCGCGAGAACGCTTGACCCAACCACACTGTCTGGTATTGGATTCATTTGCTGGCGAAGGCTTTGTGGATTATATTCGAGGGTGTCGACTGGCACGATGAAAGTCGGGGGAAGATGCGATCCTGGTCTATGATTTACTGTGCAGAGTATGTGAGGTTTGCCGATTGGAGATATTACGAACGCCGCGTTTGTAATCTCATCGCGCAAAGCCTATCTAAAGTCAGCTGGGTATCGAAGCATGTGTGAGAACTACTCACGCCTCCGCTACCACTAGAGTTGCAGTCGACGTACCAACTCGGGCCCAGACGAGTGGGCGACCGAGGCCACGAGCTTCGACCCACATTCCAGCAATATAATCGGTTTCCTGTCGACAAAGCAAAGGCCATAGGACCATACAGGATATCGCTACGGTGAGGCGAAAAGCCGACAACCTTGATAGCCCCAGTATTTCTCGGGCATGACAAGGTCGTGCGGTTGTTCTCCGCGTTCCAGCCTGTGGTGTACTGTGGATGTGAAGGTACCGGGTTAGCGTATGTCTTACGCTCGGGTTGTAGGGTTGAATCTCACCTTGTATCTGAACAGTTTCACGCCGCTTTCTCCTTCCCCACCCACTGCTACGCTCGCAGTAGCGATTCTGTCAATAGAGGGGGAACCACTTTGCGAAATTGATACCGACCTTGGAATCCAGCATTCATCTTGATCGACGCGTTGGGCTTTCACTAAATTTGGTGTCTCGCGGCTGTATTCATCGTAGACCAACAGTTGCATATGTGTAATTACAGCAAGCAAATCCTCTGTTAACGCGACACCTCGAATCTCCTCCTTCTTACCAAGTGGTATGCTCAGCTCGACGTGAAGTGGAATTTGGCGACTTTTGTTCGCGCTCCCCACGTTGTATAGCCGTACCTGCTTTGCCGAGCAAGCAGCAACCCAGCCTGATGGCGAGATCGATGTCGCAACATCGTGAGTTCTCCTGAGAAAACGTTGTCCACTTCTCTGCAAATGAGTTTCTGTACAGTTGCCAAGTGAGGCTGTAAATATTGGGAAAGTCTCTACAGCTGAAGAAGAGCGTCGCGCAGACGGATACGAAGAGCTACTTGAGATAGACATCATCAAAGAGCACGAAACAAGAATATCATAATGACGAGAGAAGTTTGCAGTCAATAAGTCGTCAAGCGACGGAAAGTATGTTTGTGAAGCAGCAATAATGCCGTTGCTTTGAACGAACGGACGGTCTGAGCCATCACACAGGTCAGCTGGCGCCGGTTATTGACTCCGATAGCTGTAGCCTGATCTTGTCTTGCATGCGCCACCACGTCAAAAAGCATACATACGACAGATATGACACTCGGTGGTTGGGGGGCCGTGTCTCACTCATGCATACCAATAAAGCCAAGCCACAATCCCATAGGGTGTTCAGCCATATGAGGCAGCCAGAGCGTACTCTTAGAGTACGTGGGACGCGTGGCTGTACTACTGAACGTTATCGCAGAGCGCGCGACGCTGGACGTGGCGCTCTTGATGCTATTTTGTAGCCTCGCGACTGTATTGAAGCACCTGAGCTAACATTTGACAGCCTTTCTTCAGAACCGAGCTCATTCTGTCTAATTCTATACTGCGAGGGGGCGAATACTACACACCTTTGATAACACCGTTGAGTTCGGAAGGCTCCGTACCTAAGGGTGCCCCTGCATGTCCAGATCAGTACTAATACTCCTTACTCAGCCAGAGTACCGGAATCTATCATGCGCCTGCTCTGTACTCTAGCATTTCGCCACATATGTAAGAGGGCGGTATGTCGAGACGTAGCCTCGCTGATCTTGGCCCCAAGAGCTCATCGTCTCAGCCAATCACCAAACGCCAGATGCTTCGCCCCGATCATCTTCCCACTATTTTACCGCTCGCAGGGACATGAGATATTTTCGTCGCCAGATTATACCCTTGCTGCCTAGATTTTGATCTCTACGTGTGGTTCATAGATCTGACTACGATATCTATCGCTTCCAGGTTGTCGACTTTGATGGTGGCAAAAACGCCAACTATCTCTTGTCGAAGGGGTCATCCCGTCCTAGGTCATTGTTTTCTGCATCATTTCCAAGCAGAAGTCAAGGCTGATAAGAAGCAAACCGGTGTGGGTTCAGCCTTGGATACAGGGCATGCCTAAGTACATTAGGCTGGAGATGCCCAGAAGCGGGTCACAAGAGGGCGCAGTCTACATCTAAGTGTTGCCCTTGCATTTTCGCAGCACACTAAGATTCCTAGAATACTTACACCAAACTACTAAAAGAAGAAAGAGTTTCATTTTTTGGATACTACCAGTCTGATACCAGTTTTGTTTAATGTAATGCCAGTCGATATGGACGAGGAGCAAAGACCGCTAGATCGATCGCCATACTATGTAACACATTCCGAACATCTTGATCGTGTGTTGAGTAGGCCTCAGCTTGCAGGTAAGTCAGTAGGCCAGTAGCAGTGGAGGTCGGTTGAATAACAACACAGGTATTGGGATATCCGGTTGCATTGGTGGAGGCGTTTTCATCACGTCGGGTGCGCTGATAGCTACAACTGGGTCACTTGGAGCTGCAATCAGCTATGTAGTAGCCGGAGGGATCGTTGCTTGTGTCATGTATACTACTACTGAGATGGTAACATGCCGGCCGCTGACCGGAGCTCTCATTGATCTACCTCACACATTCTTGGATCCTGCTAGTGGCTTTGCTATCGCATCAGTATATGGGTATGTTTTTTCATCCTCAATAAGAGCAGCACGTTAACAAATCTACAGACTCAACAAGATCTTCGCCATGACTACTCTCACTGCGCTCGCGGCACAGCTCACTGTCCTCTTGAAAGATGATCAGAAGCCACATTCACCTGGCACAGAAGCCGCTATCAATATCGCTTTCATAGCCCTGACGACTTTCTCGCACTGTCTTGGGGTCAAGGTAAGCCAATGGTCAGAATACAGGAGACATGCCGCTTACTTCTTCTTAGCTATACGGTAAAATTGAACGAGTGAGTTGAGCGAAAAGAAAGTCGAGAACTTTCGATCTAATAAGGTGGTTGTAGGTAGTAATGTGGTTCAAGTTGAGCCTGCTCGTGCTTGTCTGCGTCATGATGGTGGTGTTGAACTTTGGATGTATGCAACCATGCGTGCACCGACTTGCCAGTAAATTATCTAACATTGTGCAGATGGTGGACTAAAAGAGGGAAGATACAACGACAGTGAGCTTCAGTCTCTTTTGACCACGTTTTTGCGCTAACCTACGAGGCAGACTACACACACGATGCGTTTACTCCAGGTTGGAAGCCATCCGGGTTTAACGTCACTGACAAACGTCTCTCCCTTTCAAGCGTCTCTGACGATAAATTCGGCATACCTGGGACAGGAGGTGCTTTGTTTGGATTTATGTGAGTATTCCGAATCGGGCTGAACACAGCCAAGCTTATTGGATACACAGTACCTCAATCACGCTTGCCATGTTCTCCTTCGGCACAGACCTGGTCGCAATGACTGCTGGGGAAGCGAAGAACCCTTGGAAGGATGTACCGGCCACAATGACCTTCGTATACGTCATTCCCGTCATCATGTACCCTTTTGCGATGTTTGCTGCTGGGTCAAACGTCAACTACCTCGATCCGAAATTGTCCAAATTGTGGACAAAAGGCAGTGGTCCGACAAGATCGCCTTTCGTGATCGCGGCTGAAAACTTGTCGCTCGACGCGTTACCCAAAGTACTGAATGCGCTTTTCATACTCTCGGCATATACGACTGCAAACACTGATCTGTATGCCGCCTCGCGGAGTGTTTTCATGCTATCCCAACAATACCTCCCACGAAAAGTCGCAAATGTATTTGGTAGGACTAACAACGGTCACACGCCGTTGGCAGCTATCTTGCTATGCTCAGCCCTCGGGTTCCTGTCACTCGTTGGATTGGCCGACAGATCGAGTTCACAACCAACTATCACACTCTCTGAGATCTACACTGGTACTGCGACCTGCATTAACATCTGCCTTTGCATCACCTTTCTGCGCTTCAAAGCTGGGCTCGATCGTCTGGCGAAGCGAAAGATTTTTGGAAGAAACCACCCGCTGTACAAGTCTCGACTATTCAAGTCTCGCTGGCAACCACTTCCTGCATACATCGGTATGATAGGAAGCACATTCGTCCTTATATGGTCCGGCATACCGCCACTTATCATTCTAATTGCTAGGGGTAATCTTTCCTCTCCTGGCAATCTGAAGTCAACCATCAGCCTTGCCTTTGACGTTATCGGAGCATATATCGGCCCTGCTATCTTCGCCATCCTCTACCTCTCGTACAAGTTCATCTACCCACGTACGTCTCGCGTCGACATTCGCAACCTCACAGTCGAAGACTATGTGTTGCAAGATCTATCAAACATCGAGCTGGAGGGCCCGACATGCATACCGCCTGTTCCGCGACCCCGCTTCGGATCATATGAGATGGACGGCCAGAACGATGGCATCGCCGGTCCTTCCGTCATGTTCGAAGATCCGTTCAAGGAGGATCAATCGTACGCTGACATGAGCCCGGACATGCAAGAGGAGATCGAGGCCGAAGCTGCAAGGAGCAATGAACGAGCAAGAATTAGGCAGATTCTGGAAAGAAGGCCGGAGAGATTACGCCGCGGAGTCTGGCGAGAGATCTGGAGCTTCGTGAGGACAGATAAAGAAGAATGAGAACGAGAAAACCGCTAGAGATGACATAAATTTACGCTCGACACCAAAAAACCATTCAATTTGCTGGCGCTCTCTGTTCTTGACGCTGTTGTAGTACCTCGGTATCCGGTGCAGCTGGATGAAAGTCTCCGCAGAAAGCGAAATCGATGAAAACTTGGGTACACAATCCCATTGCCGAACATCCAATAAACTTCACCTGTCAACAAGATACTTACACATAGAGCTGGTTTAGTAACATTGACATACGGTAGAAAGTCTTACGTGAAACCACAGCAGGATTCTCCTACCCTGGAGTTAGGGCTGGAAGCCGTTCGTGCCGAGCCGAGTGGTGGCGTACTGTTCGTGCTGACCCGCTGCGATGAAGCAGCTGAACCACTTAACTCGGGTATGGTCAACAGGTGCACGGGCACTAGCAGCATGCCCGACTGACTGAGGAATATTGGCAGTGTCGTCCCTTTGAAGGAAGTTTGCTGGCTGTGTTCACTACAGGCTAGCTCACCTAGGTGGTTTGGTGGTTTTCAGTCCGTGGCAGAAAGGAGGTGCACGGTGGTTTGAAGCCAAACGAGCGTGCCGAGGTGGAAGAAGTGACCGCGTCATCCTACTTCTCGCCTTTGAAAACACATCTACGTCCAGACGACCTCTCCCCATCACTTGGATATGGAAAACAACGCGCGTATGCACTGCATATAGCAAAAGATGGGCCATGAGCTGTGAAACGATATTTTGCTGAAGGTCAGCAGACTGGGAGTAGCGACGCGCCGGAAATATGCAGTTCCACCTACGCGGATGAGGACCCTTGCCTTTTCAACCCACTCTCTCCAGGTCGGCATCAATTCTCGTTTCACGCGACCAGTAAAAGGCCAGATTGAATACATCCCTCCAGAGACCATAGCAGCTTCTCGACATTCTTGTTACCGCGCTGGCCGCTACTGCTGTCGACCAAATAGTGGCCCCCAATGTTGCTTATTGTTCCGATGCAAAGGCGCGACCCTCGAAGATCTTATCGAATCGCATGACGACTATTTACCGGACGTGCACCCGAATCAGACATTCCCGGTGATAGTGACAAGTGGCGCGCTCGGAACATACATAGGTAAGCTCAATTGGGTAACAATGGAAGCTCAGATGCGGTGTCTAGCCCCCAAGCGAGTTCCAACGCTTCTTGATGTGGACCGAACTTCGGCGATGGCGATTCGTCCATGCTACACGAAGCTCCGGCAGTGTGGAGTGTCTCAAATTATTTGACATCTACTGTGCCTTCTTTCAAATGGTCCAGTGATTACTTTCGCAAGAAGTAAGTATGCTCGAGTCGACTTTCCTGATTGCATTCATAAGCTGCCTTTGCTACTTATCTTGGCATACATGTAGCCATATCCTTCAGTCGAAGTTATGAAAGAGCTTTTTCACGTTTGCGAAGTCTATGCCGGTAAAACTTGGCCTCAAGAAACCACAGCTACCGATCCCATCCGCAAATGCCACGTCGACCAACAGAGCGTATCCTCGCCTGGCTCGCCATCCATTCTCGATAAAAACCGAATATGATGTGGTGGTCGTTGGCTCAGGATATGGCGGTGGCGTTGCAGCATCACGCATGGTAAGAGCCGGGAAAAGCGTTTGTGTGCTAGAACTTGGAAAAGAAACCTGGCCCGGAGAGTATCCCCATACGTTCAAAGACGCCATGCGAGAATATAGCTTAAGTGGCAAGATACTCGGTAAAATGATTAGTATCGGTAAAGCAGCAGGGTTGTACCATACTGTCAAAGGGGAAGGGCAGGACGTATTTCTAGGCTGTGGTCTGGGGGGAACGAGCTTGATCAATGCTGGTGTTTTCCTCAAACCAAACGAAAGATTACTGGAAGCAGCAGAGTGGCCGGATGAAATTAGAGAGAATCCTGCAGACCTCGAGCAATGTGAGTACTGAAAGGTCATGGAAGGAAGAGTGCTGATGCTGACACTTCGATGTAGTCTACGTGAGAGCTGAGCGCATGCTCCAACCAACAGCATTTCCAACAAGATACCCAAAACCACGCAAACTAGACGTCTTTGAACGGCAAGCCGATAGTCTTGGCTTGCATGAAAACTTTTACCGTCCTCCGTTGACGACAACCTTCTGCTCCAGCACCAACCAAGCTGGAATACACATGAGCGAAAGTACGGGTTCTGGCAACGAGTGCACAGGTGTCAACGATGGTTCAAAGAACTCAGTACTTGTAACATACCTGTATGATGCTTGGACAAGAGGCGCCGAACTCTTCTGTGGAATTGATGTCAGACATGTGAAAAAGGAGGGTCGAGGCAAAGGGTACTTAGTATTCTATGAGGTGTCCAATGGGAGAGGAGGAAAGACAAAGAAGTGGGTCAGAGCTGTAAGTGTGAGGTTCTTCGAGTATAGCTCACACTAACGCGACACAGCGGGAGGTTGTCTTCCTTGGGGCCGGTGCACTCGGGACGACGGAGGTACTGCTGCGATCGCAACGCTATGGCCTCCATACATCACCTTTGTTGGGTCAAAGGTTGACAGGCAACGGTGACATGTTGGCTTTCGCATATAATTGCAAGCACGACATCAGTAGCATTGGTCGTGAAGCCCTGGGTAAAATGAGTTCCAAATCATGCGGCCCAACGATTACTGCATGCATCGACATGAGAGGCTCCACACACGCCAAAAACGTACGGGACAGGTACATTATCCAAGACGGTGCGATCCCTGAAGCTCTAGCGCCAGTCATTCAGAGTTTGCTCGAAACCCAAACCACCGCTGTGCCGTCTGAATCATCCAGCACTATAGGTAATTTGCTGGCCAGGTTGAAGAATTGGATCCTTGGACCATATGCTAGAGGTGGCAGCGTGGACCGGACGCTAGTGTATCTCACCATGTCCCACGACGAAAACGAAGGACAGATGGTACTCGAAGATGATGCAGTGGTTCTGCGATGGTTGGGCATAGGGAGCCAGAAGCGAAGTGCACATCTTGACAGCGTTCTTCTTGAGATGACTGAGAACCTTGGCGGCAAACTCGTCAAGGCTCCATGTATCACTGTTCACCCGCTCGGAGGTGCGGTTATGAGTAATGACGGAACTGGACTTGGAGGCGTGGTCAATCATCGCGGCCAGCTTCTTGTTGGAAAAGGACATGAAGTATACGAGGGGATTGTCTGCGTAGACGGTTCAATCATCCCAACATCACTCGGTAAGTCGCTCCGTTGAAGCATGCAAACTGATTCGATGACAGCTGATGGTAGTTTCAAGGTGTGAATCCATGCGCTACAATCACTGCACTGGCTGAGCGAAGCTGTGACCTGATCGCCCAAGAACGTGGTTGGAAAACCGACGATAGTTCAAATGGTAGACTAAGTACCTCGAAACATCCGCTCGTACCTGTACTACCAGAATCCACAAAGACTATTAGACTCAATACCATCGAGGATTCGATCGAAGGCGTCCGATTTGAGGAAGTCATGCGAGGTCATATTCACTTTGGCAACAACGTCCCAGATTTTAGTATTGCGGAAAAGGTTGCTAGGGAGGCTTCAAGCTCAGCTCAGCTCGCACTCACGGTGGACGCACGCCGCAACCGAAATGGCTCATATCAGGGTGTGCCATTTGGCACATTTGCTTGCGGCGCATTGTCGCAAGAACCGTTCATGGTTACTGGTGGCACAGTCGAGTTCTTTACAATCGACGAGAAAGTCGCAGATGCAGTAAATCTCGTGTACAAGGTAGACCTCTTGAGTACAGATGGTGCGAGATACGGCTTTCACGGTTACAAAAGACTTAACTCGACTGCTGCATTCTCAGTCTCGAGAACTTGGGGCGCGACAACAACTTTATACACAACAATCACTGGTTACGATGGCGTTGTGGTCGGTCGAGGTATTTTACACTTGTCACTCCACGACTTCTTCTCGGAACTTCAGTCCCTACGATCTCGTACAACTATTGGTGGCATGAGCGATATGCAAGCGCAGGCCAGGTTTCTCAAGTTCTTCACGACTAACATCGCATCGTACGTGTTCAGTCCCTTTCGTCGACTCCAGTATCCAACACCGCCCACCGGGAAATCGGGCTACTATGAGAAGGCGATTCCTACTGTGACGATGCTTACAGCCGACGATGGGGTCAGGTTTCCCATCAAGTTGTGGCAGCCTCCATCCGGCACGCTGGAGAAGCATACGCCGATCGTATTCATCCCCGGTGCGTCTGTAGACGATCAAATGTTTTCCTTGCCAACTGTACCCACGAACGCCATTGATTACTTTACCTCACTTGGCTACCGGTGTTACATCCCCATCCTCCGTTTTGGGATTGGAGAAGAAGCTAGAAAGGGCGATACTGTATACGATGCTCGGTTGGACGTTCGAGCTGCCATGGAATACGTTCGAGAGAGGGAACAAGAGAGAAAGATCTACGCTGTTGTTCATTGCTTAGGAAGCATAGCAACAGGCATTGCTTTGCTCAAAGGCGACGTGGAAGCTTCTTGGTTGAAAGGAATGACATGTAGTCAAGTATTCACCAACCTACTTTTCAGCCCGGACAACGATTTCAAGGCGCGACATCCCATTCTCATAAAGGCATATGAAGTAAGTCCCGTCCTCTCCATCTACCAAATTTCTCTGCTTACAGCCGGGTAGACATTAGCAGGCTCCTGGTTCCCGTGCCACTCTTCTTCGTCCTCGCCATGGGTGCAGTTCCTGCTGGATCAAATACTACGTTTCTACCCCGTAGGCACTAGAAGCGAAATGTGCAACTCTGCGGTCTGTCACAGATGCGACGTTCCTTTTGGCCGCTGTTGGACGCACACCAACCTCAACCACGCCACACATGAGCATCTTGGTCATTGGTTCGATGGCATCCACACCAACTTCCTCTCGCACTTATCGAATATGGGTGCTATGCCACCTCACCACGTTCGCAGCGATAGGCCCGTGTTTGAGGATCTGCTTACCCAAACGAATCTAGAGAGGTTGAAGGGGTTGAGTATTTGCTTGCTGAGTGGGGCTGAGAATGCTGTTTGGAGCCAGCAAAGCACGAAAAGTAGCTATGATCTGTTAAGAGAATGTTTTCCGGAGGTAAAGTACGAAAGGGTTGTTGTGAATGGTTATGGGCATCTGGATTGTTGGATGGGAAAGCATGCGCACGTTGACATCTTCCCGAGGGTCGCGAGGCATCTGGCAGTCTGTGAGGAGGCAGAAGAGGGCTGCGAGACGACGGTGATCGTTAAGGGCTATGAGGAGGACGGATACGTGGATGTGGCGGCGGAGAACTACAACAGGTAGGTAAAGATTGGTGTGTTCCATGGAGGAAGTTTTGCAGTCACTCCTAACATAGCCGTATTTCAGACCTTTTATACGGAATGCGGATGGTAAACTACCTCGTAGCTCAGCAGCGACGGTGATTGGGCCTCGTCGTGCGATGCCATTGTATTTGGGTAGTTTCCGCGTTTGGTTGTATGTGTGAAGAACTGGCTATCATGTTGGGGATTAAGTCAATCAATTCGCTGTCTGAGTGACCAATTATGTACACGATTTACAGTAAGCAGCTAGACCAATTACTGCTAGAAGAGGGGCAAGCCACGCTGTGGACGCCTATCTGCCCCACTCTGTTTTACCATAACTAGATACGAGCAAAGTGGCGTTCTACTGACTTTCAAACATGGTCTGCGATTGTTCAACGACGAAAAGTACGAATGTCGTAGGGAGCTCACTACAAATTTCCGTCTTGCAAGAGCTTCCCAATCGCCCGTTCTTACACACAACGCCAGATTCATGGCAGATTAGCTGCAAGGCTGAATGTGACACGGCTGCACGATATGCATGAACACGGGTTGCCTTGCGAGGCGAAGGGGTAACAATATTTCAAGCCTATGAAGGCGTCTGATGCCCGCTCCTAGTCTACAGTTTAAAAGACGGCCCTTCTACCTACTGCGCCTAGACAGGCGATCTGGCTCAGCAATGCTACCCGTTTAATATACTTCGTCAGTATTGCACATATACATAAGCGCGTCCCCGCATCATGTAAGCTCACCCATCCACCACCATCGTGCTGTTACTTATATGCAATGGAGTTATCGGCTATCAGATTCTTGAGAATGGAAACATCCGCGGATGTTGCGACATGGCTTTCTTTCATGGTCACCGCCGTCGGACTGGGTGGGCTCTTATCACAGGCTAGCGCTATTAATGAGAAGCTCGATCCTTTCCATAGCCATCGCACCCCAGCATACCTAGGCTTCTGGTATGGCCATCAGGAAAAAGCGTCATGGTGGACCGTAAGGAAGCCGCCTTTATACGGTCCAGTTCTAGTTGCAGATCTGGAGACCGGTTTCTGTGGACGACAGATTATCCATCTAACGCGCTTGCCCCTGTTCACACCTCCCGGAAAGGCAGGATGGGCACTCATTTTGGCCATCTTTCATCCAGAGAAGCTGCTTTCGCTTAGGTCAACAAGTCTGCAGATAGACGAAGCAGAGAAGGCCGCGGGGGCCATTCACGAAAAGAGTGTCATCACAACGGAAGATAATACACACGGAACTCGAGACAGGCGCACACAATGGAAATCTTTGGAGAGGATGCCACTCTCTCGCTACCAAGCACACGCTTGTGTATCCATCTCGCGAACGACACTCATAACGATGTTGGTGCTAACGAACGCAAGAGCTGCCTTCTCGTACAGCGATGCCTCTGGTTTCCGAGCCGGGTACGCTTCGTACAATGGGCAGTGGTACATTACTTGGCCGATCGGTCAAGATGCAGTCGTGCAATTTTCACCTCATGATTCGCACAAGAAATCTACCGATGTATATCCTCCCAGTTTCACGCAACGTACAAACCGTTGCACACAAATGGTAGCCGGGGTCATCGCGGCCCCTTCTGGTGTACAATTCGCGTTTTGCGGCCGCAAGCCGCCTGGCGTTTACGTCTTGGAATATGCAGTAAAGGGATTTCCTGGTGCGCACGGGTCTCGGCATTTGTATAATATGCTGGGAGGAAAAGTATACGAAGTTGACTATATCTTCGCTCGAGAGTCGAATCAAGTATCTGGAGATTGGCTGGAGCTCAAAGTTCCGAGCACAGATCCCTTGAAAGAGACGACTTTACTGGTTCCTGAAAGAGAGCAGGAGGCTATCGCACAAGCACTTGACTGTCTTCCTTGGAACCATCTTTCATGGAGTATACATCGCGGGATGCGTGATATCCTCCTAGCGTACTCGAAGCCCACTATGGACCGATTCAGATCTCAACTTGCCGATCTTCTTAAGCGGACTGTCTCCTCTTCGCCGCATCTTCTCGAACGCAAAGGATGGGAAGGTAATTTCGTCCGCAATAGCATGGGTGAAATGGCAGCATCCGCTGTTCTTCTCGGAAAGGGTAATTCAGGCGATCTTGTACGCGTTGTAACGGACATAACACTTGCCTTGGTTGATGGTTGGACCATGGATCAACTGGATGAAGTTCATTTCTGGCGTTTACCAGATGAGGAAAAGGAGCTCAATCTCGTAGGAGTCGTTGCACTCACCAAGATGTTTATCGTGGAGTGGAGCAACGAGTTCGATTACCAGATGTATCACGATCTGCCAGTCAACTTGAAGTTTGCATAGATGCGCTTGGGTATATTAGCTTGTGAAGAGTAGTAGAATTGGACGATTGATACATCAGTTTGTATTGTTCAGTACCTAGGACGGTAGTTGAAGAACGAGACCTGCTCATGATCATCCTGTTACCACATTTTCTTCCCTAGGCCACTAAATCCCTCCTGCAAAACCTTCCTTCCAGCCAGCTCATTCGCAAACTCAAGTTTCCGCTGCAACGACCACTCTCCATGCTCATTAATCGCAAATAACATACCAGCGATAAAAGTATCCCCAGCACCAATAGTGTCCACAACCTTTGCTTGCCCATCTCCTTCAGCCTGCCACGCCCTGACATCCGCCCAAACCTCATTATCCCCCTTCTGAACCGCAGCCGCGCCTCCAGATCCCCATGTACAACATAACATTGCACCATCTCTCGTCTCACTCCTCCTATCTTCAAGAAAACTCTTCGCATCTTTATACCCATTCTTCTCGGCCCAGAGTTTCGAATAAAACACCACATCCGCGTACTGCGCGACCTCAGCCATACTCGTGCGTTCTGGCTTCTCACACTCGACGCTGATCTTAAAGTGAGGGAACTTTTCGCGCAGGAAGCGGACGCACAAGTGTGTGATTTCTGGAACACGGCCTTCGAAATGGAACCACGCTTTCTTCCAACCTTGCTCTTTGCCATCACCACCACCACCTCCTCCTCCAGTAAAGCTACAGACCTGCTGCATAAACTCGCTGTCTTGCATTTCAGGTAGCTGATTGAGACTGACAATCGTGCGCGACCGGTTCTCCTCACTTTGGATAATATAGCTAGATGCCGCTTCCTTGTGCTGTTTGCGAAACAGACTCACATCGGATATCTTCACTTGGGGCAGTGATTCGCAGATGAATTTCGACGCAGCGCTATCTTCATTAGGAAGTACGGCGAGCAGATGCAAGTCTGTGGATCGAGGATTCCGCGCTGTCTCGGGACCATGTTGTTGTAGTTGCAATAACACTTCTAAGCTGTTTGCTGTGTTTCCGCCTCTTCTTCGTGTTATGGATTTGGCGCGTAGCTTTTCATCTTCTATGGGGAAATGGGGAACACTGGATGTTTGACGGTTAGTGGGCGCTTTGTTCTCGGCGAGGCCGCAATGAGCAAGTACGTACGTTAGGATGGTGTCGATGTAAACGGCACCGACACATACAATATGGTTTACGGCATGTCCAGACATTTTACTGCGTAAAATTATGACTGCAATTAGTTTGGAGACGGTGAAGGAAGATAATTAGTCGAAGATTAGAAGTTTGACATTGTGGAGCTCAAGTGCTAGAGGTTACGTCAAGTGTCGCGTGCCATTCCGACGCGATTGCGCGCCATCACATGTCTCACCTAACAAAATGTCAGTTCACACGCTCCAAAGGCATCCACACAGTCCACGATTTGCAAATACATATGAAAATTGTTAGATTCAGTCTTGAGATAAGGAGCGACCCCATTCTGCCTCTTCTCCTATCCAGTAATGAGCGAACATCCTAGCTCCCAGATTTGGTATCATTGAAAATCACACTCGCTCAAACGCCAATCCCAATCAAAAGACTACGAAACCATAGACAGTGCGTGCGCTTAGTACGCATTACCGCCCCAGCCCGGTGCTTTCCCCTTGCCTTCGTGCGAGGAGTAGTATTCGTCTTGCTCCATTACTGGACTGACCGTTATAGTCCCTTCGTGCGTCTGCGGTGGTCCGTACCACGCATTACCTCCTGTTGGCACGTTGCTGTAATAGCCTCCATGCCCAGCCTCCTCACCACCAAGATTGTTGAATGCTTGTGTCCGTGGCGTCATGGGTGACTTCATGCCACCAATAGTACCGGGTGTACGAGGTAGTTGTTGAAGTTCCCACATGTGCTGCCATTGTTCCTCGGCGGTCATCTCGTTGTCGTAAGGTGAGGAAGCCCACTTCTCCTTCTCCGCTTTCTTTTCCGCTTTCCTGGCCGCGTGTGCTTGTTTTTGGGCGGTGGTCGGGATAAGGGAATAGACTGAGAGGACGACGAAGACAGCGTAGATGGCACTATAGAGCATGATTAGCGCCTTTCATTTTGGTTGATGCAGGTGGCATGAGACTTACAGCATGATGATGCTGACGGCGAAACTGCTCTTTGCTTGCATGCAGTAACTCTTGATGTGCTTGTCGTCCACGATGTTACAGCTCTTGGTTATGTACCAGGGCGCTCCGTTGTTTGTGTGCTTGGGGTCGATTGTGTCGGGCGCGGTTTGGATGTGAATGCCGTAGGCCCATAGGGTCATGAGAGCGATGTGGAGGAGGAGCGATAGGATCGGGAAGAAGACCTTAAGGAGCCATAAGGTCACCTTGACAAGCCAGAAGAACATGCATACTACGCCGATTACGAGGTGGTATTGGGTGTTACTGCGATGGTCAGTCTACCGTTGGGTTTTGAGGTTTCGCAGAATGATAGCAAGGTCCATGGACTGTAGTTTTGGTTCTTGCGCATCCGTCATCGATCTTGAAGATGCTACTTACAAGCTACTCCATACTAAAGGTGTATCCACAGGTCGATAATTCGCAGCCGCATATAGGACTGTACTTGGTTTCGAGTTGAAGCCCAACTCGCCTCCTACTCTCCACAAGATTGTGCGGTATAGATTTGGCGATGCGATGCCGAAGAGCGCAAGGTTGGCCACGGTGAATGGCA